CCTGTTCCTTAACGTGTACTATTCCTCTAGACTTGACTATCCGAGTCTATCGGAGCCTATAAAATGTGTGCCGAGATCCGTTCCAATGCGCATGCATTTTACGCGTATATTGTATGCACGCACACAAATGGGGGCGTACTTTGTTGTTTACGTATACATTTACATCTACACACATGCGACTTGTAACGATATGACACAAGAAAAAACGCGCTGCGAGTGCGATGTATTAATAACGTCGTAATAATATATATATATATATGAAGATACGCAATATATTTATAATAATTTTAATAACGTTTACAAAAGCAAGCGCGCGCTCGCGAGTCTGTGAACAAACTATGGCGTGACAGTATGCTGTGTATATATTAATTATGCGCGATACGATTGGAGAGTAGTCGAAAGCAAAGCTATATAATTGACCCGCGAATCATAAAAATTTTGTCTAGAATAAAAATTGTAAATTAATGATTGAGAGACAGAGTGATTGTGATATGGATATATCCCTTACCTTACTATTTAATATACACGTCCATCCGACTAACCAGAGCTTCTTTTCTTTATAATTTTATCAAGAATACAGTACTGCGAAAAGCGCAAATCCAGTAAGTGTGTATCTAACGCGATCACAACCAACCATTCACCCACCACCATCTACCTTTATTGCCATGTGTTGCCAAGCACCAACCTCGTCTATTCGACACGTATGAAAGATTCGAGTTACCGGCGACATCGATTCCTCCGTATTCCGGCTTCTGCCGAGACTCGTTCCTTCTGATCGCTATAAAATTTTAATATTACAAGTCATTTGACGCAAAACGAAGACGCGCTTTACCATTTAATCAGCTTTAATCAGCGAGCATCAAAGTGCGCGAGTCTCGACGCGTAGTACTGTGTCTTGGATTTCATTTATGATTTGCTGGCGTGTAGCCGTGCCACCACCACCACCACCAGCACCACATCAGAACCTGTGATTCGAGCAACCGTATCGGTTCCTCCGACGCTGATAGTCCCCGGATCGACGAACCGAGACAAGAATAACGATCGAATAAGGACGAATCAGCCAACGTTGCAGCGCTCTTATACCGGAGGACTGGATCATATGCAACCACGTACACCCAGCCCGACAAAGAGTAGGCTAAACTTCCTGGAAGGATTTAAGAATACTTTACGCACACGCTCGCCGGGTCGCAACAACTCCATTCCGGTGAGCCAATCCTGATTGTGGTTTTTGCTACTTGAAGCTCTTTCGAGCTTATACATGCGTTACCATTTATATCAATTTAGAATTCTTGATGATTGCAGCAAAGGGGCTCTCCTTCCTCTTCTTCCTCTTGATGCCTGTCGCTATCTACTGCTATCTATTACATTATCTTCTGTCGGTGCGACGATAAGTCATATTTTTGTTATTAAAGAAAAAAAAAAACTATTGTTGAGATTGTAAACAATCTTAATGTTTGCCATACGTTGTTACGTATCTCCTGATGTAATAAGATGAATCTTATACGGACATATACGTCGCGCGAGAAAGAAAATACATCATATCTTTAGGAAGAATAACCACTAGAAAATGAAAAGCTCTTATCTTACTGTAAACTTTTGATTCTTCAAGCTTTGTTACCGCTTTTCCAACTAACGCATCTTATTCGCTATACATATACTATTGTTTTTACAATCGTCGTCGCTATACGAACGTTATCGCTAGCACTCCGCCGAATCGTCGCAATATCGCCTCTGCTATTGCTCTGCTGTACTACATTACATCGATCATCTGTCAAAACCGATGTCATTACTACTACCGCTGTTATTTCTTCCTCTTCCGGGACATGTACGACCGCTACTATTATTGCCGCTACTGTCGATGCATTGCACAGTGCTGGAAGTTCTTCCTGGGTCTTTCTGTCGCACATTCTCTGGGTGAATACAAAATTGCGGGGCGGACGCGACGCAAGTTGCATGAAAAAAAAAAAATATGTTGAATGACGCACGTGTCAAATATGTATAATAAGAGGACTCCTTTAGATCGTTCCAGGTGCTCGCGTAAGATTAGCTGCGGATTGGGGAAAGTTACATGCCGGGGACGAATTGATCGTCTCCCATCTCGATGGTCCGGGTCTAGTGGTATCCCCGATTAATACCAAGAATGAGCTCTGGATTCCGGCGAGTCTTATTTCGAACTCTGCGATTAGTCGAGCGTGGTCGTTTCGACCGCGAAAGATGGTCGATCTTACGAAGAACGATCACGCTGCCGATGAATCAACGACGACGCCCGAAGAGAAGACGCCGGCTATCCTGAGCAGCCCGATGTCGATTCGTGCGACTGCCGGAGAAATCGTTAGGCTCTCCGTCGAAACGCACAACGCGGACCGCAACAATCATGCGATCGTCACCTGGAGAAAAGAAGGCGAGGATCAATGTATAAGAGAGAGCGATCGGTACCAGTTTCAACAGAGCATGGGCTTCGTGTACTTACAAATCACCGGTTGCCGGGCTTCGGATTCTGGCGTGTATCATTGTCAGATCAAATGCGAAACGGGTTCCTGCTCCACGAGAATTTCTCTGTCTGTCATAGGTACATAGCAGTTGAGCACATTTATAACGCATGCATATTATACGTCAAGTCATAGTACATTATTAAACGGTTTCATGTTTTTTCTCAGGCGGAAAGAGCAGCACTTTGGCACGCGCGTTAGGACCTTCGAAAGTCGAGGTCGATTGGGACAAAGAAGAGATCGGTAGCGCGTCGTGCAGCATAGAATGTCGAACTTTACCGTTGCAACGATGGGTGCCAGTGTCGAAACAAATGAATGAACCACCCGTTGTGCTGGACGTGTCACCGGACGCTTCATACAGTTTTCGCGTGATGGGCGATGATGGGCGGACAACCTCGCCGTCGATCGTAGTGACTTTATCAAGATTAGATGCAGACAGCGGGGCGGAATGGGAATCCAAGCAATTCGTCGGTAGATATTTGGAGCTGGACGAACTGGGTAACGGTAGATTCGGAGTAGTTCGTCGCGCCAGAGACAAGGGCACGGGTCAGGAGGTGGCTCTCAAACAGATTCCGCGACACAAACAATCGAGATTGCTGACGCGAGCGGAATACGACGTGCTAGCCTCCACTCATCACGTCAATATCATCAGAGCGTTCGCCCTGTTTGAGAATGCACCTCGACCCGGCATAGACACTATCGTTCTGGAGCTGTAAGTTTTATTCACGGGAAATGTTTCTCGATAAATAGCGCCGTTCGAAATAACGCTTTTTCCTCTTTCGGTTTTTAGAGTCAAGGGCCCAACGTTATTTGTATATCTGAGCGAGAAAACTGAGTATACGGAAGCGGTAGCTACGCGATACACTGGGCAGCTGTTATCTGCGCTGGGCTGGCTACATTGTCGCAGCCGAATGCATTTGGACGTGAAGCCGGAAAATGTTCTCGTCGATCAAGAGACGGATCAGGTGAAGGTGATAGATTTGGGAGAAGCGGTGAGGACTCCGATCGACGAAGTTGTCCCACCTCCCGCTGATTTGGAATTTGCCGCGCCAGAATCGGTGCTAGGTAGACCGACCGGTCCTTATACCGACATGTGGGCTGTTGGAGTTTTTATTTACGTTCTGCTAAGGTACCCTAAAAAATTGCTCAAATATATTTTATAATCTTTTTTTTTCACAATATCGCCTAATGTTATGAAAATTAGTGGTTTGTCACCTTTTCTGGACGATTCTGTGGAAGAAACCACCGCCAACATACTCAAGTGCGATTTCTGTTTTCCCGATGAATATTTCGAGATGATATCCAGCGACGCGAAAGAGCTCCTTCGAAGATTATTGCGTTTGCGTGGTGAGGACCGAGCGAATGCAGAGTTTTGTCTTGGTTCGCCATGGTTGAAGGTAATAACCTTGCGCTACAACTTTTGTATATGTGTATTTTCACTCGGATAATAATTTACGTACGTCTTTCAAAGATATTTACAAAATTATTTTATAGTAATTCCAAATTGTGATATTTGTTTTTTCTATTATTAGATATCAACTGGTGCTACCATACTGTCCACTAGAATGGCCGCATTTATAGAACGTCGCGCCCATTGTCTTAAATTACGTCAAGACCATAATGACAGTTTTTATTCTTAAAACTAACAGTATGCAATATAAAAGCATGTTACTTAAAATACATGACGCAAATTTATATATGTAAATAGCAGAATATACTTGTAAATGTTTAACTATTAATACCTACTTTAAATTTCAATATGAGCGTATGCTGTGCGTGTGCGTGTGTGTGTTTTAATTTATTAAGAAATGATATTCCTTTTTTTTCCTCTTGAAATATTTTTTCTCCTTTTGCCGTTTTAAATGGGCATTTTTTATATATAATGCTTTGATAGCAAAGATGAGAGAAGAATATAAAAAAAATCGCAAAACGATAAATTTGCATTTTAGGATACCCTGTAATTTTGATTATCCCATTTTTCTTTCATTAGAGAAAAGCAGACGTGCTATTTTTAATATAGCAATACATTTTTATTTCAACTTTCTAAATTTCAGTGAAGAGTGCGATCGAATATCTTAATATCGTGTGTAGGAGTGGCATTGAATTGACCAATCAGGACAAATAAATCTCCCTTTTTTTGATTGGTCGATTAAAAGCTGGATAGAATTTTTGAACACACTAATGGGACGTTTTCAAATGGTCGGATGGCACCCGACTAACCACGTCGCCAATTGGCCAATTCAAAATAGGACTCTCTGATTGGTCAATCGTTGCTGGACCCTAGGTCGATATAATTGGTTGTGGACACTTCCGGTTTAATCGCTCTGGGGTAATTTACTAGATATTATTGACCAATCACCAAAATGTAACCATATATTCTTCAGAAGAATGATTGTGATTGGTCGAACAGTCGAAAACGCTATTAGAATGGACCTTTTTTGATCGTTCAATGTAAATGTAGCTTTCGAATATGTTTTCATATGCGTAGAAATGAAGGGAGAGAGAGAAAGGGAGAGAAACAAAGAGAGAGACATTGTGAAAAGAAACACTGAAAATTGCAGGAAACACAATTGTTTTGCAGGTTCGCGTTGATTCGCTGCTGCGTTGAACTGGTGCGGTCATGGATTTCCGGAAGTTATGTACGTGCCTGTGATGCTCTTCCGTGATGTTTTATGCATTTAACATTTTCTATGTTTGCCGGTTGTTGCATTCTTGTCCGACGCTGCATGTTGCATAGAAAGCCACGATAGGACGATGGCTGAATTTCTCAGGTAAACGTCTTAAATATTCCGAAATCGCTAATTATATACTCTGCTAAATAAAGCTTGGCGATTGAATTTGTACATCAACAAATTTGAATTCGAATAAAAACTTGGGCGCGAAATATCTTGTAAAGCTTTACCTTTGTAACGCGTTTGATATCCATTTCCTTTAGCTTTTCAACTCTCTGTAACTATAAATCTATGTAAAGAAGATCCATATAATTGTTATTTGTATATAAATTACTTATATGTATATATGGTCTTACTAAATGTGCAATGTATATGCATGCCAAAATATATCTTTATTCATTTGTAAATTTTTTATTTAATTTCAGTTTGTATATTGGAATTTTATTTAGATAATTTGTGAAACACATGGCAGGAGAGAAATCTTTGAATTACCGTACATCTTGTACGGATGATGACGAAATTGAAGGTCTTAATGAAAAACTACTGCAACTCTTATCTGCGCAAAAGGTCTTGCCTCAAATTCCCCAAAGTCAATCATTGTGTGACGATAGACTAGAAAATAACAGTAATTCCAAAGTAGGATTCAAAGTATCAGCTTCTTCATTATTCAGCCATTGTAGACACGAGTGTTCTCTTTTACATCATGATAGTCCAGTTAATATACCAACTCTACCAATTCATCTTCCACCTATCGGTGTATTTTGGGACATTGAGAACTGTCAAGTTAGTTTGCTTCTTTTATCTAAAAAAAATCCATCATTAATGTAATCTTTTATCTAAAAAAATCTATCATTAACATAATTTTTTATTTACAAAAAATTTATCATTAATGTGATATATTTTACAATATTATAGGTTCCTAAAGGCAGATCCGCCATAGCAGTTACACAATTAATAAGAGATACATTTTTTAATGGCTATAGGGAAGCAGAATTTATCGTAGTTTGCGACGTTCAAAAAGAAAATAACCAAATTATACAAGAACTGAATGATGCTCAGGTAAAATAGCTGTGCAATATGATTTTGTCATTGGTGCGATAAATTTGTTATATTATTCAATTTATTTATCTTCTTTACACATTTATTAGGTTAATTTAATACATGTAGCTGCCACATGTAAGAATGCTGCGGACGAGAAACTTAAACAATCCATCAGAAGGTTTGCCGATATTCATGGTAGTCCAGCAGCCATAATTTTAATATCTGGTGATATTAATTTTGCTGCTGATCTCAGTGATTTACGTCATAGGAAAAAAATTTATGTAATACTGTTACATAAAAAAAATACTTCAGAAGCATTAATATTATGCGCTAATGAACATTATGATTTTATGGAGCTCACAGAACCACTTCCGTCCAGAACTCCAGCAAAGGTATGAAAACTGGTATGTGAAGATAATATTGACAAAGATCCCCTTTATTTGAAGTTGCAATAATACAAATCATGGTATACTTTATACATTTATTTAATGAATGATGTATGACACGCACACACACACACACACATACAGAATACTTATATTCAAAACTTTGTCTTGTAAATGTAAAACACCTTTCATATATTCTAACGTGTATGTTTCATTTATCATGATTATTAACACATAATGTAATAAGAAAAACATTATTGATAGTAAAATATAAATATATATCTTTACTGTAATTTATGTCCACTAAATAACCGACTATGTTTTGATTAAATTATATAATATTAAATAATATTTTTGAAATTGTATATATTTATTAATAATTTTACAAAGGTGAAACAATTAATTAGCAGTTTATATATAAACTCATAAATTACTCTATTTTTGCAAAATCATCAATGAATGTATATAATATATTTTTTAATTTTAATTACGAAACATGCAATCAATGGACATACATCAATAATTCTGTAAAAATGCCGATTGATCATTCTCAGACGTACAAATTGTGTTAAAATTCATTAACATGCATAATCTTTATCTTCTGTCTATGTATATATATATATATATATATATAGGATGTCCGGAAAATCGCCCGTAGTACTTCGGGAAGTGATTCGGGACTCAAAAAGAAGGAAAAAACTATATAAATAGATTCGAAAATAATTTATTTTCGAATAATAGCCACTTTTATGTTAAGAAAATTGTAATTTATAGTCCACTTGGCATTTCTCTTTTTAAAATTTTAAAATTTAAATTTAATAATATAAATTTCAATTTATAACTCACGGGCTATAACTCGAAAACGACTTATTTATATAGCGACCCGTTTATATAGCTTTTTCTCTTCTTTTTGGGTCTCGAATCACTTATCAAAGTATTGCGGACGATTTTCCGGATACGCTGTATATAAATATAAGTATATGTATAGATATAAATACATATATATATATATATATTTTTTTTTTTTCTCCCGTTTTTCCTTACCTATAAAATTACCCATTATTTTAACACTTTCAGGGAAATGAATCCTATGACCTTTTAGTTAGTAATCTTCCTGATGAAAAGGATGTTAATGTCATTAAACGTCGACTTAAACAATTATCTGAAAATTGTGGTGGTCGTGTGATAGATGTTCAATCAAGTACTGCCGTTGTACGCTTTACGTCGCACAGTTCTGCAGACAGGTATATATTATTAATTTTATGATTGTCACAAAATACTCATTAAGATTTGATTTCTTTTTCTAATTATTTAATTTTTGAAAATTGTATTTTTTATTTTATATATTTAATAAAATTGTTAAATTAATATATTAAATTTTATTGAGTTGATCAACTAAAATGTATGTAAAACTAGCTTAAATATTAACTAGAATGAACTGTAATTTTAAACAATTTTAGCAATTAAGTTGAAGTTATTTAGATTCCCTTTTTAATTATTTATTTTAATTAATTTATATTTATATAAAAACTTATTCAAATAACCCGCCTCTGTGTCATATAAATCAGCCTTTTGCATTCTCTATTACATTGGATTTATATGAGCAATGATACTACGTCCCGTCAGGACGGAAATCTATATAGAAGAAGAATATTTGTATATATAGAAAAAGAAAGAAAAACAATCGTAGTCTCCTTCATTACATATGTAGTAGGGATGAAAAGATAAACAAGGAAGGTTTGAAATAACAGACAGTAACATAAGGAACATAGTGGAAAGTCAAAGAATATTAATATAATAAGTTGTCTTATATTATTATATATCATATTAGTACACATATAAATATCAGAAAATTTATTATAAAGTTTATTTTTTTTACAAAATAACATATATTGTTAATATTTATTATTTTATTTAATTGTTATATTACAATGTTGACTGATTGTTTTATTTCTGTTTGGGGTGAGTTACAATATCCTTTGTTGTTAGAAAAAATTGCCCTATGTCTTTAATATCAATATATCAATATTTTATATATATTTTATATCCAATATATGTTGAATATATATTTTATATCCAATATATGTTGAATATATATTTTATATCCAATATATGTTGAAATAAACTTCTAAATGACAATTTATATTGTTTGCTCTATTAAAATTAAGTCTTGTAAATGTTTATATATTCTTGTACCTGCAAGGTCATTTATAAGAAGAAATTGCTTTTACTCTGTTCAACTGACTATACAGTAACAGTATGATTTCTCTTCTATTTTTTTTAATTTTATTAATTTTTTTTATTTTTGATAGAGCTCAAAAGCGTATGGAAGGAGAATATGTTCTTGGATCAAAAATACTTGTAAGATATCTTGGTAAAGAAAAAGGAAATACAATTGGCAAAAATCCAGGTATGTTTGTTGATAAAATTCTATCTTTAAACGTATGTGACGTATACATAGGGTATTCCATTACTAAGCTTATTATAATTGATTATATTTTTTTTTCAGCAGATATTATAACACGAAGTCGGGCAGTTAGTGAATCGGAAATTGTTACCGAGCAAAGCAGCTCTAAGCAAATGTATGCTGCGAGTGCCTCTGTGTTAGGGACAAGAACCCTCCAATTCCCAAATTATCAAACATCATCACCTGTAGTCGGCGCGTATCCCGCTTTTAGCACTCATTGTGCGCCCATCAATGCCCCGCTATCAGGGTTAGTTTGTTAAATTTATCAATTTTCAAAATCTACTAAATCTATAAATTAATAGAATATTATTTTTTTTTCTGTTTGTTTAAATGATGGACAATCCGAGAAAGAGCTCTAGAGTCGCGAGTAGATTATTATCCTTGCTGATTCGGGCTATGAACCTACTTTGATCTTATCTGATAAATTGTTAACAGATTTTATAAATTATAAGGGTACAAAACGTGTGAATTTAATATCTTTATTCTATATTTTATAGAATGGTGCAGCAGCCTCCCATATTTTTTGGAAGATCATTTACAAATAACGATGTGACTTTTAACAGGACATATAATGAGCTTGCTAGAGTGCAGTCACCATTAATTTGGCCAATTGTGGGACCTCATCAGTACAACCATATGTGGGAAGAACAATATAAAGTTAGTTTCAAATAGATGAATATTTCCATATTTACTCACCTTCATTATCTGTGTTTTCTTTGTATGTAGTTTTTATCTCTGTTTGTCATTGTTTATACCTTGTCATTGTTTATTGTAATGTTTATTTTGTATAATGTATTAAATGATAATTTAAAGGTGGAGAAATCAAAGATAACAGGAAAACGAGCTCATGTCTCGCAGGTTCGAGACAATAATGTTGCTATTGGTGTAACTTCTCGTACTCCCGAAGGTCTTAGGCGAATCAGAGGCACACATGGTTCTTTTACTTACACTTCTGAATGGCTTGGAAGTCGACAGTCGCATAGTTCATTAGCTGTTCCACTTAATTATAACGGTAACAGTTTGAAATCAGTCTTATACTTTCAATTATATCTTATGATAATTAATATTATATATTGTAAAACAATAGGACAATCCAATTCTTTTAAACGGCGTAGTCCATCTCCTCTGTACGATGCAACTAGAGAAAAAAGTACATGGCATGGTCAGGTACAAATATAATTTTTTCTTTTTCTTGTTTACAAAATATATTTGAAAGGACAAAAAGAGATAATTTTCTGTTTTCTGTTTTAGAATCAACAGCAAATTTCTACACGAAACAACAAAACGCCATCACCTTATGAAAATAACATATTGCAAGGGACAGGACAACACAACCAAACCTCGCGTTCTTCGCATTTAAGTGATACAGAAAATGAAGAAGTAGAGGTATTATTTCTAATTAAAAGTTAAATTTTTTTTAAATTTAAAATTAATTAATTTATTCATAATTTTTGTTTCTCTCCTTTTTTCCCCTGTGTTAATATAAAATGTTATTTTTTAATCGCCGGTTTTTTTCTTTTAGAAATTTTGTAATCCTATAAATAACCGCAATGGATCTAGCACTAATAATGGCACTAATACACCTATCGAATTGCAAGTAACAAATTTAGATCAAAGCATCGATATAAAGGATATGAAGCGGATTCTTTCGTCTATATTTATGGAACACGTCTCGGTAAGCGTGGCAAGTTTATTTAATTAGATTTACTATATTATTAGTAGAGAGAATTTACACACACACACACACACACACACACACACACACACACACACATATATATATATATATATATATATATATATAATTATCAGATTTCGTTACATTTATTATCTATATGTATGTTACACGTTACACAAAGAGATTTTCTTTCTTTTTTTTTTCAGAGTTGTCATATTTCTATCTTTATGCAATCGGACGGTAATTATGCCGCCAGCGTCAAAGTGCTTTCGCTATCGGACGCACAATATGCAATTTCGCAATTACATCGCCGTAAAATAGGGTATAAACGTATATTGATATCTTATGCTCATATCGGTGGACCAAATCCCCAACTTATTCGAGCGCAAATCGTATTGCTTCTGCAAGAAGTCCCGGGACACAAACTTCCGCTATTCAAGTTTCGCGAAATGTACGAGAGCCGATTTATGATTTCTGTAAGTGTTTCCGAATTGTATAAAATGAGAGATGTATGCATAATTACTGAAGATCCAAGCGGCAGAATGGTCTCGCTCAATCCGGATCATAGAAACACGCCGTCGCCATGCAACAATACAGTACAAGTATGTGTGATAATTCTATATTATACGAATATTATTTACAACATGTATAAAATATGATGGATGAAAGCCGAGTCTGAGCTTTTTCAGTGATGGTAGAGCTTCCTCAGTTCCCTCACTGTCGAGAAGCTTTGATCATACTGTGAAGCGTATTACATCGTGCTGAATTTATATATATTCTTTCATGTAATAGAAAAGATGTATTTTAGACATAAAAGACACTGAATAATGTTTTATAGGATGGGCAAGTCAAGTTACCATATTGTACAATCCATATTGCAAAACCATTGTCCGACAAAGGCTGGGCGGAACAAGAGATGGCATCCTTACCTAATGTAAACATCTCCTTGAAAGTTCTCGAGTCTCGTATGCAAGAATTATTAGCATCGCACAGTGGCATACTACCTCTACCAACGTATGTTTTCGATCATTTATTGCATGTTTAATTAATTTTTGTATAGTTACAGATAAATAATTACATTAGATATACATAATGACAGATTTTGCAGTTTCTTAATCATAAATTATTTGATAATAATGCTGAAATTAATCTAAGATAGGAATCTTATAATCTATTAAACAATTTTAGTCTACCAACTTGTTATGAGGCTGAATTCCAGGAAAAGTTGGAAATTGTAGAACAAGGTGTACCTTTAGAACATTTGGTATCGTGTTTATCATCTATTGAGTTAAGACAAGATATCGGCAGCGTAAAGTATCTCGTGTGGGTAGGAAAAAAGGATCACGAAAGTAATCATGATGGTAAATCTCTTCTATAAGCTTTAATTAAATTTTAAGTTGTGCTCTTATCAAAAGTATTTTATTATACAAAAGTCATAAGACCTTGCTTCTCTTCCAGAAACAAAGTGCGTGAGTCCATCGCTCGCAAACCAATTGGCTCTTTTTAGTCGTGAATTAGTCGATCTTTTGAAAACCGCTCCGCACTGCCAATTACCTTTTAATCGATTTATACCAGCGTATCATCATCACTTTGGACGGCAATGTAGAGTCGCCGATTATGGATTTACTAAATTAATTGATTTGCTGGAGGCACTTACACACACAGTCCAAGTACGTAAATTAAATGATGTAATATCGCAAATATATAAAGTATTAACTCTCGAAACGATGTGTATAAATGTGCATTTTTTCTTATAGGTAATGGGTGAAGGCAACAAGCGCGTGGTTACGCTATCTCATCGTGCTCAAGTACGTCGATTCACTTCGGATTTATTACGAGTGTTGAAGTCGAAAGCGAGCAAACAAGTAGCATTGTCGGAATTTCCAAATGTTTATGGTAGAGTAATAGGTATACAAATAATTTCTTTGCATATCCACATTTATTCGTATTCATAATTAAAAGCAGATAATTAATATCTCACATCAATTTTTTTTTTTCAGCAAAGCCATGGGATATTGTGGATTACGGTGTGTGCAATATCGAAGATATTCTCGGTGAAGTGTCCGAAAACACGGTTGTTGTAACACCTATCGAGGGCGGCGATAAAATGATTGCTATTCCCAAACGTGAACAGACTGTGGAAGAGGTAGAACGAACAAGATTGTTCGCGAAGGAAGTGCGTAATTTGTGAATTATCGAAAAAAAGCATTTAAAGCTATATGTATCTTTTAAATTAAATTTTTTAATTTATATAATTAATTTTTTAATTTACTTAATTAATTAATTTACTTTATTAATAAGAGTTAAATTTTATAATTAATTAAAGAGTTAAATTCAATAATTTAACTCTTTAAAGATTTAAATAAGAGTTATTTAACTCTTTAAATTTAAATTTTATAATTAATTAAAGAGTCAAATTTTATACACAGGTTGTCGAATTACTACAACATGCGCCTCAATGTAGAATGTTATTTAACAAATTTGTACCTTCCTATCATCATCACTTTGGTCATCAATGTCGAGTGTCGGATTATGGATTCACTAAATTGATTGAATTATTCGAAGCAATTCCGGACATAGTTAAAATTGAAGAGGTTAATGGAGGCGAGAGACAGATATCCTTGACTGAGAAAGAGGGTCTTAAAGTACTTGCCGAACAAATATCGAAATTAGTAATGCGCACCAGAGGTGGTCTTATGGTCTCGAACATTGCACAAACATTTCTACATCAATTCGGCTACGCTTTACGTCCCGGATTGTTCGGTTGCAATTCCATGTTACATCTTATGCAAAAGCTTGGAGATACCATTCAGGTAATGTTATGTCATTCAGCTATGTCTCTAAAAAATAATATTAATTTATTTATACCAACTATATCTGAATTTTCTTTTTTTGTCACAGATCATAGATTTAGCCACAGGACCTGCTATTATCACAATAGATAAATCACACTTGCAACAAACAACTCTTCAATGTCGACGAATATTAATGGATCAACCTCAACATAGAATGCCCGTCAAGGAATTTGTTCAACAATACTCTCAGTATTACTTGAAACAATGTAATCTAGACGAGTTTAGGAAAGATCTGGCAAATGTTGTTAAGGCATGTATTTAATTCATATATCTAATGTACGCATAATTTGTTTAAATGCTTTTGCTACTTAAACTTTGACAAAGTTTCAAAATGATCATTCAATTTCCTGTCATTTAAAATGCCTTGATTAAAATTTTATTCGGACCGATTCCGAGTATTTATATCGTATTCTAAGAATATATATTATATAGTTTACAGTGATAAATGGCGAACAATTCATCGAACTAACACCGTTACATCGTTTCGCCTGTGATCTTTATCGCGTAATAATGAATTGCGGTGGTACATTAAATTTGTCGCAGTTTGATGTATCATACTCGACTATCATAGGTTCACCTTGTAAACCTGCACAATATGGTTTTCCAACAATAACTGCACTTTTACAAGCGTTACCTTGCACTATAACGATAAAAGAAACACGGAAGAAAGAAGCGGTTATTTATTTAAATAAAAAATTGACTGGTAATAAAAATTTAATATTCCTCTAATATCGAATCTTTATATCGATATCGTACTAATTTGAACATTTCTTTTTTGCTAAGCTGCGGCCGGTATACCTTTACCAACGGTGTACAAGTCGATGTCATCCTATCACGATACGGATTCCAGTAATGATTCATTCGAAAGTGATTCTTCTTATCGCGTAAATGTCTCGAATACTTTCGGTATGGTGGATAATCACGAGAAATGGCTAGATCAGTTGACCACAAACATTAATTCTTGGAAAGGGAAAGAAGATAAAGCTTTGTGGTCGGAGAATCGTATCAAGCATTGGAAAAACTTGACAAGTTTGGAAGAACGTTCGAGGAATTGGCCGGAAAGCGGCAGCGAAAGCTTCCTGAAGAGTTTAATACGCACACCGATAATGCAACATGATTTCTCTGCACCGCCACCTAAGCCCGATTCCCCACTCGAGGTATTTTCATAGACATCATTAATATTATATTATAATTTATTTTTTTTTCTATTCATCAAATATCAATTTATTAATAACTGTGCATTTTCTTTTGCAGGATACCATGTGTAAGGAAGAGCATTGGAAATCATCGTTATGGTCTCCAACGAAATTTACTTATTCGCAAGACGAACATTCCACCAACGTACAGGTGATAGTTCTTTTTAAAATATTCAAGAAATTGCATTTATTTCCTTTACATAACATTTACTACTTTTTATCATTTTAATTATTTCTTCAGGTTCCTCCGTTAACTTTACCGAATTGGAATCAATTACTGTCCGGTGATGGTACGTCTGACTTGTTATCACCAACAAAAAATCTATTACCTGCCGCTGCGAATCCTTTATATCCGCCTACTTCTCCTTATTATTCCAAGTCTGTTGTTGCGCCACATCCGTCTGAATTGCCGCTTCCTTCTTTATCCCTAACACCGAAGAAAAAGACATTGATAGATAATCAGAAGAAGACTACCGCGAGGATGCATCTCAATCTTGTAAGCTCCGAAAGCGAAGATAATACTATCGATGATGATGAGAACAGCGACAGTTATAGCACTTCTAGTAAACTCTGTGAGTAGCAAAAGAAGTAGTAAAAGAAAATTTTTTTTACAACTAATATTCTAATGTGATTTATATACAGTTGCATATATGTATTCGTTCACATTGTAAGATATCAAAAAATTGTTAATTACAGTAACTAAGGGCAAGAGACGCTTGGCAGCTCAGTTTAATCAGCCAATCGAGCCATGAACAGAGAATATACAGAAAAAGATGTTAAAAAGTGACAGTGCTTAGGATCAAAACCGATTGAGTTTGATAAATTTTATGCTTGGGAATAATAAGAAACTACAAGCTTCAATTACATTACGGTCATTTGATTGTCGTCTAAAATGGATTAGATTAACTATATAACTATGGATTCATGGATAGTGGTAGGTACCACACACTTTATTTATACTTGAAATTTACAAAAAATTTGTGTATAGAGTAAATGTGCTATAGAGAAAGAATACTGCTTATAACACTTGAATTATTTTCAAATCGTATGAAAATATACATCGAGTAAATATGTGATTGATATAATCAGGATTCTAATATCAAATGCGTGAATGATTGAATTTATACCGAATGACATGTGCTGATGGTTAGGAAACATATAGCATTTTTCGTACTGTGATATAGGATAAAAAAAGGAAGATGATAGTAGTACTATATATATTAAAAAAAGAAAGATTTGGATGGCAATAATTAATCTTTCGGCAAATCACATTCAAGAAGCGTGGCGCAATATATTTAATTGAGATTTATTATGATTTAAATCTTTTTATATTGTGCATCTAATACATATTTTTTATCTGTATATTATAGATATATTATATTTTAATCTTATTTATGTTTTTTGTATCGCATATGCGCGAATTTACAATCAATTTTTACTTGATTGTTTCGACCAGTTAATAACGCACACATATCATGAGATAATTTATATCTATTTTTAATTTTATGTTTATTAAAAAAAACACGCGAGAAAAGATTAGATTTAGATTTCAGTAATTATCGAGTATTAATCAATTCTCTCTTGTAAATAAATTATTAAATCGCTTCTTTTGATTTGCCTACATTTACATTGTCAACAACAATGTGAATTGCACTCATATAACATATTATATGTCTGAAAAAGATATTTATAATTGTTGCCAACTAAAAATTAAGTGAAAATTTTCTTGTCCGCCATGCATTTTTTCATCTGTATAGTTTACAAATTTTCCATTCGCTTCATTGATACATTTGTTACGGCTCAATGTATAATTTTACAAGTGTGTTATAAATGAATGAGACAATGTTATAAATATACATATATCGGTAATGTAAAATTTGTGAAATATTGTACGATAAGCTGTTTTCATGTGATTTCACGATACGTAAGGAAAAGAAAAATAATTTTATCGATAAAAAAATCTTTGATGTTTAGAAATTAGTACTATTATTTGATATAGCATCGTGAAAAAATATGTAGCAGAATGCGACACGTGGAGTGAAATTTTAACAAAGATTATCGATGCTATTAAATGGTGATAAATATCAATTTTATTTAAGAAAAAAACAAAAAAACGAGACAAACCGAAAATAGAAATTGCATCAAAAGTATATCAGCAGTCCAGTGTCGCACAATTCTTTTTTCTTTTTCATTCGAAGAGAAATAATGAGTACATAGACAGAATTAATTTTTGTACAATATTCTGTTAATGTATTAAATGAGTAATATAAACTGCATCATGAAAATATCGCGCTATTTGAATTGTACAGGCGAATGAATATACTGATCTCACTATTAATCTTATATTTTGTGTGTTGAGATGTGGTACGAATGTGTAATAATTTGCAGTGTGAAAGTGTTAATCTAGATTGTACTACAGGAGTATTGCTATGAATGAATTTTTAAATTTCATGCGATATTATTTGTCAATTTATTTTGGATTTTAGTACGTTATTTTTAAAAAATTGAAAAATTTGAAAAAGATATAATGCTTGCGCTATCTCCATTGGATTATTCGAAAATTCACGATATGTTAAGTAACAGTCGAGACATCGAGTGTTGTTTAATTACAAAGAAATTATCGTATTCGCATGACTTTTTTTAAAAATATTTTGTTTAATTTATTCTCGCTGAAAAAAATATTTTTGTTACATGTTATATATTTATGTGCCTAAAATAATGAATTCTTGTATTTTATGTTTACATGAAAGATTTTGCGTGTGCGTACATGTGTGTTTTTTGTAGAGAAACTTTTAATTCATTCAAACTGAAATATCTTGTGATGTGTAACGTACACCACTACACGAAATATTTTAATGCAAAGAATTATTTTATATTCTAAATATTATATCGTATAAGTTTTATATATACTCAATTTACTTTTGGCATTATAAATAATGAATGAGTAATCTGGTTAAGAGAATGTCGAGATACAGAAAATTGTAAATGAAATTAATATGTATAAGATGATTTTAACTTAATAACAAACAAAAGAATGTAAATCATCAATGAAATTGTCTAAATAATATTTCGTAAATTAATTTGATATACACATGTACAATAAGTATAATCTTTTTATATATTGTACAATAAAAGAAAATAAAAAGAGTCATTAAATCATTCAATATTTGAGATGTTTGCTATCGATACATATTCTTGTTCTATATTTATATTGTAAGATATCAATCATTATAGATGCAAAGAAGAAATTAATGAGAAATTGCATAAATTATTTTTATTATCCTTCCTTATTCAATTCATAATATATATATATATATATATATATCTGTACAGTAATGCAAACTTGCAATTCAGACTCATAATGTGCGAATGCGTTTGCCGTTAAGTTATAATCTACAATATTGATATAAATTGCTACGCCTCAGTTGGTTGACTTCTCATGCCGCTACCTACTGGACCATGACGACGTTCCCAAATCATACGATGTTTCTGTTTCATGTATGCATTTTTAACATTTAAAGCTATACCCATATCGCCATCTGCAAAATTTTTGAGACGATATATTTTGAGTACAGGGACATTAAAATGTTTAAAATTTTTTTCGTTATATTATTTTTCTTTGTATATTGTAACTATATATTGTAACCATCTGTTGTAGCGGTAATACTTACATTTTGCAAACCACGCAGCACTCGCGTCGAAGTAAGCTTTCATTAAATCATCGCACAAATGACGGTCATCGCCGTGATAAAAAACACAGTGTTCATAACGACTTCTCAATATGAATAAAATTTCATCTTCTACCGATCTGTTATTAAAAGTTGATCAATGTTTAATATAATCGAAGCGAAAATTTATTTTTCGTATTCTTGTAAATTAATATTGACGTTTGTCTCGATATTATCAATATTGTAAATCTTTCTTCTTTCTTTCTCTTCTAAGAATTAAATAATAAAACTTACTTATCGCGCATAAATTGACAATTTGCTTCGGTATAACAAACTATATCGTCCGTGTAACATTCGTCGATTGTTGGAACACGACGGTATTGTTGATGATACCATGGATATTTCTTTTGATTCGGCACTATGAATTTTTCTGCAATTAAAAAATAATGATTTGTTTATAACTTTAGAGAAAGAGGGAGGGGGAGAGAGAGAGAGAGATAAACATAACCAAACAAATGATTAGGTAATACCTCGGATATAAGTGACGGGTGCATCTACTGCGTAATATAGATTATTCATAAACTTAACAAATGAATTATCTTTCTCTGCCATTATTGTGCAAAGTAAATCGAATATCAACAATAAACGATAAATAAAGTTTCTCTTATAAAGTTGCTTTTTATGTATGCAATTCTGTGAGACTTGCACGACACAAACTAACAAATGACTAGACGGGAGTATACAAGGTCTTTTTGCGTCACACAACGTGAAGTGTAGATCGGAAGGAATCGATTGTGCCATCTTGTTGCTTTCATTTTCATGCATCGAAAACGTGTTAAAATATAAAAATATGTCCAATATTGATCAGACAGAATGAGACAAAAGTTTCTTTTGACTTGACTCCATCAATCAAGACAACGCTAATCTAAATTTTAAATTATATACAAAATTCAAAGTATATATATATACACACACATACAGAAATCAAATTTGAATTTAGAAACTATAAACACATGTATTACAAATATCTTTCGCTTAAAAACTCATCAAATTTATAAACTACAAAAGAAATAAAAATCAATTTAAAGTCCAGAATATTTTAAAACGTTTTTTTTCTTAGTTATCCTTGAACAATTGAGTTCATATACATATGAGGATATATATGTGAGGATATAAATATAAAAGCACTTTTATATAATTTTTAAAAATTTATTTTAGATGCACAATACATGGCGAACACGTGTGCATAGGATTTTACTGCGCAGCCGCAGCGCTCGGCGCTGAGCTGGTGGCTTGCGCTTGATCCTCGCGCAAGCGATCCTTTTTGAGTTGTCCCATGAAGGAGGCCTTGTCGGCGGCGGTCTGGAAGCGACCATGTCCAAACTTGGAGCTAGTATCGATAAACTTGAGGTTGATCTTTTCCAATGCAGCTCTCTTCGTATGCACCAACAAAGACTGCAAAATACGTTTCAACGTTAATTTTATTTTTTCACAGATAAATATTTATAATATTCAGATATTTAATCAGTCCTATCATTTATAACTATCATCGTGATCAGAATAATATTGCAGCTCTATAGAAATTCATCATGGAAATGCGAAACAATATATAATTATCTGTTAATATTTGTCCTTACCTTCCTTAGAGTAATCACACGTTTCTTCGGACCCATGCAACATCCCTTGATCATAACGAAATCATTGTTTACTTCACCATAGTGGGGGAAGCCACCCATAGGCGTGATTGTCTTCTCGGTAAGATCGTATTCCGTGGAAGCATTATTTTTCACGATCTAAAAATAGGATAATAAGCGTGAATGATAATTTTGAATAAAGAATGAAATTTTATTGAAGAATGAATTGTTGAAATTATATTTATGAAACTTATTTTATTGTGCCTTGTCTTGGAGACCTAAAGCACAGATATATGCTTGTGCATTAGGCACTATGATTAACAAGTAACTTTTATCTCGCCTCAAAATTTAAAAATCAATCTTTTGACAGTGTTTCAAAGATCGACTTAGGGTAAGAGGCGCATAAATTAATTTTCAAATTTAATTACCTTGCCATCCTTGGTGTGGATGCCTTGTCCGATTCTATAGATCTTTTTATTCATTTCAGTACGGTGATGATACCCTTTTTGACCAGCGCGCGCAACGGTGAAGGACACGCGACTTGGATGCCATGCACCGATACAAGCAACCTTCCTCAGACCCTTGTGAGTCTTGCGTGGCAATTTCTTAGTGTGCCATCTGGATGTAACGCCTACAAAAAGCACAAAGAGTGTCAATTGTTTAAAGATTAAGCATACTCATAATCATATAAAGAAAAACTAAATTCAAAACTTTCACAGTTAGTTTTATTTGGTCAAGGACCTCAGTAGGAAGGCAGCATGGTTATATCCTCAAGATGATCAGATAAGTGCACATCATGCTTTTTTCATCATACAGTCCAAATAGTTTCTTAAAAACATGCTTCTCATGGCTAGAGGGGGGGGGGAGGGTCACATAAAAGGGAAATGCGCAATTTTGAGGGGCAGTGGGGGCGAGCAGCATACATATATATAATTGTATATACACACACGCACACACAATATATAAATATACACAAGACGTACCTTTATAACCCTTTCCCTTAGTAACTCCAATCACGTCGATCATCTCGTCAGAGGCAAAGACATTACTAACGGGCACAGGTTTTTCCAGATGTTCGCGCGCCCATTGCACTTTGTCTTCAATGGTTCCACCATTCAACTGAATTTCCATGATGTGAGCTTTCTTTTGACGTTGCCTCAACAGCTTCATCTAATGAATAAAAATAGAACGATAAAATTGTTTCACAATTATATAAAAATGATATTTGATACTTTAATATTCAAGTTGCATTATCGCGTTACCTGAGTATGGGCGATAATGCGAACAACGCTGCAATACTTCTTAATCTTCTTCAAATCAGCTTCAATAGACTTGCGGCCAAGATCGTCTTGCCATTTCTTCGAAGCTTTTGTAAATGCCTTCTTCTTACTCTTGTACCTGTCGAAAAATTAATTGCAAGCCGATCTATGTATGTGTCTGCCATCTCTCTCCTCCTGTAACGTGCCAGTCTCATCATAATGAGCGGAGACTAAGCACATTTTTTGGATCAACCATGTTAAAATTCAGAACTTAAAATGGCTTCATCCAAATGATTACTCTCATCGTGCGAGCGGAGAGCTGATGTAATATTTTTAGTATCATTTTCAATATGAGAATAATATATTGTATTTTTTAAAGATAGAAGAACTGTACTAGGCATGGTTTATATCAATAGTCATTGCCCAATGAGCTCCAAAGAGAATATGGAATATACCTAGCTTTCATGCATTCTGCGTAAGCAGAGCACGGCATTGCTCTTCGACATGGCAGTTTTGAGAACATACTGCATTGAAGGCAGCTCTCGCACTGCAATCCAAATGAATCAATGCACTTGTGCATCGATCAACATTCGGATTAACATGTCGTAAGTTCGTATATGTAGATTTAGCATTAATATGTATTATATCATTATGTATCGATCTGTATTCAATTACTTTTAATTCATACAACACAATGATTCCTACTAACCAATTCTTGTAGAAGCGTCTGCGGCAATCCTCCGATAAATGTTCCGCCCAAACAGTTGCAAGTGCTCTAAGTCCATGCGGTGTTTCAATGTATCCAACGAGACCAACTACAATCATTGGTGGTGTCTCGAGGATAGTAACCGCTTCTACAATCTCCTTCTTATTTACCTCTGAAATTAAACAATTTATATTAATATGTGGCTAATTTGTACAGAATAGAAGAAAAAGACGTTTATCTTAAAAGTGAACTGTGCTAGGTATGGTTTGTCTCAATGGTCACTGCCCAATAGGCTCCAAAGAATTTATGGAATATACCTTGCTTTCATGCAGTCTGCATAAGCAGCGCACAATATTATTTTTCGACATGGCAATATTGAAAATATACTGTATTAAAGACAGCTCTCGCATTGCAATCTAGGTGATTCGATGCAGAAATGCATCGATCAACACCCAGATTAACACATCGTATGCTAGTATATATAAATTATATGAAATGCAAAGAAATACAAGTCACTTAACAAATTTTAGTACTCTAACATATTTTTGTTTAAACTATACAAATTATAATGTTAATTTTAAAATTTTTTTTCTATAATCACTCACTTGATCCAGGACGATCGGCTTCCCTAACAACATGAGTCATACCGGCTTTGTAACCGATAAAGGCGGTCAAGTGAACAGGCTTGTTGGAATCATCCTTTGGGAAAGCCTTCACTTTTCCGCGATGTCTTTGGGATCTTTTCTTTGGGTAGAACCCCATCGACCCATGTCGAGGGGCGCTGAACTTTCTATGCGACTGTAACATTACAAGATGGAGGAGAAAAATAAGACACGTGGTATAAACGTAATAAAATTTTTTTCCAACAAAAAGAAAATCAGACCGCCCTAGAATAAGTTCATCAAGGTTATTCAGTATATCTAACCATAAATTTTCTAAATCATCATTAGAATAAATTGAATCATTGCGAAGCATCGTATGAGAAGCCATGTGTACGATACAAGCCGATCACGCTTGTTCTCATTGTGGAAAACAGGAATATTAAAATTTCGATATTAATTCAAACGTTACCGTAACATTTATTTTAAAATTCGAAAAAGATATTTGAGAGTACGATTATATATTATAATAGTGCCGATGCTAAGAAATGTTACAGATTTTAATAGATTCTTGAACACGCGTTTTTACTCACCATGATGCTGTTGATGAAGAAATGGAGGATCCGGAAGAAGACAATTGCTTTTATACGCAACTAAACCCCTGATGTAAACTTTGGAAACTTGAATTCCCCATAAAGTTTTTGCACTAGTAAATAACTAGTGAATAATGTTTCAACGGGAACAGACGCCATCTATTGTTTTCGAATGATCGGATTTGATTCGATCTGGGGCCCTATTCTTGAAATCGTGCGAAAAATTATCGTATGCGAAAGTGACGCTGCGCGATCTTTGATTGGTGCATATTTTTAAATCTAAGAGTATACACTAATCAAAGATCGCGCAGCGTCACTTTCGTATACGATAATTTTTCGTACGATTTCAAGAATAGGGTCCCTGGGATAATTTACTAAACGTCATTGTGAAGAATGGCTGTGATTGGCCGCATTAGCGGACTCAACAGTTGGGCAACATTACTAGATTTTCCGATGTAACTCGACGCTGATTGGTCGGACCTGAAAATAGAAACCAATCATATTCGATTCGCTACTTAGCGGTTGAGTCCGCTGAATGCGGCCAATGACGTCTAGTAAACTATTTCGAATCGGGTCGAATGGGAGCGTTCCGTTTGACCACGTTGCGATTGATCACAGCCAATTATATCGACCTGTGCCTAGGGTAACCAACAACGATTAACCAATCAGAGAGTCCTATTTTGAATTGGCCAATTGGCGACGTGGTCAATCGGGTGCCACCCGGTCGAATCCGATCATTCGAAAACGCCAAGACTCCATCTATGTATTTTACGTGTCCATGATCCAGACATTGAAAATGGCGGAGCCAATTAGCAGAGATGTTACACCAGCTCTTCTCTCATAACATAGAACTCTATGATTCAGCTCTGATTGGTCAAACGCTTTTGAAATATTTCGTAACGTCAAGTGGACACTCTCTTTGAGAGTTGCGCGCAGCGTTTGATTGAGAACGCGTAATCCACATCGCTACACACTATCGACGCGGTATTTGTATTACAACATATATATTTATTATTACGCATTATACGTCTATATTTTCGGCGCACTTGACATTAGTCTCGAGATTGGCTCGACGTGGCCAGCATCATCTTGCTCTCGCTCGGCTCTTTTTAACCTGCCTGCCATTTTGCGCAATCTTTGAACTTGTCAGGATCGTCAGTGACCGAGTATTTAACGGTGGTGCCCGCGATCGTATGTGAATTTGTCGCGAATTTGGCGCGATTGATCGCGGTCGACGTGCGGCTTGTTGGACGAAACCGCGGCCCCGGACCCCCCCCGGAGGCCCCGGATGCGCGTGGTGGAAATACGGAATAGATACGGGACAAACGACTTCCGTTTAGGCATCTCTCGCTGGCTGCTACTGCGCCTTCAGTCCTTGTACGCGTCTGCTACGGAGGTCTCGCTCCTCGCCAGCTAGCGTGACTCATAATAACACGGTAATGACACTTGCATCGCACGCGATTTTATTTCATTCGCGAGTACTCGCTCGAGATCGGTCCGGTATCCGAAATATCGAGAGCACGTTTTTCCTTCGCGTTTTTACTTTTCCATTTTTTCGACTTGACAAACTTGTACGAAGAGAAATCTGAGCGGAATCGGAATAGAAATGTTTTTCACGCCTTTGTAATTAAAGGTTCGCGGACATTAATCACTATGTATCACGAATGAGACACGCGTGGCGTCAAAGATATTCCCGAACGAGGATAACGATTGCATTGTCTAGATGTTAAGATTCCTTTTTTATATCTTTATATTTTTATTTTGCGTCGTCTCTTGATTACAAAATTTTATTACGTTCTTGCTTCTTTGCAGAATGTTAGTGTGAACAGTCGTGTTACATTTTGAGATAGTCAAAGATTGGAAGACAGCAGGGATTATATACAAGTATCGTGATCATCCTCAACAACAACGATGGATATAGATCCGCCTGAATTCCTGTCAAAGGATGACGAGATTCAATATTGGATGGAGTTAGCTCATCAAATGCATCAAAGGTAGTATATATTATATTATTGAATTAAAATATATATTTATTGGAATTCAAACAATAATATTATAATTATTGAAACATGAATGAGCGTAAATATATATATATATATTTTAATTTTCTTGGATAAAAATTACACATGTAAAGTGACGGGATATCTTAATATATATGCACATTAGTCTGTTGTATGAGAATATTATTTTTTTCATACATATAGAATTAAAATATAAATTTATTAGAATATAATTTAATTTATTAAATGTATTACATTAATTGCCTAAATTGGCTAAAAAATTATTGAGATTTATTTAACGACTAGACAAGTTAGTAAAAGATATTAAAACCAATGTCTATAACATTGTCACAGAAAATATGATGTTGAACGTGAACTGGAAGAATTTCAAGAGAATTCACAAATGTTGGAGAAAGAATTAGAAACTTCCTTGGAACAAGCGGAAAAAACAAATAGGGAATTGAGACAGAGAAATACAAGACTTGCCACAGAAGTTGAACAGTTGAGAATGCGATTAGATCAGCAGTCTACAGATTGTGCCATGTTCCAAGGAAAAGCGCAAGATTTACAGCAACAGCACGAGCATCTTCTAAAATACATTAGAGAACTTGAACAAAAAAATGACGACTTAGAAAGAGCACATAGGTATCATATTTTTTCATTGTACAAATAAACTGATAAAATTGATGATAAGTCAGTAGATGTATATATATGTAATAAAATGACAATACATCTTTTGCAGGATAAATAGGGTTACAGAAGAGGAAATAGAAGCTAAGTTTAATTTAGCTATAGAAAAGAATGCCTTACTTGAATCTGAACTCGATGAAAAAGAAAGCCTAAAAGTAATAGTGCAAAGACTGATGGACGAAGTTAGAGGTTAATAAAATTGTTTTCTTTATTTAACTCATTATTTTGCGATACAAAGTGATTAATATATCATTATTTCAGATTTGAAGCAGGAGATACAAGTACATGAAAGGCATCACGCTGATAATAATAAGTCCGCCGAGAGAGTTCGTAACAACATTGACAGTAATAAGCTACAGGCCGAATTGGAATCAAATTCACCCGCTAGCCAGATAGTTTCACAAACCATATCTTCGAATAATACAACGACTTCGCCGATGAAACGTAGGTTATATAATGCTTTTGTTAAAACATGTTTTCCGTTTTGCGTCGCAAAAACGATTACCGAAATTGATGAAAACTACAGTCAATCATGCAAATGTCAAAAAGTTAAAAATTCCCGATGGCTTAAAAGGAAGAGACATTGATATAAAAATGTATTGCATGAAAATATATCAGAATTTAGAATAGTTTACCAATTCTATTTAGTTTGAAAAATTGTTCAATAACTTTTCAATTGTTTGATAATTCTATCTCTTCCGTGTACGCGCTTGCCTTTCCTTACTTCTTTTCCTTTTATATTTCTTATTAAAGACGAATCAATGTGCAGTATTATCATTAATGTAATACTGAATAAATATCTTTGACAATACTTTTTTTCTTTATTTTGACTTATTCAATATATCTTTTATAATATAAATATTACAATTTATAAATCTAACAATATAGATTTATCAGATTTATAATTTTATTTGATAATAATGTATACACACATACGGGACACACACACACACATATATATATATATATATATATATATATATATATATATATTAATGAATAAATAAGAATAGAAAGAAAAAGAGAGAATAAATATTAATCTTTTCTTCTTGTATCTTTTTATTCACTAGTTGGGCATGGAATGGTAGGGGGTGTTATTGGAAACAACAATAATAATAATAGCCAGCCATTGCCACCTTGTACCAGAATACTGGCAATGAATATGATTGGTGATCTCATGCGAAAAGTCGGGGTAAGCACTTATGCAGTATCTCGATATATTCTTTATTGCATTAGTAATTTTTTAAGCTTGAAGCATGGCTTGTTTATTTTACGCATTAGTATAAATTTGTAAGAATAATATAAAATTATATAAGCTACATGTATATATAAAGCAACTATATTGATATAGATTCAAATTTCATTAATTTTATCAGCCAAATGTCATACTTTCTTAGAGATGTTAAATCATGGATAAATCGATAGAGTGCAATTATGTATGTAGCGATATAATGAGAGGTTGTAAATATTTCCTGTTGTAAATCACATTTGATTTGTAGTAATCTTGGTAGTGTGATGTAGTTGGTGTTTTGTGGTAGCTTGACAGATGGGTCTGCATGGGCTGTAGGAGAATAAAATGCACTTGTCCAAGCGGACAGATATCAAATACCACATCATCTACTGTCTTATCAGCGGCTCAGACTCACGTATCTACTCAATGTATAAGCCAACAACCTAGATCAACCGCGTACAGATCTTCAATGTGATTTCTCGTCCTTATATTATTTTGCATCTCCTTAAAGAGCAGGTTTCGATTTGATCTTTGTTATTACAATGCTTGTAATCATTCACTGTGCACCGAATTTATATATTGCAACCTAATATATATATTATCGAGAAAATACCCATAATCCCGTGCTTCTTATTAAAACAACAAATTGAATATCCTTGCTCTAACATCTTGTTAATCATATAGCTATAAAACTATTAAATGGCATGTTTTTAACGATAATAATTATTATTCTTCTTTTCAGGCGCTGGAAAATAAGCTGAACACAAGCAGAAACGCGTTTCGAGAAGATCAAGTTCGTGATCTCTACAGGTAACACAGCAATTACATTTTAATCATATTAAATTGTGTTGTGTATTCCTGTTTTATGGTGCAATCTGTACTCACTGATAGATATCATGTGTCTATTGTGATATACTCTTCTTATTAAATATAATAATTGATAAGTTAACAAATTAATCGCTCACACTGAATAAGTTTTTATAATTTTAAACAAAATTGCACAAAAAAATATGATACATGATATTCTCATCGATTCACAATTGTACTTATATTGTTATATGTTGGTTGTTTCCATTGTGAATATGCTTGATTAGCGCCAAAAGACATCCACAATTTATATATTTATTATATATATGTAAGGCTTTTATTAAGTTCAATATTAAGTTCAATAGAGACAGACGGTTAGCTCTCTTATTTGATAAATAACTGCCTTTATATTATATAGCAAAGAGAGATTTCTCCTTTACATTTTATTTTAATGTAACTTAAAAATTGAAAAAAACTTCTTTAATATTATGCCATACTTGTTTCAATTTGTTTAAGATTTCTCAATATATTAAGGCCTTCTTTAGGCCTTAGATTTGATAGGAAGCATAATTTGTCTGTTTCTTAGGTCATTGTTAAATAATTTATATGACAATGACGCTTAACTAGTATTTTCATATTTTTTTCTTTTCTAATAATATTTTCTAAACATGTGCCATATTTGAATGTTTCGAAATAAATGTTTAATTATTTTTTATTGGAAATTACATGTGCATATTTGTCTTTACTCTGTAACTTGATAATTTGCTCTTAAACAAAATAATGAAATAATATTTATTTTACAAAATAAATATGTGCAGAATTTTTTTCTATTACTGTCGCATGCATGTGCAAAATCTTAATCCAAAATGCAGTAGATACATTTCAAAATGCAGTAATACTTCTTTATCATAAATGAAAAACATATATTTATACAAATTCTAAGTAGATTTATCATTATAAATGTATATAATGTACATGTGTATGTGAGTAATTGATTTTGATCGATCGTGTAGTTTCTTTGAAATAAAATTTTATATTGTTTTATTTGAGTAATAGATAAAATTGTGTATAATTTATGATGTTTATTTGTTAGCATATAAATATTACACATATATTTTTTTACTTATTATAAATTATATTTTCTTACGAGAAATTAATTCTAGAATCTATTGTGGGAAAAATATTGTGGGAAAAAAACACTTTTTATATTTAATTCGATATATGAGTTGTGCGCCTTTATAAAAAAAGATTCATTCAAGTAACAAAATGTCAAATTTGTGAAAAACTGTGGCAATAAATTATTCAAATACTCTCATCTATTTAGCGATAGTATACCACACGCACAAACATAATACACACACACGCAGAGACAGATATTAAGCGCTACAGAGAAACGCACAATTATATTTAAAAAAATTAATTAATATTAATGCTGTGATAAAAAAATGGCATAGTATCTAGACAATTTTAAACATCATTTGTGTGTACATTACAAATAAAATTTTTTAATTGATTTATTGCCACAAGTAAGTTACAGTTTATACTGATATGAGATTACTTGTGTGTGCGTGGCTTAATTTTTATTTAAAAAATATTGATTTTGATGTAAAGATCACATATGGCAAACAATACGGAACATTGACTTTCTTTGCATGAATGACCATTGTTACTTTTTATTCTACATAGTATGAGTAAGAATATCATTATTAATATGACATTTCCTAAATATATGTATTAGAGTATTAAATGAAAAATTTAAAAATAAACTTTTTTAATTTCGCAAATAATATTTAACTGATCCATACACAAAATTATTACATATTTTCATTTCTAAATAGATTATATATCCACAGTGTAACACACGCACGCACGCGCGCACACACACACACACACACACACACACACACACACACACACACACACACGTATATTTTTAACATTGGGTAAAACATAAGCTATAACAAGAGATTGCATTTGTCCAATTAGAGCTAGACGGCAAGTCAGAAGCCCAGCCACAGGAAACAACAACCACATTCGATTGTAAACGCAGGATAATGTCGCAGTGCAATCATATATCCGCACATCATCACGTTGTACAATCTCGAGATGTAATATTAGTAATGAAAATTTCTTTAATGACTTTAAGTCTTATTATTAAGTTATTCCGAAAATTTAGTTATTCACAAAATTGGGAAACACTCTATCATGCCAGAAATGAAAAGTCATTCCTGATGTACAGAGGCAAATAAAATAGAATTCTTCTTACGATATCTTATTTAAAAAATGTTGTGTAGAATCAAATTGAGTTACTGAATTGCAAGTTGAGTTACTATACACTTTATTAATTACATCAAGTGACATTAATTTGTTACTGTAATTATAATGATATTTTTCAATGATGCTTGTAAAGGTCGCTAGCGGAATACAAATTTTCCATTCTTTATATTATTTCGTTCATACTGTAACTGTGTCAAGTATTTTCATTTGCGTTTTTGTTACGAGAAATAAATGATTTATTTTATTATGAAAACTTTTATATATAAACATGTCACTACGGTAACAAAATATCGATATTCCCCGATGTGATTTGAATCGATTTCTCTCTACCATGTTAACTCTTTTGTGAGCCTATTACGCTACATTAATATAATATATATACTTATATTAATATGATCGATAAACGCGCAATATATAACTATGTGGTATATGTAGTAAATGATAATTAATTTTCATTTGTAAATAACAAAAAATAATATACAAAGAGTATATATATCGTTATTTATTATTTGTACAGGGTGTCCCAGTTATCTTCCGTCATCTTTCAAAGACAGATTCCTGGGATCATTTGAAGACGATTTTTCCTCAGCGAAAATGTCAATGAAGGCCATCATTTTTTGCATATTCCCGATTTTTGTCATCATATATCTTTGCAATTAAGTCTTAAATTAAAATTCGACTAAAGTAAACTCTATTTAAAATTAATCAAAGAATGTGGTTTTGTTAATATTTTATTTCTACAAAGCTTAGTTTACGAAAAACTCCTTATTTCCAATCACTTATAATTCGAAAATTATTAAATGAAAATTATGCCTCGACATTTTCGTTGAGGAAAAATCGTCTTCGGATGATCCCAGGAATCTGTCTTTGAAAGATGACGAAAGATAACTAGGACACCCTGTATATTTGTACAAAAAGAGATGTATTCTTTTTTTCTTTACTTTTTTTCTTCATTAATTGCCTTGAGACAATTTGATTTATTGCTTCGATAACATAAGATATTATGAAAAAATGAAAATTTGTAAATCTACGAATAAAGAGCTTGGGTCAATAACATGTTAGATCAAGTAAAAGTTTTAATTTTTATGCAATTTTATGAAATTTGGATTGTCTCGGTAAAAAGTTAAATTTGACGTTTTTTTAGAGATCGCCTTAAGGAATAATGTTAAATGTGCAAAATGGCTTATATGATTTACAATACTTTTTTTACAATACATTTTTTTACTTATTCATCCAGACAAATTCGTAATACATGATTTGACATATTATTGCCTCGGGCACAATTTGAATATACTAAATATAAATAGTAATAGAGTAGAATATTATTATATTTATTAGAAGAAAAACTACTTGTGACGCTTGTAGGTAATTACATAATTAATGAATAATTTATGAAATATTTTTTAATATAGATATAATTTGTAATACGGCAAATTTATTCATAAATAACTAGTAAATGTACTTTGTAAAAATGTATACTTTCTAGCGCTTTAAACATATTTTTCAAATATGTCATAAAAAGAACGTTTTCCAATTGCAAAAGCAATTACTTTTCATGGTAATTGGATGAATTCCAGCAACTATATATAACAATTAGTCAAAAAATTGCGTGTGTGCATCGATTTACATCTAGAAAAAAATTCAGTGCTTTAAAATACTAAATTGCGAGGAGTTATATACACACATTTTCTGATACAAAATTGTTATCGTAAATGAAAATTCATGTTATTATAATATATTATGAAAATCTGAGAATTTTATTCAAATAAACTCATATTGATTTAATGATACATAGCGCATACGTGTTTTGTATAAAATTATAAATTAAATTTTACAGGGGCCGTTTGAGTCGAGATAAAATTATGATAAAAATAAGGTAAGGTAATGTAAGATAAAAGCAATTTGTGTGAATTTAGAAGATTTATTTATACGAAATGCGTTTATTTTTACACAAATTTTTACACAATGCTTAAGTGATTAAAATGATGTAACTCGAGTACAGAGATCTAATATGTTAAGCACTACATCTCAACATTACCGTGAGAGTATCTTATTCTAGTGCACACTTTTTGCAAGTACTAATAATGATAATGACATTATTATGTATATTAGTAGCGATAAGAAGATAAATAGTGAAAAAAATGTATCCAAATGTTGTCGTTCAACCAAAATTATCTTGTGTGTATTTTATATGAATTTTTCGTACGGAAACTATTGGAAATTAATATCATAAACACGCGATATAACTAAACCGAAGAGCAATCGAGCGTTGGAAAAAGAAAATTATTTTTTTATATCGTACAAAGAAAGAAATTACGTTTTATATCTCGTACAATTTGTGAATCGTATTTCGTTCGTGAGTTTCGAAGAACGAGAAAATTATTAAACGATAACGAGCGCTTTACGGCGCTTATGTGTCTCTATATGGATAAAATACATGTGTAGAGCTTGGAATGAAAGTGCTTCATCCACGACGCGATTGCAAACAGTAATGTATGTAATTAATAATATAATATTAATAATAATAATAATAATAATCGCAGTAAACGGTATGTATGCGTTACACAGCGTCTCTTAAGCACGCTCGCCGCGAATTCGCCGAGCCAACTGGATGTCCTTAGGCATAATTGTGACGCGTTTCGCGTGAATCGCGCACAGATTGGTGTCTTCGAAGAGACCAACGAGATATGCTTCGGAAGCTTCCTGCAGGGCGCCTATAGCGGCGCTTTGGAAACGAAGATCGGTCTTGAAGTCTTGCGCGATTTCACGCACCAATCGTTGAAACGGCAATTTTCTGATTAGCAATTCCGTCGACTTTTGATATCTTCTGATTTCTCGAAGGGCCACGGTACCGGGTCTGTCGTAAAAATGATAAAACGCTTTGTACATATAAATCTGCAGCAACGTAGGGAAAAAAGATAACGAGGCGACGCGCGGTTGTTGGTTTTTCCAATATTCGATATTTCGCGATATTTTTAATACATTTATGCACACATACACGTATATGTATGCATGTATACGTACCTATAACGATGCGGCTTCTTGACACCGCCGGTGGACGGCGCGCTCTTCCTGGCCGCTTTTGTGGCGAGCTGCTTACGAGGAGCCTTTCCTCCCGTGGACTTACGGGCCGTCTGCTTGGTACGCGCCATGACTTAACCTGACACAATCAGAGAGATCGATTAATTAAATATTTTTATCGACATTGACGAAAGAAAATTTAAATTTCGATCGATCGCTTAGCAATCAGCTCGCTTCTCGACCATCCTCGTCGCTCTTGGAAAATTAAAATACAAATATCAGCGATCAATCGCTTCGAAACGATTCGACAACGCGACGCGATTAATTACAATCGACTGCAGCGCGCGACGCGCTCGCGCGTCGGGGTAGATCGGAGAATAAGCTCGCGAGTGGGAAAAGTATTTAATAGAGCGGAGAACGGTGGGGGTAGCGGCGGCGGCGGTGGCGGCGGCGGCGGCGAGGTAGGGGGACGATCCGTTGCTATTCGCGCGGAGGAAGCGCGCACCGAAGAACGCCGCGCGTTGCGCAATGCACGAACTTTCGTTCCCTCGCGAGAGACAGCGAAGGAGAGGAGGCGAGGCGAGGAGAGGAGAGGAGAGAAGAGAAGAGGAGAGGAGAGGAGAGGAGAGGAGAGGAGAAGAGAAGAGAGAGAAAAAAAAAGCACCGCGCGTTGTCGAGCGAGGGCGAGGAATTCGCCAGCGTCGCTCCGAGACCCAGGTACAACCTGGGGAGGGGCGCTCGGCGACGACGGCCGCGGAATCCCGCGAGAGAAATCGGCTCGCGCGCGCGAGTCCCCTTCCGAGAAACGTCGCATCACTCGCGTCCGCGAACGTCGATCGCAAAATGGTGGCGGCTCGACGGAGAGACGGACGCGGCGGAAAGCCCCGTCGAGTTTTTCCCGGCGCCGCGTCCTCGCACCCGCGGATTTTCGTTTGACGCGCGAGCGCGCGCGCGCGCGACCGCCCGCCCGCTCGCTCGCGTCCACGCGAGCGCGACGTCCCGCGGATCTCTCGACTTTGTCACCTACCTCGAGCGGATTATCGAACACGGAGCGGACGCGAATAAACTAGGTACGCTATCCCGTATCCTCGCACACTCCGATGGCAGTGGACGCTCTCCCGAGTCACGACTCTCTCGCGTCCCTTACCCTCCCTCTCCCCCCTCCGCCCACCCTCCTTCTCCCCGTGGAAATTAAATCGTGCGAGAGGCATATAGAGCTCGCGGTGCGCCGCCGGCCAATCCGACGGCGAGCCGTCGCGAGCCCGGCGAGCCGCATTGGTCGCCGGTGCATCGAGTGCGGCGCGAGTGCCCTGTCAATCGCTCGAAATCTTACTACGAGCGCGCGCTCTCTCTCTCTCTCTCTCTCTCTCTCTTCCCCTCCCGCACCCTCGCGCCGTCGTGCGCTTCTCTCGCGCGCGGAAGAACGCGAACAATTGCCGCGGACGGAGAAAATTGTCCTCCGGGACAGACGGGAGAGAGGGGGGGGCGGATTCGATCGATCGACGGACGTCGCGGAAAACTAACGAGTTTAAGAATGTAAATATCGGCGCCGCGCGTTATCACGGTTGTCGTATACGTCGCCGTATACGGCGATTTCCCAGGCGTACGAAATCGATACAAAAGCCGAGCGATAAACAAACGCGACGCGACGCGTCCGCGCGCACGCTCGCTTTGTTTCGACGCGCTCGCCCAGTCCCACGTTTAGCGCTGAATCTTACTCGCCGCTTGAATAAAGCCGATGTGTTAGTATCGCGCGTAAAGTAACCAACGGAGAGACTGCGCCGATTGCTTTGCCAGTTTTGTTGGCGCTAAACGTAGCCTGGTCTCTGCCTTTGTCTTTGCGAACAATCCCGATTCTTGTTTCGACAGTCGCTGTTACAAATACTTGTATACTTGTTTTCGCTGGCCTCGTCCTTGCGAGACGGCTAGGATCTCGTCACGAGATACAAAAGAAAAATTTAAGCGCGCACCGAGGTTACTCGGACATCGGGCAACCGCGTATTCTTTGCGCGCGAAATAGTCCCGAAATGTCTAATTTTTTGACACGGAGAGAACAAGTAACTATACTTACGGCTCGATTATCGCGCGTCGTTAAATCGTAATTAAATAATCTCTCTAATAAGCTGTTTGATTTCTCGAGTCGTTCGAGTCCAATTATATTCGAGATCGAAACAAAAATACGCGAATCAAAAAGCGATGACGCGATTCCACTGTACTGTTTACGCGGAGAAAGGCGGCTGTGTATGTATATCGCGCGATAATAACGTCTGACGTAGTACAGGACTATCCCCCTTTGCTATAGCGGCGGGTATCGATCAGCGAAATCTTAAAAGATCGATGTCCGGCCTGTAGCAAAAATCGCGCGCGCACATACTCGCATTTGCGCTAGATTTTTGTGCGTAGTGTATGCGTGAGGGACAGGAGATGGAACCATGCAGGGTGTGTGTGTGGGAGTATGTGTGCGCGCGCGCGCGCATCACACACATACATACTGTATTGCCTTCGTCACAAGCATTTCGCGACAAATCGATAGCGTCGTGCAATATCTCGTGCAAATGCGCTCGCTTGCACAGGCGCAACGATTGTACGCTTGTGGCGGAACTTTGACAATGTGCGAGATGTAGAAAAAACGCACGATTTTTTTTTCGTTACATCCATTAGAAAATGTATTTTATTTGCAATGTTACAATTATCAATAGTGCCTACGTAATTATTATTAATAATTAAAATAATTGTAACTTATAATAATAGATTCGACGCGAAAAGGGCAGCGGATAACTTTCGAGGAAAGCTCTCCTGTATAAAATTAATTTGCTTGGATTAAAATACAGAAAGGGAAAAGAAAAAATACATTTTATTACATCACATTTTCTCGCAATATCCCTCTTCCCTTCCTTCCGTAACATACATATACATGTATGTACGTTTTAACATATATCAATGTATAGAAAAGTATTTTTACAAACCCTTTCCTTGTCGCATCTTCAAGGTTATCTTAAGCTGTATATAAGATATATATGACATTAATTTTTGAAATTGTGGAATCTGGAAAACGAAAACTACACATCTATATTCTGTGTCATGTAATCATATGCTATATGATAAACTAAAACTTTTTCTTGCATTCAAATAAACAAACGAACGTGCACGAACGTGTTATGTATATGAGTGTATGTATGTGTGTGTATCACACACACACACAAACATATTATTTTCATCTTGAATTACTTTATATTTCGTTTTCAGAGACCATATCAATAAGTTTAATAATTTTATTTATACATAAAGATGTGTTATAAATTGGATAATCTGCAAATTACTGGAAAGCAAAATCGATTAAAGTAGTTCTAAAATAAAAATATTAACCCTTGGATTTTTTTTTCTACAAAAGGGTACGCAAAGTCTGTGCAATATTGATACACATATTATTTCTCTATCTACCCAAGTATGAAAAACTAATTACTATTACTGTAGTGCTTTTTTTATGTGAAAGACAAATAAATTATACTTTTCTTTTTATACTCTTTTTAACTATCATGAAACCTGTCATTGTGTTTTATCGAATTATCTACTACAGATTCGCTCGTTATTCTTCTCCCGACATCTCTACTATTATGATTGGCAGTGTATAAACTATGGTAAATATATAATATGGAAGAAAGTTAAGAATATAATTTTTAGATTGTTGAAAGACATACAAATCCAAATGAGAAGAAAATGAAAAAGTTCACCGTAAACACGAGTGACTTAAGCGCGTTCACCACGGATTCGTCGCGCTAACTGAATATCTTTCGGCATAATAGTAACACGTTTAGCGTGAATGGCGCATAGATTGGTATCTTCAAATAGACCAACCAAATAAGCTTCCGATGCTTCCTGCAGAGCTCCTATAGCGGCACTTTGGAAACGCAAATCGGTCTTGAAATCCTGAGCAATTTCACGAACCAAACGTTGGAACGGCAATTTCCTAATCAACAACTCTGTCGACTTTTGATATCTTCGAATTTCTCTTAGAGCTACAGTACCAGGCCTAAAAGACACACACGCATGATAAGTAGGTGAAAATATTCCTAGACATTAAAACACTTATTTTATCTTTCAAAAGATGAAGACGACATATAAAATATTGCGTCAAGGGAATGTATTGAATTTATAAATTGCATTGAAATTTCAAATTGCTTCATTTTTGTCGCACCAGCGACGTTTGAATTATCTTTAAATGAATTGTAATCATTAATCTCGCTGGTAAGCGTACCTGTAACGATGTGGTTTCTTGACGCCACCAGTGGACGGCGCGCTTTTACGCGCCGCTTTGGTGGCGAGCTGCTTCCTGGGGGCTTTACCTCCGGTCGACTTACGAGCTGTTTGCTTGGTACGGGCCATAACTAGAAATATGTGTTACACTAGAGTCTTATCTCGGCGGGAAGCTGCACGGGAATGAAGGGGGGGGAGGGGAAAGGAGAGGACGGGACGAACAATAAGATATTATTCGAAGAATCGGCCAACGATGATTTTCCTCGAACGGTATTTTAAGAGTATCTCGCCGCATAAAATCGCGCAAATTTGAAACGACCGTCACGGTACATGTGCGCATATGTATATTCGACAGCAATTTCCCTCCAAAAGTGAACACACACAATAAACAAAATGGCGGCCGTCCGGATGCACTTTTCCAAGGTGCTCGAGAAGTTGTGGAAAACGATAGCGATTACTCATTCACGCTCGATACATATTTTCGCGCTCGCACGGGCTACCGTTGCGAGTCATACGCGCACATTTGGCCGATTTTCGCGATCCTTTCCAAACGACACGATTACCTTACCTGATTATTCACGCTTGTTAACGAGTGACGCTCGCAAGAAATTTATCCGATTAGAAACTTCTCGAGGCACGAACGTCAAACGCAAATGTACGCGAACGCTACAAGACCATAGAAGACTATCGAAGACCGAGACACTGAGACTGAGACTGACAATGAGCGTCAGACAATCTCACTGTTTATGAAAAAGTAGAAGCGCTACGTGCCTTCACGCACGATAAGAACGTTCCTATTCAAACGACGCGATTGGTCGAAAATTTTGGTTGTGATTGGTTGGAAGCATCGGTCCATATTCTGAATCCTCTTTTATTGATAAATAAGTGCCTCCAAAAGCGGCTTTTATAAGCCTTCTGATTGGCTGTAAGCCACTTTTAGAGACACTTTTATCGATAAAAGAAGATTCAGAATATGGGCCATCGTGAATAGCATTGTTAGAATAGGGCTGCGGTTGGCAAGATACCGACTTGACCAATCGGATTAAAGAAATCTTTACTCCTTTTGTCCCGATTGGCCAATCAAACGCTTCAAATCATCTCAGCCATTGAACTCCAAGTCCCGATCCACAATAGATAATGGGTCTGTTCTTTTCAGCTGCACTGCTGCACTAGTGCAATTAGTAAGAGTGAAAGAAAGTATGTTTGTCTCTTTCTAACTTATTGCACTAGTGCAGCAGTGCAGCTGAAAAGAACAGATCCAATTTAAGTCAGTGCTGTCAATTATTTGCAACTTTTGGCCGGATTTCTTAACTCACGCTCTTCCTACCGCTCTTCCCTTACCGCACGGGCCTTAGCAACCGCGCCATCGAATGCTGGTAACTAAGGAGTATGGCGGTAACCTAATCTCGCACGGTAAGGGGAGAGCGGTAAAGATGCGGCCTCATTGACGCTAAAAAGTAGCGTCAACCATTGGTTGAACAATGAAGCAACTATACTTACCTCCTTGTTCAACCAATGGTTGACGCTACTTTTTAGCGTCAATGAGGCCGCACCTTAAGGTGCAATTTCATTGACGCTAAAAAGTAGCGTCACCCATTGGTTGAACAAAGAAGTAAGTAGTTGCTTCATTGTTTAACCAATGGTTGACGCTACTTTTTAGCGTCAATGAAATTGCACCTGTAGGCGTGAGTTAAGAAATCCGGCCGAAAGTTGCAAACAATTGATAGCACTGATTTAAGTCCTAAGCCTTAAGAAATTGACCAATCACAGCCGAATATTCTCTTCATTCTCTTGACTGTGATTGGTCAATCTCTTAAGGCTTAAATTACCTATTGTCATAGACTTATAGAATAGACTGGCCCCTACCGTAAGAGGCAGCGTTGAAAGATCTAAAGGACAGAGAGATGATTCCGGATATCTGGGATGAGTAAAAACGAAGCAAGCATGCGTGCAAGAGATGAAAGGAAAGCAGTGTGCATGCTCGCTTTGTTTTCACTCATCCCATCAGTGTCCCCACCACGAGACAAAAGAAAAGGACAGAGATACCCGGAATCATCTTTCTGTCCTTTATTTCTTTCAACGCTGCCTCTTACGGTAGGGGCCAGTCTATTCTACAAGTCTATGGTCATCCCATTGTCTAGCATGGCATGGCGGAGGGGACGGTCAAGATTTGAATACATGTATGAAAGGCACCCCACCTGTGTGGCGCTTCGAATCGTTTAATTGGTCAGAATGAAGAAAGCTTTATCGTCCAATTGAGAGTTATTCGCCAATGTGTTTTCATTCTAGGCACTTTTATTACAATTCTTTTTTTTATTTGAAAAATTTTATTTCGATATTTTAAATTGTATGTACAATGTATATATATATAAAATTAACTTGTTATTCTGTAGCAGATCCCTTATATGCTGACGTTATCACGTCATCGTATATCCTGCTAATGTAATCTCTCTCTTAATATATAGAGTTCATTCTCTATTTTTTTTTCAGAAATACTTTAGTATTATATATCAATAATCAACAAGCGCATAAAAGTATAGTTTTATTACCAGAGGCAAAATTTCAAATATAATAAGCAATATTATCTTAACTGTGTCAGTTTTAATTTAGAGAGAAGAATAAAACAATCTCATTACCTTAAATGCGTTAGATATAATATTCAATCGAAAGATATCAATTCTGCTGTTTTAGGTTTTGAATCTTCGACATCCTGCAAAGCTTCATTGGCTGTAACTGGAATTGGAGGAGCAGCTTGAAACGGCATTGATTGCGCTGCTCGAATTTGAGCCATTTCTTGCATCGTCGGTACATTAGACGCTTGAAGACCGGGCAAAGCCTGACTAGTTGCAGGTCCGCTGCCAGTACCGGCAGGTATTTGAATAACGCCCGAAGATTGAGACGAAATGGCAGCGTTAGAAACGACATGCGCTGGCATCGAAGGTCCTTGGTTACCAGGTAACGTAGATGGTTGCGATCCTATTTGCGGAGGCAAACCGACTACAATTCCGGTGGGTACGAGACTTCCTGGGGTTACTGGACCTGAGAGAGGACCGATGTGACTCTGAGGTATCGGAGGTATTCCGATTTGAGTCGAATGAACTGCTTGCTGCGATATTTGAGACGAGACACCTTGTTGAGGCGGTCTACCCGCAGAAGATTGCCCTGGTGGCATATGCATCGGAGGGCTTTGTTGGGGTCCTATTTGATGATTGTTCGGTGGCTGAAGCTGTTGAATAGTCGGCGTCATTTGAGAAGGCATCTGGAAAAGCAATATTTATCAAACTCGTATATTAATTTATAAAAAAATTGATAAAGATGCTTGTAAAAATTTATGTAAAGACTTACCATTCCTGGGCCTGGTATAGACACGCAACTTATATTCTCCTGTCCTTGGATGGATGGATCTGACGATTGTTGTTCCGGATTAGGAAGCGACGTCATCATATGCACCGGCAGTGTATTCATCGGCGGCATATTATAACTCTGCATAGGATATTGACCCATGGGTGGTTCTCCATACACGTAAACTCCTTGATTCGTCGGTGACATAGGATTATAATTAGCTCCAGGATTCGGATAATGGACATGACGAACGGGTGATCCTTGAGAAGGTCCCATAAAATCTGAAACTGCTTGATAACCTCCTGCAAAGATAAAATAGATATAATCTCAATGAAAATAAAGGTAGAGATTCAGAAAAGTAATTTTAAAATACACGTAAAATTACCCATTATATATTGCTGTTTCTGTTGCTCTTGACGCATTTGCATTTCCCTCTCTTGTTCTTGAATTTTTCGTAAAGCTAACTGGCGTTGATACTGCAAATATTCCTGCTTCTTTTTTCGCATGATCGCCAATTTTTGCGCCATTAACATTTGTCGCTGCCTTTCAGCTTCCTCTGCTCTCCTTCGTAACTTTTCCTTGTGTTCTTCGCGAAGGGCATCTAAAGCAGCTCTAGCATCCTTCATTTGAGTTAATTTATCTTGCAAGCCTTCATAATACACTCTATTATCATCTTGCTCTTGAATATATCTTAATAATCTGCAAAAAAGAAAATGTGTATGAGTTATATGTATGAGTATATATACGAGTATAAGACAAAGCAAAATGTTTTGTCTATTGTATAATTCCCACATATACTCATATATAGACACATATAAACACTTGATTAAAAAATATTAAAAATAAAAAGAATAGTTTTATTGAACATTACCTGGAATGCATAGCTGTTATATTCATGAATAAGGTTTGAACTGAACTATCATTAGCGATTGATCTTCCTCTGGAAGAATTACTTTTCATCCTGTTTACGAAAATTTCGACCTGAGATCTCAGACCACTTACGAACTCTTCCATTTGAGTATCAATCTCGCCATTTTCCTGTTTTACAAGTACGACTCTTTGAGGCATCGGACTGCTTATGTTTGGCGCAGACGGACTAGTTACATCTACTCTAGATGTATGCTCTTCGCTTACAATTTGTCTCTGTTCCCAATATTTACGATTCAGGTATTTAGCAAGTTCAGGTTCAATCTCGTCGTCATCTTGTATCCGTGATGGACTAGGACCCTAAAGAAAAAAATAAATGTTTATTATTTATAGAATTAAATGAATCAAATGTATATTAAAATTTGAATCTAACGCGTGTAAGAAAATCATAATTTCAAAAGATAATAATATTACTGTTTTAGTAATTCGATTCATAATATAATAATGACTGATAATGATTTCTTTATATAAGAAAAGACGCCTTCAACAAGAATTACAAGAAACTAACAGGTGATGGTGGTGGTGAATATGTTGTTCTAGATATAGGAGTAGAGTTGGATTTTAAAGCACTTGTAGCACGTTTTTTCTCTTTTTCTTTCTGTTCAGCTTCACTTTGGCTCAAGGCTATTGCTAGATTCAATTCTTCTTCTTCTCGCAATTCTTCTTCTGTTTTTCTAACTGGAACCTACAGATTAATAATGATAAGTATTGTATATATGCATATACATGCACACTACATAAATTATAAAGTAATTATTAATGTCTATATTAATATTGCAAGAATGTTCTCAGAAATCAAATTAAAATTTCCTTCTTTTGATTCAATATTTGAATTTAATATTTGGTAACGTAATAATACAATTATATAATATGATTATTATATATTATGTAATTTTATTATGGATATAAATTATAATACACAATTTGCAATTGCATAATATATATTTATCATGACCAATATATTACTTTTAATCATTATACAATGAGTAATTTAAACAAAGAAAAAAATACCTGGGACTCTAAGGAAGCCATGTTTGACTAATAATTTAATTATATAATTGAATAGTCTTAAAGAGAAAGAGAGAGAGAGAGAATTGAATATATAGCGCAAGAAGATAATTTAATATAGATGATTTGATTTGAATAGATTATTGAATAGATTATATAAATGTTTTAAAAACTGAATAATTAATTTTTTATATTACATATTTATAATATATTGTATTATATTTCTATAAAAAGTTGTAAATTATAACTTCATGTAGTATCTTTAAAACAGAAATACATACTTGTTGCTGCTGAGCCAAAGTACTCTTGAGATATTCCACCGGAAGATCTGTATCTTTGGTTTGTATTGCAGATGGTCTGGAAAGAAAACTAGTTTTAAAAATATCTTTTCGTATAAAATACAGATGAGGGGAATGGAAAATTCTACCTACTTGTTAACTTGCTCATAACAAGCTTCGCAAACTCGAACTTCCTTCTCAATCCCGAATTTTGGTAGAGTAGAAACTTTGCTCGAGCACTGAGCACAAAAGACTTGACCACATGCTCTACAATGATGTTTTCGTTGAACCATGCTGAAATTCACGCGACAACGATGACACACTTCACCATCTGCCCATGCAGGCGCAGTATCTGCTCTAAACATAGCGTCGCTTTCTTTTAAAGCAGGAAATTGATATCCTTCAGCTTTCATTATGTTTACAGTATCCTGAAATTATAAAAAAAATAGGCACACATAAAGCTATATATCAACAATTAACATTTTAGCAAGTTGTGATCTTCTACCTGGACTGTCCTATATTTGGGACTATGACGAAATGCATGAGCCCAAGCTTGTATTAATTCTAAAATTTTCATTCTAACATTTTCATGCGGAGAAGTCTTGACTAATTCTTTTAATTGTTCCATATATTGTTTGGTAGCTATTTCGTCGTGAATCAGCGTTCCACAATTTTTTACACAAGATTCCAGTACCTATGCGCGTGATTGGAGCGTTAATGAATATGAAGATAATAAATCCAATATTTTTCCTTCTTATGCTACAATATTAAATATTATATCTTACCAGCAAAGCATATAGCGCTACGTGTGGATTAAGATTTATCATTTTCTTTTTTATAGCAGCAAGTGCACCTTTCGGCCTGAAAAAATATAAAATGTTTGAAAACAAATATAAAGAATAATGTATCAGATTTAATTTTTTCTTTCTCAAGTAGTGCGAAATATAATTGACAATATGTATGTTATTGTACAATATTACATTCTAATCATTGGCTAAAGAATGCAAATGTACTTTTTACAGGAATTATGCTTACTGAACATCGCTTTGACGTATAAGATCGCAAATTTGCATGATCGTAGGCCAATCCGGTTCTAATTGCAGATGACTTGTCGCCTTATCTGCAAGAGATTAACAATGACTTAGAAAAAGCTCCGACATTTTGAAGGAATTTTAAACTCTCAAGAAACTCACCCAGCAATTTGTCAAAATTTGTTGAACTGCGAAACATTTTGTTATCTCGACGAAACAAACTCACGTTTCTTGAAGCTTTATCGCGTATATAGTCGCACAATAATTACAATCTCCTTGCTATAATTGCTGCGTGATTTTGACAATTGTTCACCTTGCGTTTAATCTTTCTTCCCTGGATATTTGCGAGATATGAGATATTACATGAATCACGTAGAGTTGCGTTCAAAAATCCTACGCGAATGAAGTAGAGTTTAACCGACCAATCAGGACAAAAGATTCCTTTGTCTTGATTGGTGAATTCGATAATCATTTACATCGCTAGTAGAATTTTTGAACGCACCCATAGAGTGATGATATGAATCGATTGTATGATATTCAGCAATCGATTAATCGATTATTGACAATCAATTATCAATATTTACCAATATCACTTCAATCAGTTAATTCTTTGTAAAATTTGAGATCTTGCACTTGCAACTTGTGAGAAAGAAGAGTAGTGTGAGTACAGTGAAATCTCGTATTATAATTTTGTACATTTTGTATATGAAATTATATGAAAGCGAGTTCGTAAAGTGACGTATTAATTCCTCCTTTCGTATGTTGTCTTAGACAAAATCCTCGACTGGTGAGTGATATAATTATTTTGATATTTTGAAGTATATAACGTATTCAAACAATCTATAAAAATTGTTTTTTAATATTTAACGACATAATTAATGACGTATCAAAAATATGCAATATATGTATGTAGCAAAAAAAATATTGAACAGACTTAAAATTTTAAGTTGAAAATTTAAAGAGTTATTTATATAACAGGTGTATTTAATGGCAGGAGAAGTAAAACATACATTATATATTTTGATTCTTTCTACTTTTTATTAATACAAATTCTGCATAGAGATCGAATATAAACACGCAAAGTTATACAATTAAAGACGGACAAAAATTATCAACACAAAAAGGCCAAAAGATGCCTTTAAGTCGTTAGACGTCTATTGGATACGTGCGTATGCTATCTGGGTAATTACGCTAATCGTATATTATATAAGTTTATTCTAATTATGATATAAGTGCATTAAAATACTCATGAAAAAGCATCCATTATTTTTACGAAGAATATTCAAAAATTTGTACAAAATGTATACGTGTCTACACATAAATATTTCTATCGAGCATCTTAAAGAAATTAATATACTTGCAAGAGATTATAAATCTTGCTAATATATTTGATATATTTTTTTCATACACACATAATATAAATGAAATATGAAATTTGGCAGCTTAAATGTAAAAAGTATTACATCATTATGTGCGTATACAATTAGAATATTGCGTACAAATATTGCAACTATCGCCAGCATTACGTAAAATTAATTGCAGAGAAATTTGAGCAATATAATTTTATAAAAAATACCCTGACAACACACATGTCCAAAAGATGTCCACAGAATATCTAGAGGATAGGCAAAGGATATTTTATGTCCTCTGGATGTCCTCTCGATGACCTCTGAACATCTTTTGGACATGTGTGCTGTAGAGATTATTTATTCTTTGAATACGTTTTGTCTCTCATATTTACATGTCCATACTTTTGTTTCGCCTAATGATAATGTAAGCTTATCACCTAATATATAGAATATAGCATAGTAAATAAAGTAAGACAAAATAAAAATAAATAAATCCCAATTTTAATAAAAATATATTCTTCCAGTCGAGATTTACTGCAGAATTGATGTTCCTATCTGTTAAGAATTAATATATCATTTTTTCATAATTACCTAAATTACTTAAGTAATAATTGCGTATAATAGCAGTTTAATTATTATTAATCTTCAAAATGACTACCGAAGATCTCTTGTTAAATTTAATAATACTCTAGATCTTCCATAGCCATGTTAAACGTTTATAAAGTATTATAAATTAAAAATTAAGATTATATTGCGCTAGCAAATATAATTCTTTGTATCAGAATTAACAAAATTTTAGAAAAGCTTTACAAAGATTTCAAAAATCTTTTTTATTTGATTAATAAAAAAGAAAGATAAACGAATGTTGTAGATGTTGAAATTGAAAGTTTCCTATTTAAAAATATTTTCGATTCCTTTAATACTTATTTTTAACAATTTACTTGCACTAGTATAATTTTACTAATTCTTACAATACTCAATTATTTAAGATCTTCATTAAAAATCACTAAATTAACCTGAGGATTTATATATTGTCTATAAACATTTATGGCGAAATCTTTCTCAGCAAGTAATACAAGTAATACAAGTCTAGAAAACGGATGATTGAGCAATTTATGAAAAACGTAACATTCTGGCGGAAAGATTAAAGTCTTCGATTGGTATTTGCCATCGGTCGTTCCAATCGATTTTGTTTCTGTACGTCAAATGCGAACACATTGGAAGACGCGTTGCACGTTCGCATCTTCTGGAAACCGACCAATAAACAAAATTCTCGGGACATTTGTACAAGTATCCTTGTAAATTGTTCCGGATGTCGCGTTTACACTTGTAAAAATTGTTACTGCAACCTTGTCGGTAAGGGAAATGTCCTTCTTCTGGACAAAGCCGATTTGACGATACTTTTACCTAATATGAAAAAAGCATATTGTAATTACCTTTATTTTCGCTACAAGTTCATTATTTGATTAGAATTACTTACGGGAGATAAAGCATCATTTTCCACTCTTCTGTTTAGTCTGATGTTTGCTTTGGTACCTGTGCACGGGTCACTGCTTTGATCTGCAGGTAGACACTGAATCTTTTTCTCGTCGAATATAGTATTTTCAGGACAACTCAATACGAGGATCTTGATCTCCATACTTCCCTCGGAAGTACATTGATAGAATAAATTGCAATGATTTGGATGCCTTCGGAAGCCGGTAGGACAAACTAAAAGTATTTGTTCATCAGTCAAATTGCCTATAGCGCAAGGTGTGGCAGCTGCTGGTTCCGCCGAGCTGGTTGTCGGCTCTGATAATTCAGTCGTCGATTGTTCCTGAGACTCTGTTGTAGATTGTTCTTGAGACTCTGTTGTAGATTGTTCTTGAGACTCTGTTGTAGATTGTTCTTGAGACTCTGTCGTGGATTGTTCTTGAGACTCTGTTGTGGATTGTTCTTGAGACTCTGTCGTTGACTGCTCCTGCGATTCAGTCGATTGTTCCTGAGATTCCGTTGTAGACTCTTGAGATTCGGTCGTAGGCTTTTCAGATTCTGTTGATTCTGTGGAAGCAGGAGCTTCAGTTCGTTCAGTGCTGGAATCGGTAACACTTTCTGCAACGGTAGTAATTGATTCAGTAGTGGACTCTGTCATATTTTCGGTGCTTTCTGATATTTCCGTAGTCGTAGATTCTATGCTAGAAGTGATAGTGCTTTCTTCTGTTTGTTGAGTTTGTGTAGTAGTTTCCGATGTTGTTGTACTAGATATAATTGTGCTTTCTTCTGTTTGTTGAGTTGTAGTACTAGTAGTTGTGATTATCGTTGATACGGATTGTTCTGATGTTTCAGACTCGGTTGTGGATTCCACTGTGCTCGAAGGGATATTTCCAGTCGTACAATCTCTTGCAGGATAAACAGATTCAGGATAATTGCATACGCTAATGCTAGGATCAAATATAGTACCTGGTGGACAATCAAAATGATATACGTTGAAACCATTGCCATTATCAACGCAACGATAAAACTTATCACATCGAATTGGATGCGGGTAGAAACCTTCGTTGTTGCATACTATCGTGTTATTTAACTTTTGAGTCGTGCAATCTGATACATGTGACTCGGTAGACGAAGATGATTCTTGGCTTGATTCGGAACTAGGCTGTTCGGACGAGGACTCGGGTAAATTTTCCGTGCTAGAACTTGCAGGCGTTTGAATTTCTTCTGGCTTTTCGGAAGCGGCACTGACGATTGTTGTTGACGAAGCTTCCGTTTTATCTTCTTCGAGCGTAGACGTTTCCGTAGATGTTTCGGGAGTACTCGTAATTGTAGTAGGAATTGCGGATGATGAAGTAATCGCGGTGATTTGACTAGAAGCAATAGTTGTAGAACTACTCGTGACAAGAGATCCAGACGTGGGAGAAGCACTGGATATCGCACTTTGATCGATCTCGTTATTTTCCATTAAACACGAAGCTACTTGTTCAATATAATTACATGTTTGTATGGATTGATCCCATGCTGTGCCTGCAGCACATTCAAATTCGTACTTTTGATATCCAGATTGGTATTTTACACAGCGATAGAATTTTTTGCAATTACTAGAATTCGAAAAGAAACCTTCTTCAGTACATTCGTATTTTCCAGGTTGAGTAGAAGAAGTAGTGGACGATGTAGAGCTTGGTAAAGTACTCGTTATAGGTGTGGTATCTGTAGATGCACTAGTATCGGGTGGCAAATATGAAATAGATTCAGCCGTGGATCCAGACATTGCGTTTGTAGTTGCAGTACTTGAAGGTGGTAAATAAGATATAGAAGTAGTCGTTTGAGTTACAGGAGGCAGATAAGAAACGGATTCGTTAACTTGCATTGTTGAAGATGGATATGTACTACTAATGGGTGGTAAATAAGAAACTGATGTAGTTTGGGGCGGCACATCAGGTTTACTCGTAATACTTTCAGCCTCCTGAGTCGAAGATGATATCTCTGGTTTCGAAGATATTGATGGAATAGTAGAACTTTCTGGAGACTGCACGGGCGGTGATTTACTCGTGTCTGGTTTATCGGTGCTATCCACTTCGTTTAGAGATGTATCAGGTCTATTTGTAATTATATCGCTTGTATAGTTGCAATGTGGTACGGCGTAAATGTGATTACAGCTTTGAATAGACGAATCCCAGACAGTTCCAACACCGCATTCAAATTCATATTTAGTAAAAGACGTGCCATCATTGACGCATCGATAAAACTTACGACAATCATTCGGATAAACGAAAAAGCCTTCTCTTGTACAACGATCTGAAACAAGATTTTATATATTTTTTTTTACATTTGCATATTGCTTATATTTCACTATATTTTGCTAACAATATTATATATATGTATATAGGTATTTTCTATTATACCTGTCGATGATTCATGACCAGGTGAGTCTAAAGCTTCAGAAGTTCCAGGAGAGCATGGTGCCTCTGGATAGTTCGAGGAGCTTGAATTGTTTGGAAAACTCGAAGATCCTGGGATTCCAGGAGAATCGGGAGAACCGGGAGAACCGGGAGAACCGGGAGAACCCGGAGAACCAGGAGAACCGGCAGTACCGGGAGAACCTGGATAACCGGGAGAACCGGGAGAACCAGGAGAACCTGGAGAACCGGGAGAACCGGGAGAACCTGGAGAACCGGCAGAACCCGGATAATCTGGATAACCAGGAGAACCAGGAGAACCAGGAGAACCGGGAGTACCGGGAGAACCTGGATAACCGGGAGAATGTGGATAACCGGGAGAACCGGAAGAACCTGGAGAACCGGGAGAACCCGGATAACCCGGATAGCCAGGAGAACCGGGAGAACCAGGAGAATCGGGAGTACCGGGAGAACCTGGATAACCGGGAGAATCAGGAGAACCAGGAGAAACTGGAGAACCGGGAGAACCGGAAGAACCAGGGGAACCAGGAGACCCTGGAGAACCAGGAGAACCGGGAGAACCGGGAGAACCTGGAGAACCGACAGAACCCGGATAACCTGGAGAACCGGCAGAACCAGGAGAACCAGGAGAACCGGGAGTATCGGGAGAACCTGGATAACCGGAAGAATCTGGATAACCGGAAGAACCGGAAGAACCGGGAGAACCGGGAGAACCCGGATAACCCGGATAACCCGGATAACCCGGATAACCAGGAGAACCGGGAGAACCAGGAGAAGCGGGAGAACCAGGAGAACCGGGAGAACCAGAAGAACCGGAAGTACCGGGAGAACCCGGATAACCTGGATAACCAGGAGAACCAGGAGAACCAGGAGAACCGGGAGAACCGGGAGAACCAGGAGAACCGGAAGAACCGGGAGAACCGGCAGAACCGGGAGTATCGGGAGAACCGGGAGAACCCGGATAACCCGGATAACCCGGATAACCAGGAGAACCGGGAGAACCGGGAAAACCAGGAGAACCGGGAGAACCAGGAGAACCTGGAGAACCAGGAGAACCTGGATAACCAGGAGAACCTGGATAACCAGGAGAACCTGGATAACCAGGAGAACCTGGATAACCAGGAGAACCGGGAGAACCGGGAGAACCAGAAGAACCGGGAGAACCGGCAGAACCGGGAGTATCGGGAGTACCGGGAGAACCCGGATAACCCGGATAACCAGGAGAACCGGGAGAACCAGGAGAACCAGGAGAACCGGGAGAACCAGGAGAACCTGGATAACCTGGATAACCGGGAGAACCGGAAGAACCAGGCAAACCAGGAGAACCAGGGGAACCAGGGGAACCGGGAGAACCGGCAGAACCTGAAGAACCTGGGTAACCTGGATAACCGGGAGAACTGGGAGAATTTACATTACTTTCCAAGCTTTGCTTGCAGTTTCCTTTCGTAACAGCCCAAGCATGATTGCACCCTTGAATCTCTGGATCCCAAACGGTTCCTGAACCGCATGTAAAATTATACTTTTTAAATTTTCCGTAACCGTCATCAACGCATCTATAAAATTTTCTGCAGTCGCAAGTATCAGCTAAAAATTCTTCTTGTGTACATTGAAGTTCGTTTTTACAATTATTTTCTAGTTGGTCTGTGGTTGGTCGACTTGTTAGTGGTGATTGCGTCGTTTCCGGTTTTCTGATTGTCGTAGCAGCTTGGGTCGTAATTGCAGGTTGTCGCGTAGTCACTGGGGATTGTGTCGCGGTTTGTTGCGGTCGTGTGGTTATTCTCACTGTTGTTGTCCATATGGGAGAAGGACTTTCTGGAGGATTATGCAGATTCGAATCAAGTTCATTCTCAGATCCGGCGCATTCAAGCCGACCGCTATCTCCTGGATGCGTGCAAATATCTCCTTTATTTTTTGAAAATACGGTGCCTACTCCACATTCGAATTTAAAGACCGTCAGTGGGCTGCCATTGCCCCAATCCACACATCTATAGTAAACCCTGCAGTCATGCGGATCGGCATGATAACCTTCTTCTGTACATTTGAATGGAGTAATACTCTGTTTGTACTGATTTTGGTTATACTCGTAATAATCTGCAATTTAATACAGATATAGTAATATAATACTTGTGATGTTATTTTTATATATATATGAAACCAATTGAATAATATTGTTTTTTAAAGTGAACATGAAATGTATGATGTTTTTTATTACTTTTCTTTACGTCCTCACTATACATTTCAAATAAAACTAATTTAGCAATAAACAATAATAACAATAATATTAATAGAACAAGATGGAGTAGAAATTTTTACAAGTTTATTTGTGAAATATACATTTTTATATGCAATATAAGTCTGCAAAACTGTAATACATGTACATTAAGTCACGAAAATAAATAATTTATTTTTGTGATGCAAATGATTGCCATGAGATTTCTTTAATCATTTGCATCAAAAACTAATTGAAATTTATTCTGCATATTTCAGCAAGTTAAATAAATATTAGATTTATTTATAATCATAAAATAAATATTAGATTTTTATAATCAATTGACTTTGTCATAAATTTTAAAATTTAATACAAGAATGAAAAAATTTAATAGAATGAAATAATATATATAAAAAGTTATTAACTTGACTAAATACGCTTTTTCTCAATATATGTATATAGAATGTAAACTTTTGTCTCTCTTTTATATATATATATATGTATATACATACACAATAATCTTAATTTGCGAAACTGAATTAAGTAGTACTCACTAGCTTTTGTCAGCCTTGTTATGATTAGCGTTGCTAAAATGCTCGGTATCATTGAAGTTTTCCACATCTTTTGCTTTCAATTTTATCTGTATCTAAAACATAATAATCAACAATCATTTCTTCAACATTAACATGATTAATAATTATGTCCTAAAATTATTAAACAATGTTTTTTTCTTTGCAATGAGAATTTTTAATATAAAAAATAGAGATAAGCTGTTAAAGACATTAAATGATTATTTATATGGCCTGTTTTAAATATGTTTATAAAAATGTAAATTTTCTTTCAATGATTAATAGAGTCAAAAAATTCTATTAGTTCTTGTTCTCATCTTTGCAGGAATTTAATTATTTTTTTATTGTCAGATATCTTTTGTCAAATATATGATATGTGGATTTTTCAAATAATTAGAAATAACTATATTACTGTTAGCACAAAAATAGAAATAAGGATTTGAATATATTAATTATCCATATATTTAGTTACATTTTATTTACTTATCAACTTGCAGAGTAAGAGTAATATTTAAATCCAGTGTTATATTATATATAGCTATATTATATATAGCAGTGTTATATTATATATTATATATAGTTGAATTGATATAAAACTAAATTGAAATGAATGATCTTGTCTCATAAAATGAGACAAGAGTTTACAATACAATGATATTTTTTAAGTATTACATTATTAATTATTATAATCTGTTGATTGTGTTATATCTTACCTTTTTAGAATGACTAATTGTAAGATGAATATATTACGCAAATCGGATTTTCTCTTTCTCTCTCTTTCTTTGATTATTTAAATAAGAATATGTATACATACATAAACAGATGTTTATGCCATATTTAAGCTCAGAAAAAATGTTTATGTTGCAATGGATGTATGTGTTTGTTTGTATGTGTGTGTTAAATTATCAATGAATAATCCTAGGCATGTTTCCTATGTAGATTATATGAGCTATTGACTCTGTCATTTCGAGAAACGACTACCGACTTCTATTTAATTATCCAATTTATTTGATAATAAAAGAACATTTCACAAAGCATATTAAAACTACATCAGAGAATATGATTGTATGCATTTAATTTCTTTTGCTATCTGTAGCGCTTTAATTGCGCGAGCACGCTTTATCGATATGTATTTATTAAGTTTATTAACAATTTACTTAAATAGTTTTCAAATAGGATTAATCATAGAATTAATATCTAATACATAATATGCAAAGTTTCTTTGGCTTTAAAAAAATTTGGACAGAAATACTGGAAATTGTGTTTTAATATCATTCGAATCAGGTACTTGAATCTCTTCGTAAGCTTTCGATATACAATACTGTATGTAATTATATCGAATTTTTACGGATGACCTACATTGTAAACAATACGTTTTAGTTAAAGCTATTTCCTGCGTTGAATAAAACATTTTGTGGCGCGATTTTGTAGGCTTCTTTAATCGTGTTCTGAATACTAATCAGAACTGTTTCACATGGTTGTTGTTTTTGATGATGAACGCATTTATGCAATTATGCAAAAGAGTACACATCCTGTTTTGCATGGTAAACATCGTTATTAATAAATATAAAAAAACAAATTTTAATAGAATTTTTATAAATTTAATTCTATAAATTTTTTATGCAATATTTGCTCTAATAAAGATCAAGAAAATATATATTTAAAAAAAATTAAACAAATAATGGTTTAATAAGAAAATAAATAGTTTCTGTCTGCTGTAGTTGTTTGTCTCTCTCTCTTTTTCTCTTTATACAAAGATTGCTTTATTTTTTTCAAGAAAGAGTAGTATTTATTGCAATATTAATATAACACATTTTTAATCATAATATGTTAGCTTATTTTCTATTATCATTACATTCGTGTTGATTCTTTACAATTTACCTCCCTCATGTATACGAAAGATTTATGTTACACAAAATTTCACTATGAAATATCGCCAAACATTTTGTTACACGGTGCGCGTAATGAAGGGTCGTTTGGCGTTTACTATCAAGTGTAAACGGATACTCTAAACTGTGGATATAAATGCCAGATGATTGGAAGATGCGCGCAAGTAATGACGGGCTGTTAAGAAGGTAACATGACTTATTTATAAATCGATTCAGACAGGTCTACCACCTGCGGTTGCTACTTCGGGGAATAAAGCAAACGAACCCACAGCAGCCTCGAACGCATTCCAAGGACAACATGCCCACCGTATCTCGCGGTTTGTCGTGCAATTAACTCGCCCTCCGTCGAAGGATATCTCGGCTAGCAAAAATCGACATCGCTGAATTAACCGGCTTCTCTTCTTTTTTTCTCGAACACACAGTCACACAACCGAATGGTATTAATATATCGAATCTTTTACGATTTTATAAGCATTTATGTATGTGTACTTGAAAATATTTATTTAATCTTTGTGCATGCATTATATCGCAACGATGTACGCTATAAATGCTTGCATGGCTTTTAATCACGAAACATACGTAAGGGAAATGCTTGGCCTTTTAATTTTATCGAGAGATCCTCGCAAATAATAATTACTGATATATTATCAAAATAGTAATTCGATTTAAATTGAACGTAATAATGATAAATAAATTCTTATAAATATGACTGTAAAATATAATATAATGAGAAATAAAATGAAATTTCGTGTAATATGTTTATCCGACACTATCACAAAAAACATATCGTTTGTGTACAGATAACTATTTTAAAAGGAGTAAATTTAACTTGTGTGTTTCTAAGTTACAATATATTGTACGTACATAAATGGAACAAGTAATTAGTTGATTGTAAAATCTTGCGTTTAAATACAATTAGATTCAAAGAGTTAAATTATTAAAATTATGGAATGTGGATATCTACGCGATTACATTAGGAATGTTTTTTTTTAAAGCAATGTTTGTTTCGGATAACTGTACACGCGAAACGAAGCTAATGACCTCGAATAAAAATCACTGGAGTCTTCGTTGATGACGCTTGTTAATCGCGTGGAATTTCAAGACATTGGAATGTATTGGAATATTATTGGAATTTAACCTTGTCGTCAAATATCGTTGATAACGGTACAATAATAGAAAATTAGCAGATAATAGAGAAGTTTGCATTTCCCGATTCTTGAGTATTTTATATTTTTTACGTGATCGAGGATTTACTTGAATCACTCCATCATTTTTTTATGGATAGCGAAGGATAAGAGCGCTCTACGTGTGCTTATCACTTTTTTCGTTTAGATTCCGATTATAAGCATTTGAAGATACACACACATTAATAATACTATATAAAAAGTCTGCAACAAAAAATTGATTTCAAGTTTACTAAACAAATTTGATTAAAAAACAACTTTTTTTAAATTTTTGACACAGATCCTCCATATGTGTAGATGTTTATTCAAACAAAAATAAAAACTATTCAAGATATGTAGGCCATTCAAGATACAATATGTTACACCCTGCTAAAGAAAAGGGTAGCAAGGGTAGTCTTAGATTATGCGACTCGGTACAGTGAACCTGAGTTGTTATGATGGCATGCATACAACCCAAGTACGGCATAAGTGCAACCTTGCCGTTGAAAGTAGCAAGGTCGTTTCTTCTCCCGCCAACCAGCTTTGCTCCCTGGTAATGCACGCAATGGCGTGGAAATGATGGAAAGTCTTATGCATGATATGCGTAATGACTTACATAATTACTAAAAGAAAAAGAAACATTGACTTGGGCTATCATATGATTATTAAATGTTACGAAGTTGTTTCTTATTCGAAAAATTTTCCTCGAATATATATATCTATATATAATTTATAATTAAATTCAATTACTTCCCCTCATGGTTTTTAGTTTCCAATTTCTTATTTTATATTTATATATTATTAGAAAGAGAGAAAATAATACTGTTACAGCACATTTTTTTGTCCAAGTATTATTAATGTTTAGATGAATTTTATTATTCAGCATAATACAACTTTGCACTACTTGATGGAACCTAAGAAATAAGACGAATCTTTAGTAGTAATAAAACTATATTAATTATGTATATATTAATTATTGTCATGAAATATAGTATACTTCCAAGCATTATAAAACTTGATAGAAATATGTGTATACACACACAAACATACACAAATTTTCACTAGAATTTTCACGACATTTTCACTCTAGAATAATCAATTTTCTAAAATTATGTACTTTATAAAATTCAATTATTATGAGATTGAGGGATATAATCTTTATAAAAATATTAAATATATATCGTTCATTCTCATATGATATAAAAATTTATTTAAATAAATCTCTCTCTTTATCTCAAACATACAAGTCTAATACGAGAATAATGCATGTGATTTTGTGTAGATTATTCGCTAATATTTCTTAAAACAAAATATTTTATTACGTTGCCATCGTAGACGTAAGTACAGTATAAATTTTTCACATGAATGGATAAAACAGCATCATGATGCGTAGCGTCGCGTTGTAAAAACGTATAATGACATTTGTCAATGATTACCATGGATTTCTTTGTGACTAATAGCATTGTTTCACGTAGCGATGCATCGCAATTAAAGGGATACCTGTAAATTGCATCGCGCAAGCCTTTTTTCCCCTTGGCTTCTCATCTTTACCCGTACGTCTTTTCTCATTCTCCCCTTCATTTATTCCCATAATAATATAAATATCCCGTAATTTGTCATTGGCATAAGATTTGCACATAGAGGTCAAGGCCTTCTTTGTGAAATGTGAATATATGCTCTATGAATATTTCTGAGAAAATGAGAAAGCCGCAGATGTGAATTAACATTGACGTAAATAGAGTATAATTATAACTGGTGGTGAATCAATGAGAATTAATGTGTTTGTAGCGAAGACCTTGTTTGATGTAATTAATGACAATATTGAATTGTATTGATGCGTAAAAAATTCCTACTATTTTTATGGCTAATGTTATTTTATACTTGGACATTTGTCCGGTTTTATTCTTACTTTATAACTTTTGGAATTTTACTTCCGAATTTACAAATATATGTATATAATTCAATATAATTATATACTAAATCTACATAAATAATAATATATACAGCAGAAATTTATCAAACATTTTTCTCTACATGAAAAGATGTAAAATATACGTGTACAGTTGCCATAAATCAATTTGAAATTTTTCTTTACCCGGCAACTGTTTATCTTGAATGCGTTGGTCGTATAAACTCTCATAAAGCTTACTTGTTAAAATATTAGTAATGGAAACATTTCTTACGCCATAAATATGCGAAGATAAAAATTGTTAATTCTTCTTATATAATTGTGTTTTTCTAGAAAGATTATTTTTTATTCTTTATTTTTAATTTCTTTCTTTCTATAGTGAATCATTTAAAAGTTTATATAATGTGAAAGTTATTTTTACATCGCATTAAAATTGTAATAATTAATTGCCCATTATTATTTTATATTTATACGTAATTCTGCACTTTGGAAATTAATTGGGAATATTGTACGAATCAACAGAATATTGCACAAAAAGGTTATTTTTTTATCATTAGGGAGAATTAAAAAAACTACATTTAGGTAATCTGCCTAATAATATCTGTATTAATACACTTTTGATGCAGCAAATTTTTTAAATGAAATTTCCTACACTTCTTCTACTAATTTAACAATCATTCTTCGAAAAGAAAACATATTATTCTATGGTATTATTTATTTATTATTACTTGATATATTTCATGATAAACATTCGTGTTATACTTGATCGTGCAAGTTTTGATCTGAATATATATTTTACATATTAATTGTCAAGTAACGGTTACGTCATTATAAAATTGCGTCAAGATTAAATTTGCATGCATTTTACTTGACATAACATGATGCACGTGAAGTGTTTTTTTATTGACGCATCAGGCCAAAAATTAATTTCGGGACCGGTGTTTCAGTTAAGGCTCTCTTGCCATCTACAGATTACAAGATTGCATGGGCGTACATAATGCATTACGCACTCGCAAACAGAGCTGCTACTTCTTAGCCGATCAGTTTCAATGCCAAGATCGAACAACGAATCGATCGACCGGCTTGAGCCGAGCATGCGAATCGCGGAATGTCGATCCAAATACAGTGGTTTGGATCGTGACGCGAATTCGTAATCGAGCCAAGAATATTTCGGCGACGGTCGTTTACATTGTGGACATGTTACAAGTATTGTATTGCAAGTATACTTTGCTTGTGACCGAGTGAAACAGTTATATGGCGACTATGTATAATGTCACGATATGTAACGATAACATATTCACGCTCATCAAGCAATTCCAAAGAACTTTGAAGTATTCGTATTTTTTATTTTGATAATTGAATTAAAATTTCTTTGGAGACAAAGATTTAATTAGATAATTATTATTATTTACTTTATAATTATTATTACTTATTAGATAATTATTATTATTTACTTTATAATTACTATTATTACTTTATAATTATTGTTATTTACTTTACGAGAGTATTTTATCAGTCACAAAATGGTGAGCCATTGTTATGGATTAACAATCCGTTTAAAATAAAATTACAAAATAAAATTATAAAATAAAATTATTTTGGGATATGTAAAAATGAAATATTAATTTGCATCTTGTTTAATTTTGGCAATGTGATACATATTGATCCAGAGTACAGAATCTCTAGAGATATCTTGTTATACATTATATATATATATATATATATATATATATATATATATATATATATATTGATACTAGTATTTGATTGAGATTTTATTTTAAATAACAAATTAATTAAATTAAAGGATGTGGTTAAGAATATTACATTTTTTATTCCCGAAAATAAAATGAAAATATTTTAATATTTTAATATTTACGCAAAATATGTCGTAAAGTACATAAATTAAAAATGTTATAACATTATCGTGAAAATGATTTCGATACGCAAAATACAAGAAATTTCATTTAAATTATCTATTATCGAAGTAGAATCTTTGAATCAATTTCAATTATCCAACATAATCATTATGAGGCTGTGTAAATTGTTTATAGTAACGCCCAGATGTTCAAATTTATATAAATTGTTTCTCTCTTTAAGACTTTTATTAAAGATCCATCAATATATTTTTTTAAAAAAGCAGATAAATAAAGTTTATTTAAAATAAAATGTATATTCTCTGACTATCGGAAGATTTCTCAAGCATCTGTCCAGTAATGCTATAGCAGTTTCCGCACATATACAACCCCCTGATTATTCAATAATTTAGTCACTTTTCGCTAATAAAAATTTATCTCGAATTTATACAACTTGAAATTTTCGAAACCGAAAGATTACGTCCTTATGCGCGATCTGCACACAGTTTTCTTTATTTAAAAAATGTCGATCATCAAAAGTCTAAATTTTCATTAATACTTGCATATTTTACAGGGTAAAAATATGTAAAGAAAAATAAGTGGACTTACATTCCAATGCATTCGGCAAAAATTGTCTTTCAATCGTCCGCGCTCGTCATCTCGCGGTCCTTTCTGCTTCCTGAAACTCTTGGATCCTCGTGGTCCACAGAAACTCGCGTATATATGTATATATTGTGCGTTGAACGTAAGAGCGGCCCGATCGGCGTTGTGTAACTTTTCAGCAACTATTCTGAAAATCGGTTGCCGATCGTGGCACGTTCTCGAGAGGGAGTAAGTCCTGAGGACGCGGATGGCTCCTACTTATAAAGACTTGGTTCTCCAATTGGCTTGTCGGTGTGCGTGGAGCACCAACGTGCGTATGTGCATGCAAGAAGGAATAGTGGCTGCGTGCAGGTGTGGAAGGGGATACAAACCGTGATTGTTATACATTACATTAAACATCGATATCGTCCAGAAATTTGCATTTTTTAAATAAAAATACATGCAAATACATGCAAAAATACATGCAAATTTTTTACATCTCTTTCATTACACTTTTTGTATAATTAATATCTTATTATTGAAATTATTTTATTTTATTGCAACATGTATAAAAATATATAAATTTTATATGCAAAGTATATAAAATATACAGGTATATCCCCGTGAAAACGATACAAATTGTAGGTATAATATAATTTGTATCTAACAAAAAATAATCTTTTAGGGATTATTAGCAATATTTCTATCTCTTACATATGTAATCATCTCTTTTTTTTTCTCTTTCTCTATCTTTCTTTCATTCTTTCTGACAGTCGGTTAATTACAGAGCTGGTTTCGTTACTTTGGCGCAGGGACATCGATAGAAACGAGTTAAACGCATCGTGGGACTGGGGACGGTCGCGGTATGCCATGAAAAACGGACACGAAAGTAAAGGAAAGACGACGCAATTCGCGTATCGGCGGAAAGTAAAGCCGGCATTGCAGCATCCAGATCGAGTTATGTAGACCGCGATTTTTCTGTTTCTCGGCCTTGATCGCACCCAGGTACATCTTCCATGCAGTCTGCGCATACATTTTTTCGCATCGCGCCGATATAGTTTTTCCTGATCAGCCCATGGAACAGGTTCCGCTATTTATATCAGTAATGAATAGTGAATCCGATCAAAAATGGTAAAAAAAATCAATGAATTATCGAGTAGTAGGCTCGCTTAATGCCAAGTGCTCATGAATAAAAGTGATTCCTTGAAATCGGTGAACTTGAAAATTTGCAAAATGAGATCTTCATATTACATGAATATAAATAGGAAATAGAATAGAATTGTTCTGAAACAAAATATTGATGAAAATATTGATGAATAAAATAAAAATACAAATCAACAATTCTTATATTTACCGTTAATGCTTAATTTTATTAAAATAACTAGTTATTTACATAAAATTGTATTTAAAATATATTTTTTATATATTTTTAAAAATATATTTTTGATTTTATATAAAATAGACTAGTACATAGGTATATTTGCGCGCATGTGTGTATATATAAAATTAAAAAAATAATAGATTTGAGATAAATATATTCAAATATATATATATATATATATATATATATGTACATGAAAATATTATATTAATCCTCAAGAAAAGTGAAATTGTCGACAGGTTTACCATGTATGATAAGATAAATGCATAACTTGATTTTGTTCCAAGTTTCTCATCTAATTGATGAAATAATGATAGAGGGAAAAAGAAGAAAGAATAATGTGTCAAGAGTCTTCTCAGTACATTAGCAAAAATATATGAAAAGCTCCAAATTATTATTCGGGAAGCAATATTACTATTAATAGATTGCCGTTTGCGGTACATGTATGTTCTGTCAGGATCCATCCTAACTTAACGAAATTAGAGATGACGTCGATGAGACGGTCACTGCTCCGTCGCGGTTCGATGAACTTGGAGCAAACCGGATGCTGCAAAAATTATAAGAATTAGCTATAAACATGACAAACGAGAATATAGAAATGAGCAAATAATGGCAAAGATCAATCTGTGACAAATTGCGGTCCTTGGAGGTCGTCTACGATTGTTCATCAGTACGTTATTCGAAGAGTTTAATCATACAATTTGCTTAAATATTTTTTGCGAGCTTTATTTTATATATTGGTGCTATTTTCTTTCTTTCTCTCTCTCTCTCTCTTTCTCCTTTTTACTTATATTCCTTTTTTATAAAATATTCTATATAAATTTAATTACAATGATAATTTGTATTTTATTCAAAATTTAAATATCACTATTTGTTAAAAATATGATATATTCTTGAAATCTTCTATAGAGATAACTATGCTTGCGCACGTATAAATTGAATATACTGAATCCTGAAAGGGAGTACAATGGATCATACTTCAAGGTATACTCACCATAAATGTCCTAAGGAAAAATCTTGCGGTTGTAACTTCCTTGTCCAGACATGCATGTGATATTGGTCCTCTTGCAGATTCCTAAGGAAAGGGACGATCCATTCTATAGAAAGGATCCTGAATTAACGAGCCATAGATAAAGCGCGGAAGTCCATGCTAAAGCATAAATTCTTCGTCCATGGAGACAGGCCAGCGATTCACCTGTCTCTAGAACTTTTATCTTTAGTTTAATAATGACGGCTGATATAAACTATATAACCATGATCTTTTATCACTAAGCGCTCATATAATTCTCCTCTTTTGATGTTTAAATTCGATTCAAAAGAGAGAGAGAGAGAGAGAGAGAGAGAGAGAAAAGCCATTTTTAATTTTTAAAAATTAAAAATTAAATCAAAATGCTTTGAGACACATAAACATACAAATAAAAATTGTATCACAAATAAACTTCAATTCTTACAACTTTTCTTCCAACAAATCTTATTCACTAAAAATTATTGATAATATATTGATTCGATACTAGTTAATTATTCGATTAATTATACGTGTTGTATATTATTCACCGTGCTTGACAAATAATCATGAATCAACTCGAAGTGAGTGATTTAAAACTGACATGTTAGGAGAGCCAAAAGAGTTCAACTAGACACAAATCACATATTTAAAAAGTATGAATTTTAAAAGGACCTTGAATCTCTCATGTGTGTGTGTGTGTGTGTGTGTGTGTGTGTGTGTGTGTGTGCGTCTTGTATATACGTATAATATAATTATGTACAATCATTAAATCGACTCATACACATACGAGTTTTATGTACGCGAGTTCCTTTTAATACAATTCTTTATCTTGCAAATTTATCGAGCATCTTTATCGAGTTAAAAAAGTAACGTGAAGTATATCATCACGTCACGCAAATAGAAATATCAGATTAAAGAAAATGAAAGCGCGTATATAGATTATATTTAAATATTCGTTAAGTCCGATAATTATCTCAAATGATGAAGCAAAGTAATTTATCGTAACATCGATTGCGTATTCGCGATAAATACTCGAATTTTTCTTTTTATCTAACGAAAATGTAAATCTATTTTTCCCTCCCATTATAAGCGAAGTAGAAAAGCGACGAAAAAATACCTGTCGACGAAAAGCGCATCGAACGCGTAACGACGAAGCGTTATAATCATAAAGATTGCCTCATTTCTCTCGTGCTTTTTTTCTACGCCGATCATCGATATCGCGGGACAGGTGAGAAAAAAAGAAAGAGAGCAGCCACGGTTAAAAGGCTTCGGTACCTCGGACACCTTAGCGACTTATAAATAACCAAAGAGAAAAAGAGAGAGAGAGAGAAAGCTCTCCGCACCTTTTTGCATCCCTTTGAGCGTTTCTTTTCTTCCTCTTTCCTTCTTCTCGCGCAACCTCCGACGCACGAGTTTTTGCGTTCAGAGACCCCGTAATTCAGGTTCCCTCGCACGTATGCCGCGCGCCAACGCGAAGGTAATTAACGTTGATGTCGAGAAAACTGTAGCTGGTCGCTGCTTTTGCTCGACAAAACGAACATTGAACAACACTTTCGGTGTTAATCTTCCAGGTAGATTTTTACGCACGCGAGAGCGTTCTTCGGCCACACAATTCGTAATCTTAATCGATGCATATGAGATGTGAAATATTTCTCGTTACCGTAAAAAAACGAGGAAAACAGCCCGCCTCTCGGTCGATCGAACCAGTAATTATAAAACGTATGAATTCATTAGGAAGACGTTTATTTATTGTCACGATGAAAAGATTGAGAAAGCGCATCTTCATAATCTTTAAGTAACTGAGAAACTTACCATTCGTCAAGTGATGAATAAATGTCGACTAATTCTTGTCTTTTCGTATATTTTAGGAATGCAAATTTAATATTTTTCGGCCATTATGCAAAGGCTTTTCCGTACGTTAATAGCGACTGTCGTAATAAGTAGAGAAGCAGGGATTTCTCGCTCTGGTACCGTTGGAAAATTTAGATAAGAGAGTCTCGTACTTCTATATAACGGATCTCGTAAAAAGAAAAAAATCTATCAACCCACACACAGGTCAGCGGCAATCGTAGTCGATTCTAGCGGTCGCGAAATCAACCGTAAAAGTATCGTTGATCGATTCCAGAAGGTGACGCGTTACGCCTCTGTTCATTTATTCTGCGCACAACGAACCAGCCTGCTTGAAAGATTCATTCAGCATTCCCGACATTTTTGCCCGATAGCTTGATAGAATTGGCGACACCATCGTTTATCCTTAATGCCAATCTAAAATTTTAACAATGTCACTTGTGTGTCGGCTAGATCTGTATTTTACTCCAACGTGGAAGGGACATAACTGTCAGCCGCATAACGCTATCTGTTTGATAAAGCTCAGCTACACTATCGCTAACTCTTATATTTTAAAAGAAATTCCATCTTTCGCTTTGCTTTTCGACATTTGTAGTCGCTTTGCCCTTGCATATATTTCATCCAAAAAAATGATTACAGATAAAATTGATAATTATACAACAAGGATGTCCCTCCGTAAAGCATTCTTCTCATCGGACTCGTATCTCCTTGGAATCATCTTCAATACCTCTTTACGTGTCCTTTGTTCGGCCATTCTGATTCTCTATCGCTATCCAAGGACGAGACTTAATCATAGTCTTTCTCATGCCAGCTATCATATATTAAGTCATATAACAGTCTATAAAATTCTGTCGAATCGCACTTGTTTTATGATTATTACTTTGGGCTTGCGAGTAAATCGATATGTATTCTTTTCTTTTCCTAAGGGTCCAAGTTATTTTTTTATATTTTATAAATATTTATGAAAGCTTTTGGAAACTTTTATTTCTGCTCTAAATGTAGCTGTGTTGGAATTGCGAGAGATGAGACAACAGATTGTTAGGAAATAAGCGAACGTTCTATTTACATAAAAAATATTTCCAGAAATAAGTGTCATAATCTACATGTCTATATTATTTATCTTATATTATTTTATTAGGTTTAATTTACATGCACAGCCAATATTATTAAAGACATGCTCATCCTTGAGCCAACAAAGAACTGAATCGATATCCATTAGTTGATGATAATAATGGTCATTGACATTTTACAAATCGAATCAAGATTAATCAATCGATTAATGTTAAACGATTGTTTTGCATATATGTATATTTCATTATTTATAACTATTTTCTTTCTTTTCTTTAAGTGCGCGTCATCGTATAATAACGTTGATGGAGATGTAATAGCTAAGTGTTACAGTTTTTTTATAAAATAGCATTGCCAACACATATCATCATTGCGATACATTTAATTAATATGCAACTTTCATGAATGAAATTGAAAACTTCATTAGTAAATAGGAAAAACTCAACGTTTTTGTAAATGCAAGCGCATTATATATATGTTTTATAAATAAATTTAATTATAATATTATAATCATAAATATAATTATAATTATATTCATTATAATTTTTTTTACTATATCATTATATTATGCATTGAATGAGAATATGATACTTTCAGCAACGATATATTTTAACTGGCATTTATAATGTACTTTTTAAATATTCTTACTATATAACTTTCTCACAATGATATACGTGGGTTGGTAAAATATTTTTAACGGTATTTGTACGGACTCATCGATAAATAAATGCACAGTTGTGTGCAAATTAGTTGCGGATATGGTCCGCTTTTCGGGGTATTCCCCATGTAAGAAACGTAGCGTTATCTCCTTTAGATTCCTTCGTCGTAAAATCCTTAGAGCATTATTTACATCATAATCTTACCCACATCTTTTATTTTTTACATAGATTTAAAAAATTTATAATTTTACAAATTAAATTTTAAGTTTACGTTAGTCTTACGTTTTACAAATATAATTTTATAAAGAGATAGAAAGATAAATAGATGGGTAGATAGATAAATAGAGAGAGAAAAAGAGAGAGAAAAGATAGTGACAAAATATTTATTATATATATAAATGATTAAAGTAATATATTAAAGCGACTATATAAATTATATTATTTGTATAATTTTTATAAATAAATCACATATTTGTATTTTATTATTTCTTATTTTATTTATATCTGAAAATTGTATCCATAGGACACACATATACACACATGTTTGTTTAAGAATAAATTAATTTATTTATAGGGAAGAGAGAAAATAATCGCATGCTTCCACACGCACATTTTATGCTTCAAGTTAAATGTACTCTAAAAAAATACATATACATTCCTAGATGCATTTCTCAGCAAAGTACTTTAAAGTATACCTTATATACGAATGCAGTCACAAGATTCTTATAAACATATACCAGGAGTAATAAGGAAATTCATATGGTTCTCGAATCTGGTTTCGATCATGTTGGCCGAAGGTTTTATGATCGAGACACAGTTAACCGTTGAGTTCGACCACTTCATCGATAAACGATACATGAGGCGTCTCAAAATTATGCGATTTTTTTAAAGGAATATATAATTCTTTCAATATAATTAAATATATAAGATAATTTCTTAAAATTTCTAATAAATTAAATTTTAGGAATATCAAGAGAATATTATTCCTCATATAGTTAAAACGGAATTTTAATTTATGCTTTGATTACAAACACGTTGGATGTTAAAGTGTTAAAATATTCTATACATCACTCAATAAAGTTGAGTAATAAATTGCATAGATGCCATCGTAAATTGGCTTGAGAAGATTCAATTAATAAACGACGGATATTTTATATCCGACGTAAAATCGAGACAGAACTCATTGTCAGGATTTAGCTACCGTATATAGATCTTTGCGTAAAAGGCGAAAGCCAGTTCTAGTAGCTAAAGTCCTTGGCCCAGAGGAGTCACTCACCGTGAAGGAATTCCCCTCCTCTTCCTAATAATGACCTTCGTACCGATGATTTTCGATCTTGAACTTGATTTTGCTGGTTGCCTTGTATAAAGGCACCGACACTAAAATCAACATATACAGTATTATAATCAGAATCGCAGGAAGAACCGAAACATTTATTCTAAATACGCAACAAAGATATTATATCCGATTAGAGAAGCATAAATTTTTTGAAGAGTCGCATTTTGAAAAGTCGTATTGACATATTCTCGCACTTGGAATACCTGACAATCTAGATAAGTATAGATTTACCTGTATCAAAATTAATGAAACGCGCATAATAAATAGTTCGAAATAACATCTCAAATTTATAGTGCTACTAAATATTACATTTGAAGACTAAATTAAGACACTTTGGCCATATTCATAATTACGCAAATTAGATTTAGCATCATTATTTATTTAATACAAAGTCATTCAAAGAAAGCAAATTATTTGTTTCGCGAAACTTGTTTATTTTTCTTGTACTAATAGCATGTAAACTATTGATGGTATTATAGTGTTCATCGCACTGCGATTCTTTCTGTTTATGAATTGAAATGTTGGATATCATCTATTAAAATATTGATACGTAACATATTACGAAATGTTCTTGAAATTTCAAAAGATAAGAAATGTATCAAACGCTATTCAAGGAGTTAGGAAAATCGCGATCGAGCAAAGAAATAATCATCGGTGAATTAAAAAGTGTGAATTATCGGAGGATTCGAGAATCTTTCATTAACAGGTTTCTTGTTTACAAGAAGAAGGAGGAAGTCCCGATAAGGTTCAAAGATCTGGGTTAATGATCAAAACCTGATAAAATGTTACGCGATGACTTTATACCCACCCTTTTTTTCTTCGTTCACAACGTTTTGGGCTGTCTTTAAGGAACCAGTGTTCCGTTACGAATATTTACAGCTGAAATTCCGTTGCAATGACGCGACCGATATCTGCAATTCTCTTCGTCTTTCCCCGACCTTGCGCACACGGATCCTAAACAATCAAAAGGTAAATATTAATTTGATATATAATTAGCAATAAAACATGTTGGTTCCTTTAATCTCAATAGTTTGTTGGAAAATGTGCCGAGTAAAAAGCGAATGCAACTTGCAAGATGTGCTTTTAGAAAAGAAAATATTCAAAAAAATAGAATTAAAATTTGAACGATATTTTATTCGACGTTAACCATAAATAATTATATATTCGAAAAAAGCGATATGATAAGTACACGCGTAGATATGTCATGTATAATTTATATTATATTTTCATATTTGTTAAAAATAACAAATTTGACGTCCCCTCTTTTCTTTCTCGCTAAGAGAACTTTATACATTTATCAGAAAAAAAATTATCTTTTATCTCTTGTGCTTTTTTGATATTCTTGTAGAAGAATGCAGTGGTTTTATATTAGTTTTGTATCATGATTTTATAGTTGCAACACGAATGAAGCAAGTCGCAGCATACAAGCGGAAAGGAAGGAACAATATACTTTGAGATTTTCGTATCGACAATATACCTTTCTCTAGAGAAGGATTTTTCGATACTTTCATTTGCAAGGATGTTTAAATATATATAAAAAATCATAAAAGAAATTATTCTGTAAAAAGTAAAAATAAAACAAATATATATATATATATATATATATATATATATATATGTATATTTGTATTAAAATATGAATATTATGTATAATGTAATGTATGTCTGATATAATCTGCTAAAATTTTGATTGCAAAGTTCATCATTAATATATGTTATTACATCCTTATATTTTCACTATAATTATATTTCGCATAAAAATAATTCAAATAAAAAATAAAACAAAAAGAAAAATCCAAATTAATTAAATAATAAATTATTACATGTCACTCATCTATAATTTATACATCTTTCAATTTAGCATAAATAAAGCTATCTTTCTGGCTATTCTTTCACTCCACTTCATATATATTTTTAATTTTACTTTTCAGAAAAGAGGACTATCTCTCAAATTTAAATGTTTACCAATTAGCTCATTAGTCTCTTGCATTAAATATATCAAAAAGAATCAAATGCTAATTATCTAATTGTTTGACCTTTATTTATTATTCTTTTATAAATATCTTTTTAAATATTTTACAATTCTTTAAATTGTTGTCGAAGACTCGTGATGCATATTATATGTATGCATATGCGTTAAAAGATCGCAGTCGCTTTGAGATCCGCTATCTGACAAAGAAACCAGAAGCCTTGTTAAACACGGTACTGTGAAAAGAACTCATTCGTTAAACAAATTGGCGATAATCTGAGCTTGCTGATCTCAATGACGATGCCACACGGAGGAAGGAGCACAAACGTTAATACCGCGATGCTGTGTGAATCGCAACGATGCAAAGAACCAAGCAAAGAGACACGCGCAGTTGCATAAGTATGTGAATCAGTTGTATAAGTGATCGCCACGGCAAACAGGTAGAGATTATGTAGTGCGATTAAATATTGAATAATTGGATTGTTGTCAAATCTGCTACATTTCATCACAATTAAATTTTTTACTGTCGTTGTTAAAAAAAATGCGAGTTGCTAGGTATATATGAACGTGTATGTGTGTCTTCTATGCGTACGTATTCTCATATTCTTTTTTAATAATCGTAATAATTGACAGGAAAGAAACCATGCTTAATATTTTTAGAAAATTCTGCAGTGTTGTGCAAAAAACATTTTCGTATATAACTGCGATTCTTAGCATTGAACTATTTTAATTTTATAGTAAAAATAAATAAATAAAAATATATATATATATATTCAGCATAAATCGCAGAATTTCTCAATTTGAAACAAAAATGCATAATGTGGGTCTATGTATAATGTCTAGTATTTAACGATGAAATGACGATGTAATGATCACAGTTTCCTGTAATCAATTAGCAAGAGACAAATACAATGTTACGTGTATATATATTGAATAATCGCGGTTGGATAATTGTATACAAAGCTCTTATAAATTGAATGTTTCTTAATAAAAAATAAAATACATATATTGAGAATAATTATTAATATCTGTCTAAAGCTGCCATGTAAAAAATAACATATGATTTTATACTATGAAATTGATAACATAATAGCGAGTAAATCTTAATTTACTTCTATGACACATTAAATTTTTATTTATCATTTATATCAGTTCGCGATGAGTATGGATGTATATATATGTGTGTTTTAAGTAAATAAAAAAAGTTTATGTAAACTCTAACTATATACATATTCTTCTAATTAATAATTTTACTTTTAAAACACTAAAAGAAAAAATGGATCGATAAAAAAAAGAAAAGTAAAAATTTGAGATCTTTATTGTTTAAAAAATTTTTTACTATCAAAAGTATAGACTTTATATATATATATATATATATATATATATATATATATATATACCGGGTGTTTCAGACCACCCGTACACCCCATTTTAAAGCAAAGGAAGTGGTTATTTTGAAAAATGTTTCAGACAAAAGTTGTTGAAGATAAAGTAATGCATTACATGGGTAAATTTGATTGACCTTGGGTGGCGTCGTGAAGGTCATGTCAAGGTCGACTTGAATTTTTTAAATGGGAACCCCTATTTTTCATTGCATATTCTTGTAGCTTATCTCGAGAGCTTTCCAAAACACTATAATTAAGTACCTTTTTATTAAGTACTTTTTGAGTTATAAGGCTTGAAATAATTTCTTAATTTTATATAAACCATAAAATATCTAGTAAACCATTCATTTTTCGATTATCTTACCTTCATACTTTTATGTACAAAATAATGAGAGGAATCAATTGGTGTAAAGAAAACACATAGTTGTTTCTAAGAAAAAATATGTAATTTGCAATTAACAATTCCATATTTTTTCTTAGAAACAACTATGTGTTTTCTTTACACCAATTGATTCCTCTCATTATTTTGTACATAAAAGTATGAAGGTAAGATAATCGAAAAATGAATGGTTTACTAGATATTTTATGGTTTATATAAAATTAAGAAATTATTTCAAGCCTTATAACTCAAAAAGTACTTAATAAAAAGGTACTTAATTATAGTGTTTTGGAAAGCTCTCGAGATAAGCTACAAGAATATGCAATGAAAAATAGGGGTTCCCATTTAAAAAATTCAAGTCGACCTTGACATGACCTTCACGACGCCACCCAAGATCAATCAAATTTACCCATGTAATGCATTACTTTATCTTCAACAACTTTTGTCTGAAACATTTTTCAAAATAACCACTTCCTTTACTTTAAAATGGGGTGTACGGGTGGTCTGAAACACCCGGTATATACACACAATACATATATACACTATTTCTCAAGTTAATAAAAATTTAAAAGAGAGAATATTTATATTAAATCTTACTCTTATATATATTTAAAAGTAATCTTATTTCGTAACAATACATTTATATTATTTTTCCTTATATCGAATCGTCATCTTTTCAGACTTTTAATTCATATTACGTAATATTTAAAGATCACGTAATCAGTAAACGACAATGATTAAATTTAATTTTAAAAGAACAATTAAAAACAAAATTCCTATTTTAAAATGGCTACCGCTGTATAAAACGGAAGACATGCTGGGTGACCTTGTTGCGGGGGTCACCGTGGGATTAACTTTGATACCTCAAGTATGAGAGACACACAGACATTAAATATTACTTGCAAATATTTAGTTTAAAAGTGTAATATTTGCGATTGTTTAGGCAATAGCTTATGCGAGTTTGGCGGGATTGGAACCACAATATGGGCTTTATAGCGCCTTTGTGGGAAGTTTCATCTATGTCATTTTTGGGACGTGTCGTGAAATCAGCATTGGTCCGACCGCGCTTTTATCTTTACTAACTTGGACATATGCAAGGTATGAACATATTAAAACTCTTTGTAAAAGTAAGTTATTGAAAATTTCTAAATATTTGATAAATTCTGCTCTTTTATACACACACATTGATTTTTCTCTTTCTCTCTCTCCCTCTCTCTCTCTCTCTCTCTCTCTCTGGAAAACAAATATACCCTTTTAAAAGATAAATTCTTTAACTGCCAAGTTCTTAAGACTTGTAATTATGTATTTATCCTTTCTTTTAATATATCAAATGTTATAAATTTTCATTAAAAACTATATTTAATTTTGATACGATAGAAAAATCTTGCTCGTTATTATGCATGAGATTGACGTAATAATGTTTTTGCTTGAAATTTTATCCGATAAATCAAGATATAAAATAAAAGAATGTGCTAATGAGAGCATTTAAACTATAACAAAATTGAATTATTAAAGATTTTTTTATAAATTTCTTTTTGAAAAAAGATTGTTCATGTATGTCAAGGTTGTAATATATTACAAAAGAGTATAACTTATTTATTCCAAGTATAATTCTTTCAGAGGAATTCCCGGGTATACAGCATTGCTTTGCTTTTTATCGGGATGTGTCACAATATTTCTTGGCATTCTGCACTTAGGATTTTTAGTTGAATTTGTTTCAATACCGGTTATATCCGGATTTACGTCAGCTGCGAGCCTCATCATTGCTTGCAGTCAAATAAAGAATCTATTGGGCTTGAATATTCATGGTGAGAATTTTGTTGAAATTTGGCGGCAGTTGATAAACCATATAACTGATACAAAAATACCAGATTTGATTCTTTCTTGCTGCTGTATTGTAATTCTACTAATCTTGAAGGTATATACTATAAATAAAAAATAAAAATAACGGAATTATGATTGATACAATCATAATCCTTTTATTTTTCCAGTATTATAAGTTTATTTAAAAAACAAAAATAACAGAATTACGATTGTATCCGTTTATTTTTCTAGCATTTAAAGGATAAAAACGTTGCTAATACCACATTGAAGAGATTTCTTTGGGTGATCGGTACAGCTAGAAACGCTCTTGTAGTCATCCTCTGCGCAGTCACGTCTTATATTTTCGAGATGCATGATGGAGCACCCTTCATCCTTACGGGTCATATCCATGCTGGTTTGCCGAGTATCGATCCGCCTCCATTTTCAAGGACAATTGGCCAAAACCAAACTGAAAGTTTCATCGATATGGCTAAGAATTTCAATTTTGGAATTTTGGTGATACCGCTTCTCTCCATTATTGGAAATGTAGCCATTGCAAAAGCTTTTTGTACGACATATTTTCAACATATTACTTAATATTAATTAAAAAATTTAATTTGAAAAATATAAAGCTATGCAGAAATTATTGCGTATACGTATAAACGCGTGATCATTCAATTATTACGAGAAAATCTCTCTAAATATTTCTTATTATTTAAAGCACGAGGTATGCCTTTAGATGCCACGCAAGAAATGTTAACTCTCGGATTGTGCAATATAATTGGCTCATTTTTTCATTCGATACCTGTCACAGGATCTTTTTCAAGAAGCGCAGTATTGAATGCTTCTGGCATTAAAACACCTTTAGGTAGCATATACACAGGTAAATTACAAAAAGATGCCGAATAATATCAAAACTAATATTAAATTCCTATATAATTAAATTTTGATAAGTTACGGTGAGAATTTAATTTTATCAGTTTCTAAATAAAAAGAAAAGAAAAGAAAAATGTTATTAAAATAAAAGTGACAAACAATTTCAGGTATTCTAGTCATACTTGCGCTAAGTTTATTAACACCATATTTTTACTATATTCCAAAAGCAACATTGAGTTCTGTCATAATTACTGCAGTGATATTTATGATAGAAATTGGTACGATACTTCCAATCTGGAAATGTAATAGTGAGTATATATTTAAAATAATTAACAGTGAGCGCAAAATAAGTCAAGTTAAAAAGGACACATCATAAACTATTATAATTAATGAAAATTGATGAGTTAATTACGAGCAATTAATATTTATTAATAAAGTTTATTATATTATTTATTAATAATTATATTTTTTCACAGAACGCGATCTAATACCGGCATTTGTCACATTCTTCGCTAGCTTATTCGTCGGAGTCGAATTGGGAATTTTAATAGGTATGATAATCGATCTCGCCATATTGACATACCTAAATGCGAGGCCAACAATAAATATCGAATATAAAAATGTAAGGGAATAAAAATCGAAAGTGTACATTTTTGAGTTTGTTAAATATTAGTTGAAAAAATTCAATATATTTCTAATGATTTTCTTTTACCAGATTTCAACAATGAATTACATTATGATCCGTCCTGTTGCTGGAATTTTATTTCCAGCAGTAGAGCACTTGAGATCGTATTTAACAAAGGCATTATCCAATAAATGTCACAAATCTCTAAAAAATCTCGATACTTTGACGAGTGTGGTATTAGATTGCGAGCATATCGACAAGATAGACTTTACTGTTGTACAGGTATCGAGATAATTATTTATTATCAATATATCAGCGAAATACATCGTCTTCAGAGAATACGATTTATTATTAAAATATAAACACACATGTAATATTATATTGTATGTATCAGTCGATTAATTTATTTTTTCAATTATTTTTAGAGTATCAGCATGTTAGCAAAAGACTTTAGAAACAACAATTGTCAATTAATAATGTTGCGGCCAAATCCTGATATTTTAAAGAGCATACAATCGCTGTCACATAAGCAAATCTTGATAGCAAGAAATGAAATCGATCTGATTACAATTTTGAAAGAATTAAAAAATGTGATACCAAATGTAAATGAAATCGAAGCTTTGAATAGCAAGATAATCCCTGAAACGACAAACGAATTTGTCTCTACGTGGTTATGATATGTTACAAACATTTCCTTTAAAACTTAACAAATGAATGCATATGATTTCACATGCACATATATATATATATATTGATTTCACATGCACACATGCGTATACACTATATTTGATATATATCTTATTTATCTACAATGTTTTATTAAATTATAAATGTTTTATTAAATTATAAATTTTTGTTTTTTCTATATCTAATTCAATAAAAAATAAATTTGCATAATTTGCAAAACTTTATGTTCTTATTTATTTTTATTTATTAACCATAAAATATTTGAAAATAAGATTAAAAAAAGCAAAATAAGTCGTCTTAAATATTACATTTGCTATTTTTAGTTGAATTTAATTTTCAAATAGAAAGCAAATAAAAAATTTAATATTTCTATAAGCACATTTTGTACTTTTAGTTCGATTATTCAGAGATAAAGATGTAGAGTAAACTTTTACTTTATAATTAAGCGATTATTCTATGGGACATGTACTAATTATGCGACTATCTAAAGGTGTGGAGAAAATTTTTACTTTATAATTAAGCGATTATTTTATGGAACATGTGGTAATTATGGGATTAATTTTATATAAATCCACTGCTTCAAATTAGACAAGACAGAAAAGGAATCACTAAAATTAATTGTAGAGACTAGAGAAGATTCTTTTAAGGATTATTAATGATATAATACACAATTGATAAATATAATCACATGTACACAAAAAATAGATTATTTTTATTTATTATAAAGCTTTGGTCCAAAGAAAATAAACTATTATTTTCATTAACAATAAAGTTTAAATAAAAATAGAAAAATACATATGTATGTGTATAAGATATAGTTATGTAAAATATTTTATCTTAACACTATAGAAATCAAAAGTATAAGCAAATCTTACATACTAAATATTTCTTGGATAATATTTCTTGCAAAAAAATTATATATTTGGAAATATAACAAACACTAAACTTGTACATATTTTGCGATTGAAATCTAATCTATGAAAAGATTCAAACAAAACATATTTCTGAATATAATCTTCATCTCAAGTTTATCTCTTATTGAAATTTAAAGCAAAAATTTTTATCTTAAGCTTTACGAAAGTACGCATACTTAAAGCACTCATTTCTTTAAATGTAAAAGAAGCACAATTTTGAATTTGCTTTATCACAATATGCTGACATAAATATGTGTTTTTAATAATACTTAATTTTTTAACTTTTACCGTAATTTTTTAATCTTAATACTATCTATTCGTGTAATACAGAAACGTAATACTGTCTCAAGACGCATAAAAATAAAAAAATATAGCAAATTATAATACAGTGAATCATTATAAACATTATAATAGTTTTGAGTCACTTAAAAAACTTAAATTGTTTGGCTTTCCTAAAAACAAAATTTTAGTTTATATAAGAGATAAATTATATATAAATCAAATTAAAGAAAAAAATATGTATTATATACTAATCTTTGTATATTTAAATTACGAAATTCTATTTCATCTTTTTACGTTTTCTAAATTATTTGTATGTATTACGAATTACGACTAAATATTGCTGATAGATATTCTTTCGAAAAATTTTGACAAGTTGTATTTCTGCGGAAAATGCTATTTTTATAATGATAGAGAATATATCGTTCTAGTTTAACAAGACTGTGTTGCAAACTAACCAATATTATTTGAGAATTTTACATTGTTTGTTACAAATTCTTTTGGAGATATTATTGGAGGTATATTTTCCGATTCATTATCATCGCAGGGAAAATCTTGTGTCGTTTGATTTTTTGGACATTTCAATATTTGCATATAATTTACTGCATTTTGATTGCGCTCTTGATTCTGCCAAAAATATGCATTATTATACTGATTTATATTTGTCATGGGCATAAAATTCACATTTTGTCGAGATCCTGAATGTGGAAGCGGTGCCACATATCGAAAGAGATCACAAACTCTTTGGGAATTGTCTTGGCATTTTTCATAATGCTGATTGAATTTCATTGAAACATTATCAATAATATTTCTCGGGTGTATAGTGTGATTATTCAGATCATTAGCTCTAACATAATTATTCATTTGCATACGAGGAATATACTTAAGATGTTGATCATGTAAAGAGTAAATGCAGTTGAAATTATTCAATTGATTAATCATATTAGGGATTGTACGAACATAATTCGCGCACGAAGAATTGTAAAAGACAGGCAACGGATACTGGAGTTGCGGATTTCGCGTTTGCATATTCAAAGATGGCGCATAAATTATTGGATGTGATAGACGTGTATTTTTAATATCATCAGGATCGAGAGCATCAGAATTGTAAATTGTTGTAGGTTGTACAATATTATATGACTCAACATGAAAACCATCTTGTACCGAGGAATTGCATTTAGTTTGATCCAATAATATAGAATGGTCGGTAAAAGTCGAAAATGTATCAGACTTTTGTTGTATGTTTGGCATATGTTTATAGAATACGTTTGAATTTTCTTTATTGTGATTTATTGCAGTTCCCAATATGGAGGTGGCATTGCCATCATTTGATGTTTGCATATTGCTTCCGCACAATGATGTTACGTTGAAAGTATTTGAAACTTGCGATGGTCGCATTGCATTACGAACTGAAAAATTTTGATTGTAAAATTTACTATCATTTAGGCCCCATGATGGCATTTGCTTTATTTGATCTTTTGCTTGTGTAATAATAGCTTGCTGCATGTCGCAACGTATATTTTGAATAGATTGCTGTGAATTTACAATTGTTACATTCTTCTGTATTGTATTGGTTTCTAAACTGTTATTACAAGTAGTTTGATTGCCCTCTAATTTCTTTACATCATCCATATATTGTGTATCTTCGAACTGTAACGAATGTTGATGTATCACATTGGCTGGTATTTTCATAGTACACTTATTAGGAAATAAATTGGACGAATCTTTGGATAAATTCTGTTCATTTTCGGTAATATTATTTATTTCTATATTTTGCTGATCTATATTGGATTTAGATTTATCAATTCTCTTCATCTCTTTATGACACTGTTCTAATATAGGTTCCTGTCTTCTGATATCAATGTTTAAATTAGCATATTCCTTTTCTGTCAAATGTGTTTTGGCAAAATTAACATTTTTTTCACTATTACATATACCTTTTTTATATATAATCGTTGATTTTGTATCTGTTGTCGATTGCATATGATTCAATTTATTTTTCTGACTTGTGTGATCTTTCTTTGTGCAAAGTCCTTCAATTCTTACATTTGAATTGGAAAATACACTAGAAGATATATATTCTCTCTTTATAACATCTTTACGCTCAGTATTGTCAACATACCCATTGTTAAATCTAGAATTATTATATGACGAATTTTTTCCATTAGAAGTGCACTCAATGTTTCTCAGTGTATCTTTATTTTGCGCAGGCTCTGTGAGTGTCGAATTTTTATATTGCATGACAAATTTAGTATCTCTTTTAAAATTAAAATCAAGATTTACTTTTTGATGATGCAGAGAATGTTTATCATCAACAATTTTTTTATTTCTTTTCTCGGATTCATATAAAAGCAAATCGGAATTTTTAGATACACTGGACTTTTTTTCTGATTTTTCCAATGTTTTATTTTTATAAACACCATAGTTAGATGGAATTTTTTTAACAGACTTTGGCATCTTTGACACAGATTGTTTAAAAACTGGTTGTTGCATTATTTGCAATACCTCATTCTTATTTATATTTTTATCTTGATTTGTCAAATCAGTTGTTTTATTAGATCTTGTCTCAAAATTGGTAACATTTGAATATACAGCATTTCTAAAAATATTATAACATTTATATATCTACAAAAAAATTCATAAAATATATATAAATAGATTACATATTAATTGCAAAAATAAAAGTTCTCTTTACACTTACTGTGTAATATTTTCATTATTTTGTAGCATATCTGATTGATTTTTTGGCATCTTGTCTGTACAAGACTGAACATCCAGTTTTGTTGTAAGTATGCTCTTTGTAATCATTAATATGTCTTTTTTATCTTCATCTTTAACTTTAACCAATTTGGTGGAATTTGGAAATGTATTAGACGAATTTGCATCTTTGTTCCACATATTGTCATTGTTTTCTGATATTGCGTCAACAGGCAAATAATTTTTGTATGTATCCATCAAATGATAGTTGTCAGATTCTTTAACTGAATATGTCTTGATGTTTTCTGTCAATAAACCCTCATCTTTCAATTTATTATTCTCATTATGATCTTGTATATGTTTGTAGATAGTTTTTAGCTTTTCACTAAAATAAAAAATTAGTTTAAAAATAATTTTCAAATATAATATGTAGAAACAATAATAGAAAATATACCTTTTTAATCCATCCATTTATATACATTTAGCTAGTGAAAATTTATATGAGATATAAATATTAATACAAATTGTGTAGAGATTCTCCCAAACAGATTATTCCAGAGCTATGTATAGGCCCTACATATTTTTATTGTACTAAAGCTTATAGATTTATTATCTTAAAATTTGAAAGTTTAAGCCACTTAAAAAGAGCAAGATCTCATCTAGTTCATTTTTGAAATTTAAAATCCTAATTGCATGATTTTTTAATTTTACTTTATGTAAAACGCATATGCTTTAATATTTGCTGCTGCAAATGAAATAATTTTGAAAAATCTTACATATACACAGAATATAGACACATGTTATAAATTTAAATATAACTTGTAACATATATTTTCTATTAATTCAAAGATAAAGATTATATTATTTTATATACAATATATATTGGAAATTATAAAAGATTTTTTTTATTAATATGCGATATATTCATAGCATGATATTTGCATAATGAAATTGACATCGGATGAAAAAGCAAAGCAATATTAATACACAATAAGATTAATATGCAAAAAGATTAAGATAAAGAATATAAGGGTTAAACATACGAGTTTGATGAATGAGACCTGTTTTTCAACCATTGCATATTATGCAGCTTGTTGACCATTGCCTTCTGTTTTAAATCAAAAGTCTTTTCTAAATTTTTAACAGTGCAATCCATTATACCTATTACAAACAAATATATATATATATATATATATATATATATATATATATACATGAAATATATATAACAATTATATATATAGATGAAGTAAACATTTACGTGACATCATACAATTAAAATATAATTTAAATAATTTATTTTCTTTCTAAATTGTTTCAACTGGATGTTGAAAAATATCTCCAACATAACTAACAATAATAATAATCTAATTAATGTACGCTATGGCTTACTTTTGTCCCTTATCTTAAGTTGTGACGTGAGGTTAATGACCTCTACGTGTGTATTATTCCTTTTCATAATTTAATTCAGAAGACTTGGAAAAGCTTGCAAAAGACTTGTGTAAAGGAAAGCTAAATTTTTTTTATGTAGTATCAATACTAAATTGATACTATTAATATAACGAGAGATGTGAAAAAAAGTTTGTATATTATTAGACCAATCAATTTTTTTGAAAATTTAAAATAATTTTGAAAAAAATTCTTGCAACTCTTACAATAGATATAAATGCTTGCAAAACTCTCGTGCAACTAATACTACCTCAGATTTTCAGACTGGCTCAGGTTCAGGTTCAGGCTCGCAATCAGATTTTAGAATCTCTTTGTTGTTAGTAGAGACTCAAACCTTACTTTGCCGATAATCAAACTCTGCTTAGCCGAGATTCGAACCTTACTTGTTAGCCGAGATTCGAATGGCCTTACAATTACGAGTACAATTTTTTTACATGCAAAGGCCTTAAATTTTTGCGATTATCAAGTGTATTTAAAGACGACAGATTTATAACATTACTAGCACGATATACACGTTTCATTTCTTAAAAAGGCCTTTCTAATCTTCTTACTATACATGTGGTTTACATATATGTGCATATTAAAATAAGAAAAAAATAAATAAAAGAAAATTGTATATTTTTCATAAAATTTATATTTTCAAGAAAGTTTTTTAAAGAACGTTCACACTCTCAGTAACTTTAAATGCAACTCTATATGCGTCCTTTTAAAATTAATCCACAACGAGAAAAAAGATTATTGCGCAATATTTTGCAATTGAACGAATACGTAATAATTACATTCCTCATAATCATTTTAATTAGACGCATGCAATGAGCATGAACAATGATTGTAATATTATTACAATCATACATTATATTGAAACGTTGGAAAAACGCGCACGAAATAGACATTGAGATATTAATATTCAAAGAATAATTGTTTCATATTAACACATTTCTTATTCCAACATGTTTCTTGTTATTTATGTCAGTTAATTAAACAATAATTAATTGTTGTTTGCACATGGCGCTAAAAATCACGGTTCAGATATAAAATAGATTATATAATTACATCCTACAATTATAATTCCGCATTATACACACAAAATAAAGTTGATTGACATTTTATTGATTTTAAATATTTGTTTTTATAATACACAACTTATATAATAGCATAAGAAGCAATAATGAACGTACATCCTACGAATTATATATATATATATATATATATATATATATATATATATATAATTATTTTTGTTATTTTATTTATTGTTTTTTTTAGTATATAAACTTTCAGTCAAAAAAATAGCCAAATAAAATTTATATCTATTTAGTTCTCTAACTACTATACGCTATCCGATATTATCTTTTAAATCTGTATTGCCAAAAATACGTGTTGTCACGATATTGTAATTTCTTCTTGTCCATCCAAGCGATATATCGCTCGTTAATTCTTACTCAGGTTGTAAATTTGTACTGATATTCATTAGAATTTGCTACAGAGAGAAAGAGAGACAAATATTCTCAATAACAAAATAAATTTTACACTCCGCGATTCATCGTAATTTCTTTTTTAATTCAGAAAATGCAGCGAATGGACTTTGAAGCTTGAACAATGTGCAGCAAAGATCAAAATCTGGCATGAAAAATAGTTGAATCGAGGAAAAAACCGATAGATATTTATCCTATAAGATCAAAGAGATTTGACTTTACAAAATTCTATCGAGTCCTTAAACAATTCTCCATTTCGACCAAATTCTGATTAATTTTATTCTGCATTGTTTCATTAATCTATGTAGAATCCAATATCCATGTTTTTATTATTTAACAGAAGATGAGAATTAAATTAGAAACAAATTATACAGTTAAAAATTTTGTAATAATTTCACAAATAATTTCGTCAATTATAAAAATAATTATAGAAAAATTAGGAACTTGATCGAAAGAGAGAAATCGCCTTTAATCTACATATATTTCTCATAAATTCCTAAAACACATCTTTGGAATGTAAATTAAGGGCGCTAGTTTCTAAATGTACTTTTGTTAACAACAATCATCGTCTTAATCATTCGAGTATTATTTTAATGGATTAAAATTGCTATATTATGCGATGTGTATTCTTCGAAATTGTGATGAAAGGTATCTTCATCAAATTCAATGTATAATTGTTGATAGTTGAAAATATTACGCAATACTTTGCAAGAGAAAAACGTACAAAAAATCCGCACGACACAAAAAGTTGTGCGGGATATGAATCGGGGGAAATTAAGAATATTTCCATATAAAATGCATATATATATATATATATATATATATATATATGCGGAGAAGCAATCACGATCATCATGGAGACAGTCACCATAGATTTTAATTTTTTGATAGCGTAATAATTTTGTTCTTTATATCTTTATCTCATCTCCTCTCGGGGTGTATAATAATTATAATTAAATATCGTTTCCTAATCTAACGTTCTTTCACGACAAAATTTTTAGGGCAAATGCGCATGTTACAAGCACTCTATAAACAACATCTGCTGCATCGAGATTTTAAGTTTGTAATTGTGGAGAAATCTCATTTACCACACAGTGTATAAATCACTTATCGACTAAATTATAATTGTGTGGAGATGTTTTGCAAGAGAAGCTCTCGGTATATATCTTATTATAGTCTATACAAAAAATCTCAACATATTAAATTGTATATAAAGAAGTAATACACATATAATTTTTAATTTATTTGCCATAAACGTGATCTTAAAAACTACACGACATAAAAATAATTGCTATAAAGCTATCGACTTCTATAAACTATTAAGAAAATTTTCGTTTGCACACGCCAAAGCAAAGAGAATTCCATCTAAGTAGTAATGATAAACAATTTTTTTTCTTTCTGACATAATTTTGCGATGGGCTTTTGAAATTATATATTTATGCAATAATAATAAATTACAGCAGTCTTAATATCATTCTGTTGCCTCAACGCTTTTTACAATTTCTTCACATAAGAGCGCAGTTCTCGTTTCAATTACTCAAGTGTCAATACAATTTTTCTCTTTTTAATTTTTTTTTACTTAAATTTCTTTATCAATCATGCATTAAAAACATGGTATACGTAATTATTTGGATATCATTCTATGAAAGCAACAATTTCGCATTGCATGAACGAAGGGTATTCTAATTTCGCATTACAACTTGTTTATAACTCAAAAACATATAGATTCCAATATTTTTATTATTATATTTTTAATTATTACACAGATACCATCTTCATTCATTGTAAGTGTAAAATATAAATAAATACGATTCGTTCAAGCAAAGACTGCACAATATATTTAGTACCGTAACCACTTAACATGTAAATACGTTGTTGCTTTTGAATAACCAGGAATTAGATACGAATATATATATATATATATATATATATATATATATATATATATATTGATCTGTTCTTTTTATGTCGTGTGTGTGTACAAAGTTAAACTGTGAGAAGGCAATATGTCAAGCTTACAAGTAAGATGTACCAACGCATTTTTCTTTACGCTGCCTCCGATCATTAAACGTTATATTGTACCGGAAGACGGTGAGTTTACCGTTGTAATATATTGCAAAAATAGTAAAATATTTAAAAGGGAATATATTTTCCACATCCAATTCCTCACTATCAAAAACTACAGAAAGCACGGAAAAAACTTAATGAATCTTTGTAATGCCTGTTAAGTTAAAGTGATAAAAAATAAAAATAATGTATTATTGTTTTATAGAGGTAATTATATCACCTCTTCTATTCAATGATACAAAAATGATTTAAATTTGATTTGAAAAATACAATCTTTGCATAAATAATCGGACAATGCGGAATTGGCTATAGAAATTAGAAACATTAACAGATCACATTCGCTTCTCGCAGAAAGCAACTTTATTACTTTCATAAATCTGTTGAAAATGGCACTGTTTGCACATTGTTTTCTTCATGCAAATCATACTATTACGTTTCTTTCTTTTACTTATTATAAAGAATCATATCCAATGTTAGATAATTTGCGAAAATCACATGATATTTTATATAAAGATAGGTCCAAATTACGCGTTTGCTTTCTTTTTGAAATTTATGAATATTTGCGACTCAATCGTATTTTACTTTTTTATTAATGATCAAATACGAGGATGCAAATGACTGCTGTATGATTCTCGGAGTATGATTCGTCTGTTGTGTGTTAATGTTCGCGTATTAACATTTCATTTGTTAAAATATATATTTTGTTTTTTCAAATGCTTGAAAGTAAATGAAAAATACGAATATATAATTATTAATACAATTATTTTTATATTTCAAAATTAAAGAGATTGTGATGCAGAATTAAAAAACGCGAATCCATTGTTAATGAATCCAAAATTAGTTAATACAGCAATTAAAAAAAATGAAAAAAAAAACCATTGTAGATTTCAGCTTTAATATATATTCAATCATTCGGAAACAATATGAATATTTTCAACTATTATTATATACATTATATATTATTATTACATTCATGGCAGAGATTATATTATAATTATTTTAAAAAGAATATATCGATTAAAAAATGAGGCATAGTGAATAATTTGAATTTAACTAAATGTATAATACATACGCACGCATCACATAAACACACATACACACAGAGAAATCGTACAGACATTTGTCACCTAATATTTTTCACAAAGGTACTTGAATCACACAACTTTGCATCAATCATTAGTGCAGTCTGAAATCAATGAATAATCAAATATATAATATTATAATATTGACATTTCAAAAGAAATAATTATGAAAAACTAATCTACACTTGATTTAAGCAATTTTGAGATATTCGCGAAAGAATAAAGTAACGAATATGAAATATCTTAAATTTATTATATTATAATTATTATTGTAATATAATAAACTTAAGATATTTCTTAAATTTATTTTACTATATTATAATTATTTATATCATAAATCACGTATAATAATTACAAAATAATACGGGAGTCACAGTAGTAGATTGTATACTTTTTTACATGTCCATTTTTGCATAACGATAAAGAATGACCGAAATGTTTGCGGATATTGAGCAAGTATCTTTGCAAATAAGAATCACAACACATCTCATTACAAATGAATGAAAATTTTTATAATAGCTAATATTAGAAGCATGTTATTCTATCAAAAATATTAACAAATACAGTAATCATTTATATCAAAATTACGAATGTAATTAAAGACAACACAGATTTATAGCAAGTACCTTTAGTTATAAATTGTGATATAAATGTTTAGCAATTTTCTTTAGATATTACAATTTTTACGCAATTAATTATTATACAATATTCTAGTGATTATGTGTATGGTTTTTTTTGTCCGGACTGTGCTGATAATTCTCCTTCGATATTATTTCCCTTTTAATACAAATAATAGAATGAATAAAAATATGCAAATAAATAGATGATTCTATAATCTTTAATTATTGTATGCAAACAAACGCAATTACAAGTAATTCGACTTTATTAATTCCAATATAGAAGAAGAATCATTCGCACAAGACAGAGCATATAAATATAAATATGTGTATCAGTATTATTGTAACTTGTCAAAAATATAGTATTTAATTTAACTTGCCCTATTGTTGATTTCTTTTGTGCAATAAAAGTAAAGAAAATTGAAATCAAATCAAGAATTATACACATTTGTAAACACAAAAACTTTCAACAAAATTTTAAATTTAATTTGTCTGCATTGCTTAAAATATCAATAACATCAATAACATGCGTAGGCTTCTGTTATTTGATATTTTATATCTTCATTATCGCGATATATAATACGTTTCTTCAATATAGTAATAATGAAAACTATTATTCGCAATAAATCGATCTAATAAATGATTTGATTTTTAGGTACGATAGATAATAATCAAACGCATAATACAATATTATGTTATATCGTGTGCTCTCCAAAATGTGAAAGACAATTGATGAAACCAACAATGGCGCCAGTAATATATAAATATTCAATTGTATGTTTTCTTTATTTCACGATAATATTAGACTAATCATCCACTTTGTTACTCTCCTATTACTCTATTTTGTAGCTAAATTTGTTGCTTTCACAATAATTTACGTTTTTAATATATTTTATATTTTTAATTGTGTTATTGTTTTATAGAAGTAAAATAGTACAATATATTGTAATTGTTTGTAATGATCATATATAATCCTATTATTTCCTAGAAATATCATTTCTAAATTTTTGTTAAACATAACGCGATCGTAACTTTCCTCCGGTTGCTTAAAAATGAAGATTCTTTCGTATTCTTCCCCATGTACAAAGAACCATTTATGACTCGGATATGATCCCATTTTTTGTGTATAACCCTGTTGTCTTAAATACAAATACAATGGAAAAAAGTTTGATCGCGGAATATCATTGAAAAAACCACATTCTTTATAAGTACCCGTTTTAACAGTTCGCGGTAAACTCTACCACGATTACCCTTTCATCAATTATTGTATATTCTCTTGTATCAACTGAGGGGATTAATTTTTTTTATTGCATGTTGCGCAGTAGCTATCAATCCAAGAAAGTAATGCATTGATTTTATCTCTCTAGCGTTCTATTTTTTTTTTAATATACAAATCTCTAATAATGTTTAAAAACACATATATTAATGCATAAAATGTGTCAAGTTGATACGTGTGTGAGAAAATATATAAAGAAATATTAATATTTCTGTACTTATAAAGAATGTATTGAATAAACGCAAGGGAAAATGCATTATTATAATGTTTAAATAGTTCTTTTTTTTTTTTTTTTGAAAATAGTATTATGGTATATACAGTCTCTAAGAAAATTAAAACACTTAATGTATATTAGATAAGATTCCATGAGATCTGTAACGTAATATTAAAGAAGATAGAAGAAAATGGGGAGAACAGAAAAACTTTTCTCTTATCTGGTCATTATTTAAATAAGATTATTATTAATAGATTATTATTATTTAGAGTTGTTTATTAGTTAAATGTTTAAAAAGTAAACAATAAAAAAAAGAATAGTTTCCCTTTTTGCCTTTCTAATCGCTCTATAATCTAATTAATAAAATAAGGCATGTATCGATAAAAAGTGTATTTTAATATTTTTGTGTATTGTCCTGATGTAGCGTGTTCATTTTTTAACAAATGTTTTTTAAATAGTGTTCTCTTCTCTCTCGACCATATATACCATAATAGAGAAATTGTTCTTCTTTTTCGTGTAACATTATATTTTAATATTAATAATCTATAATACAAAAATGAAGGAATAAAAACATTTATTTCTTTTTTGGCCTCACTTTTGGATATTAAATTATAAACAGAATTGAAGGAAGGAAAAGAAGTAAACGAAAAAGCAAATATGATAACTACCGTGTGAATGTCAATAATTAAGTAAATATATATATATATATATATATATATATATATATATATATATATGTGCTATAATACCCCATTGTATCAAAGAGAGTTGATGTATTAGAAAAAAATTAAAAAAAAAATTAATCCTATGAGTTAATTTTGTATAAACAACTTACAAGTCGTGTATAAAAATGTCGCTAAATTTTTTGTGCGGGGTATTATACTTGAACTTTTAATAATTTCATAGTTGTAATCATGTAAATATATTAAATAAAAATAATCTTAAAAATTAATTATTATAACATTTCATGCCTATATGAAGAAAAAAATTTGATAATGTCCTATCTATTCTAATTGTTACATCTTAGGCAATATATGTGTATTTTTCATCATGACTATGTATAGTCATTTTTTTTTATCATAAAGTTTAACACACAACTACATCTTTAAAATGAATATACGCGTAGAGCCGGGTATATAGAGACGTGCCTCACGTCCTAATTAGCATGCTTCTAGCATGTCACTGAACTGTAACACGTATGTCACACATGTTATATATATATATATATTTATGAGTTATTTTTTTGATTAAATTGGAAAATCCTAAGTATCTCTAACATTCTTATATCTACAATTGTAAAAACCTACAACATGAAATGAGGATAATTGGTTCAGTAATCTACTTGAATTGGTTGAAGATTAACCTCTTTGTTACTATCACACGCTATTTAATTTATATATAATAATCTGTATCTTTTCTAATAATTCCATCGCACAAATACAAGTACACATATAAGCATATTTAAGTCCTACAAGTGGATTCTATTACAGAAGATTTATAAAACATGTACGAGTCACATTATAGAATGAAAAAAACATGTATATATATAAAATCTTTAAAAATATTAATTATTAATACATTTTGTAATGTGTCCGTAGTATAAATGTTTGTTTCTAATAAATTGTAGCTTTAATATATTCTATAAATGTGAGAGAAGCGACAGAACAAAAAGAAAGAGAAGAAATAAAAGAAAAATACAAGCGGTAGGTATATATCGATTAGAGACAACAGAAAAAAAGGAGAAAAGAAAACGATATATATTTATTCATATAATACCTGTTTTATATAATAAAATTGGTTACTACCTATCTCGCGGTTGTTTTAAACTCCCGCGATACTCTAGTATTACAACTATAAATTTCATGTGTTGTGTATGTGTGTATGTTATGTATGTATTAGATATATATAAAAACCTAGAAATTTTATATATATATATATATATATATATATATATATATCTCTTATATAATATTTATATTTTCAAAATATTAGGTTTTCAACGAAAAATATAAAATTTGTTAATACTTATATATTTTATCATATTCAGTACGAATCAGTTGAAAAATCCTATTAAATATATATATAGATTTAAATATAATAGAAATATCATTTCTTCTGTGACATACGTTTCACAGCTCAATCATTGAGAAAAGATTTTCCCATTATTTAATGTAAAATGGGAAAACACTTTTGTTGCGTTTATTATTATAATAATTAATTTGTTTTAAACAATTATATAATTTTCGAGGTCCCGGAACTTTGTCGACAATTGCGATTATATTATTTTCGCGTTAAATGTTTTGTAATTCGCGCGCGCAAATGTATCGCAATATATTTAATACACTGCCAAATATGTATCTTGAGTACATAAAATATTTTCTTCCTTTAGCAGATAGTGTTAGGATGCCATTCCTTGTAGAATTGTATTTAAAAATGTGATATCTGCTGAATTATAATATTGACAGAAAAAAATATCAACATAATGTATAACAAGATTACAAGATAAAAAAAAAAGTCCTATCATATTCGTACTTTGGCGACGATGAATCAATGGTATTCTTATAAACGATCCTTATTATTCGCGAGCACGTGCTTATCGCGTTAAGAAAGTTTTCATTTTTGTCACTTTTATCAGAGTATTAATAAAAATACAAGTTCTTGCAAAATCGTGATACTACTTACATGATATTTTTTAAAGACTGTCCCCCGCCCTTTCTCTTTTTTTCTTTTTCTACAAAGCGGAAATTGTAACAACAACTGGATTCTAGGGGAAGGTTCGGGCCTAACTTGTTGAGACGACTGGAGTCTGGCAGTACGGGCACTCGCGCTGATTCGGAGCGCACGTCGAACAGACTACGTAATGATTGCAGGGTGATAAGGTAACCGTACGATTTTGTTCCTCGCAAACCATGCACTTTGTTGCAGTTTCCCTATACAGCACCTTAGAGAATACAGCGATAAAATGTAAGCGTATACTCTGTATATTTTTTTCTCATCATAATTATTTAATTTATTTAAAAATTAGAAATGTCGGTTTTATATATAGGAAAAGAATTGAGAATATAAAAGACTTCTTTATTTCTTACCTTTTCCACTTCTTCGAGATCTAAACGCAATTGCGACTGAATTGATTTCAAAGTAGCTATCGATAACGACCTGAGCTCGCTTATTCGTCTCACTGAATGAAGATACGGGCCACCATTAGACGCCTCATTCTCGACCCTGAGTGCTTTCATCTGCATTAAAGCCTGCAAAAAAAAATCATTCTGGCAAATTGAATTTCAATTATCCAGAGAAAAGCGCTCAATTAGTGAACAAAAGGTTTATCTTATTTTGAACAAAATATTTACCTCGTCCCTCTGTTGCTCGGCTATACCGGCTTTTCTTTTTGCCTCTTCGCTTTCCAATTGCCATGCCGCGCAAGCCGCGCGTGCTTGATTGATACGCTCATCCCATGTTGCTAATTGTGCACGGCTAGAGGTCAATTCATCTCTGAGCCTTTGTACCTGTGACATGTGTATATATGTATAAATGATGCTGTATCTCATTTCCGAGATACTGGGAAAAGAAAATTCTTTAAAATTGATTCTAACCTCGGACAACGATCCGGTGTTACTTGGACTAATGGAAAATGCATTGACCAATGGAGATGCCGGCAGAGTGGATTGCGTGCGCGACGGGGACATTCCTTGGCTCGCGAAATCGAATAAGCTACTATTGAATCCGCTAAGCTTAGAAGCCGAGCTGCTAAGTTGCGAAATGTGATTGCTAAATGGATCCGCTATCTGATTCATAAATGGCAATGTCTAAAAATAATTCGAGAAATATCAGTAAAAGAATTTCATAGTTTTTCAAACAATTGTAAACACACGCACAGAAATAGTATCGACTTACAGATTCCATGGAGTCCTGATGAGAGAATCTCGATCCGGTGAGAAAACCAGTCTGCAATTGTTGAAGCGGACTCGACGTCGATGGCGAAAAATTAGTGAGAACGGAACGTTCAGTCATGCCGGGTATATTGACCGGAGCTGAGCTACCGAGTAAACCAGAGCTAGCTAGGCCTGCTGATATCGAATTACCGATTGGTGAATTTGTATCCCTATGAATTGAATCGACTAAATTTAACGGATCATCTAGATGTAATTCGTCTAGTGCGTTTCCTGAAAGAGATCCAATGTCGATGATGTTTTGTCGAATATCACGCGTAGTGAACATTTCATGGATATTAAAAATCACTTACCTACTACAGATTCGACAGTGTCGTTTGAATAAAACGAATTTGACAGCGGTGAAACGGTAGTTGTTAACGAATGACTACTTAACGTCCCATTCAAATTGTACGCAATGTAGAGACTTTGTTTCTGTTGAGCTTTTTCAGCTTTAGTTAATAATGGATCGCTATCAATTGCGATCATTTGTTTTCGAATTTCATTCTGGAATTAATGTCATTAATGTCGAGACAACATAATTACAAACAATGCATATTACATTTAAAAATAGAACTTACAACTTGTATGAGAGAACTGGGATTATAGAGTATGCTCGTAAGTTTTTGCTGCGCAGCCGCATTTATACCAGAATTGGTATTATTGGAATTATGCAGTTGAGCACCAGGTGCTTTGCTGTGTGAACTGTTACTTCCTAAACTGCTGGTGCTGGCCGATTCCGAGACTTCACCGCTTCCATTCTGTAATTCAGTCGATACATTTTTAATATATGCGTGCGTGGGCACGCAAATTGTGAATCAACTCTTATCGATGGGACATGGATACTTTTAAAGGCATCATAGACTCAGATTCTGGATTAGTTTTTAATTTTTTAAATAATTTTCAAAAAATTATTCTATCTTACTCTATTTTTTTTATTTAATTCGAAATTAAAAGCAGAGTTTATGAAGAAAATGGAAAGGAAACTCACACTACTGTCACTGAGTTGTTTATCCTTGTCGTGTGAGCGCTTGTCAGGTGGAAGTGCATTGCTGAGTATATCGGCCAGATTCGCACCGCAATCTATAGGTACCGCCATATCCCTCGCCAGGCTCATTTCTTCTGTTGGCAACACTGCTTCCATCAACACACCATACCAACGTCCCAATATATCAATTTTGAGATATACAATTTTGACGACTAAGATTTATCATTTATGTGAAATATCAAATTATCACTTGTCAGGCTCTACGTGTACGGGTATTCCGAATTTTTAACTTGTGCAAGAAATTTACGAATGAGCCCGACTTGCAAGCGTGCAATCGTTATGCAAATTTGTAACGTTAAGAAAAAGAACGACAGATTATTTCACTCTAGTTCAATAGTGAAACAAGTAAATGTACACACATATTTGTATGTATGTATGTATATATGCGTTAAAAACATAAATTATATGTACGCATATTAAATGTACACGCACAATACATGTGTGTACATTTATCATATCACATTGCTAAACTGCATAAAGCTCGTATATAATATAATAGGACTGTTTTACGTACGATTGACGAGTGTACACTCACGGTCAACATGCGCGAAGGCGCAAAAGACTCCGCGTGGACAATAGCCGGCCTGTTGCACGTCGTTGCATTTGGTGGATTTGTAAATCTCGGGATGGAATTGCTGTTCCGTCCGTGTGTGACAATACGTGCACGCATCTCCCTGTTCGCAGTTGCCTGGCTCGCCCCATTCCTCGCCGTGTTTCACATTCGGGCATGGCGTCGATCTAATTGCCGAGATGCAGATATATATATATATATATATATATATATATATATATATTTATATATACTTGTAAATATTGTTTATAAATATATATATATATATATATATATATATATATATACATCTAGATATATACAGCTCTCTCAATTAATTGCGGTGTATTAATCGATTGCTCGTTTTACCGATATTTGTATTTCCGTGGACTGCGCCTCTTATCCTTGCTGTTGTGATATTGCGGACAGGCGTAGCCTTGCCGACACAGCCTCGGAGGTCTCTTGCACGGCTCTGTCTTGTAATTGCTGAGCACATAATTCGTGTCCTGCCACTTTGGATCCTCGTTCATCAGATTTCGCTCCTTGTCGAGTATATTAGGCCCGTTGGATGAAGAATTTGGGTCAGAATCGGGATTCTCCAAAGCCTGAATTTCCTTGATATCGTACACGGGCGGACGCAGATCGTGATTGCCGTGCGCGAAGGCGCAATGCGGGCCATTTTTCACGCAAAATCCACGTGTGTCGGTGTCGTGAACGCACATGCACGTCTTGTAGTAACGCAGATGATAACGTCTCTCTGTATCACCCGCGGTACGATGCAAAAATGGGCACCTGTTTAACAATGAGACAATTTTTATTATTTTTTGTCAAGCTATATTATTATATTTTCTTTACGTATATAAAATATACACACACAGTTATTACAGTTATACAGATCGAGTAAAATTTTCCTCGGAGAGTACGTTTTGGAATGTACCCTTAATTAGTAAATCTGCGCGTGTATTTTTTTCAAGAAATTATTTTTTCGCAATAATAAATAAGCGAAATGAGTAAACATTGCACGATACTAAAAATAAAATAATTTTAATTCTGAATTGTTACATAATATATTTTTGAACATATTTCTTTTCGTTGTTTCAAGTAAACAGTAAACAATTGAACGAGCATCTCTTATCGCTATTATATAATGTCCCTATAATAATATTGTGTCGCCAAAGAGATTTTCAATCGAATGACGAGCAAAATTGTAATATATTGATTATGCTTTACGATTCGAATAAGATTTAGATACATGTTATGATTCTTTGTTGTGCCATCGTGCCAAGTACGCGAGGGAAAATCGATAAGAGCAAGCTCCTTTGTTCGTAACGCTGAGAATTTTGGACAAGTTTATCGTAATTGTTGGATGAAAATTGCTTTATGTACATTCATCGAATGTATATAAAGAAAAATTTGTCAATCACCAATTTCCAAGGTATCCGTAGATTATTGTTTTTTGCATAAAAAATTGAGACGACACTTTTATCCCTTTTACAAAAGGCATCCTATGATTAGCAATCTTTTTTTCCACTGTTACAAAAATATTGTTATAATGTATATGATAATTATATATATATATATATATATATGCAAATTGCAAATAAAGAAACTAATTGATACATACGCTGTGACAAGTGGCAGGAAATCTTTTCAATTCTTTTAAATAAAAATGGAGAAAAAAGTCATTCATCTCATTTATCGTAGGAAAACGTATGATTTATTTATAACTTTTGTAATTTGTAAATTGTCGACTACAAATATCCGCGGGCATTTACGCAAATATGTACGACACGAGCGTATGTGTTGCGTGTCGAAACAAAGTTTAAAAAAGTTGGAGCAAGAGAAATGTTAATTTACGCGCAAGTAATAATGTCATTTGATTATTTGCGGCAAGCGCACGTTAAATTGACACCGCGTAAATTAACGATTTTAACACGTAAAAGAAATTGTCTTTTTACCTTGAAATAGAGAAAGATGGAAAAAGTAGAATCGATCGTATAATAATCAAGAGCTACAAATTGTGCGTGGGTGTATCCTGAAATGATTATATATTATCGAAATCGTGGATATTGTTGAAAGAAATATCGAAAAAGCCTCGTTTTTTTTTCGGACATTGCGAGGTGTCAAGTTGCAATGTCAGTTTTGGCGGGCAATTGCAAAAATTACGCGTGCGTTACATATACGTGTCAACGACCATCGCAAAATGACGCCGTGCGCGTGCGAGCAGAGTGCGTCTCCTTCTTTATTTTTCTCCCCCTCTCCAAGCTCGATTTCCGATCTTTCGTAACCGAGCTCGAAGCGCGAGGAATGTCCTTCCAAGTCCGCGTTCGGAGAAGCGTTTTGTATAATTTCGCGCGCGGCGAGGCTCCCCCCGCGAAATCTTTGGAATCCGATATACGAGAGAAAGGTGTAACCGCATTAGGTTCACAATTGGGCTAAATCGCGCGCGCGACGCTCCAGCTGAGCGAATACCTTCGATTAACGTAGGAACGTAGGTGGTCGCGAATCTATCTAAAAATCTAGAAAGTAAAAGAGCAAAAACGCGACGCGCGTTTTACCAATTCTTTCCTTTCTTTTTCGCTCGTGTCCCCGTTCAAGTCTCAAGCAACAATGATTATTTCTCTGCGGGGGATGATAGAGCCGCGAGCGCGGTAAAACGTAAATACACATATGCGCACGCGAGACACGTAACGCATTACGTGTGCATATGTCGCGCGTACGATACGCGCACACATGCACGTCGCATCTATCGCTTATCGATGCGAGCGAGAGCGTGCCATCTTGCCCGCTCGCGCGCGCGCGCACGCACATACGCATCCGCGCGTACACGTACGCGGAGGCACGTTCCCACGTATCTACATCGGCGGAGAGTAAACGTCAGTTTTTCGAGGAGGGACAATGTCCCGAATGTCTCGTTCCCGCTCTCGGAAGACGCGCGACAAGCCGTCCGTGTCCGTTCGCCCAGAGGGCGAACGACGCAACGCGTAATATCGAGAAGAGAGGAAAAAAAAGGTGGCCCGCACGCCCGCACGCACTCACAAGTCGCATGTACGCAGAAATGTAAGAGAGCGAAACTTACTCGTCCCCATCGGGGCAGATGCCAGTGGTCTCGTCGTACTTGGTGCAATAATTGTCGGCGCTATAATTGAAGGTGCGGTCCCTCTTTCTCACCGGCCTGCGCCTCCGCTGGTTCATAAAGTGCCAGTTGAAGCACGTGAAGGGTCTGTGCTGCGTGCATTTGCGTTGTATGAAGAGAGGACATTGCTCGACGCGGAATTCTTTCAAGTATCTGGAATGCGAATCCGCGGTACTAGACATTATTTTCGCCCGAGATACTTTTCCCGCTGCCGCCTCGTTGCTGCCTCGCCGCCGTGTCGTCGTCGCTCATACATGTACGATTTTCGCGGATCGTGGGACGCGCGCGTCGCGTTTCAGTCGCGTTCGTTGCTCGCGGCTCTCCCGTTCTTTTCTCCCTCTCCCTCTTCCTCGCCCTCTCGCGCGTTCATTCTCTCCCTCTCATTCTCGCCTTCGCAAACGTTCCCCTCTCTCTCCCCCGTCCTTTCGTTCGCTCTCTAGCACCGTTACCTTCTACTTTTATCCTCCCTCTCCCTCTTTCGATACTAATTTTCTTCGCACTGCACTTTTGGCGGTGGGTCGCGCACTTTCCGGCACAAATGGCCAACTCACTCGCCGTCTTTCGCTCGATGTCTTTCTTTCTCTTTCGCTCGCTCGCTCCCTCTCTCTCTCTCTTTCTCACTCACTCACTCACTCACTCACTCACTCACTCACTCACTCACTCACTCACTCTCTCTCTCTCTCTCTCTCGCTCGTTGTCGCTCGCTATACTTTTTCCCCCCGATATACAGCGACGGATATACACGTACGATGCGCGACACGTCCCGCGTTCCTCCGCGCGAGTTATCTCACCGATCTCACTTGGGCCTCGGCCCGGTCCGACCAGCGGGCGCTACTTACGTGTAATGATTCGCCTTTTCCGCCTGAGCTGTCAACAAAGGTTTCGAGTCGGACTTCATCTTGGATACAACAACGCGAGCCGACCAACCGCGCTCGCGCACAAACACACGCACTAACACGTACGGTGTACACCACCGACCAACACGGCGCACCGTCTCGATCGTCGTCCTCGCCGTCGCCGTCGCCGTCGCCGTCACCGCCACCGCCGCCGCCGCCGCCGCCACCGTCGTCGTCTTCGTCTTCGTTTTCGTCTTCGTCGTCGTCTTCGTCGTCCTCGTCTTCGTCGCTGTCGTCGTCGTCGTCCTCGTCGCCGTCGCCGCTGTCACTATCCCCAGCAACACCGCCACTCGCGTTACCGCTACCGCTACCGCTATCGTTGGTGCCACCGTCGCCGTTTATCGCCCTTGCCGTTCTCGCTCTCGCTCTCCTCGTTCCCGTTTCCGTTCCCGTCGTCGTCGTCCTCGTCCTCGTCCTCGTCCTTGTCCTCGTCCTCGCCGTCACCGCTGCCGCTCGCGCTCCGTACCGGTCCGTTTCGACGTTCCTCTTTCCTTCACCCCGCCGGCCCACCGCCCGGCCCACTACGCGCGGATTCTATTGGACGAGGAATGCGGACCGCGCGACGCAATATACCCTGTACGCGCCTCGCGAGCCAATCGCCGCCTCCCCTCGCCGTCACGTGACGCGCCGTCTTTCAAGGTCATTCATGTTTTGGTTTACGCGTAAACAGGCGTCCGCGATTCGACGCGTCACGCCGATCGCCGGTCCGTCTGCCCTCGTTCATAACCTTTTTGGAAATTGCACATTTTTACTCTCGGGGAAACGACTAGGTCTCGCACGTGCGACTCTGTTGTCGACGGAGAGAGAGAAAGAAAAAGAGAGAGAGAGAGAGAGAGAGAATTGCTCCGTCAAAAGCGATTTGGCAATTTTGACACGCATCTCGAGTGTTTTCGCTCCTCCTTTCTCTCACGAGGAATGTTATCGAGTCACGAGTCGGATTATCGAAATGCAAAGCTACGAGATAAGCCAAGAATGTCTTAACGTTATATTTTTTTTAATCTCGATAGAGACACAAGCATGGATCGTGCCGCTTTCACGTGGACATCTTACGCATTTGCCGTCGTATTTGTTTTCCCGTTTGTTGTCATCGAGTCTCTTGACACTTGGAAACTGAAAGAATCGATAATGTTGTCTTTCTCTCTCTTTCGGCAAGATGGAAAGAGATGACGCAGTCTCGAGAGAAAAAATAAATTTACAATTTAATTACCACTCGTGTTGCCTTTAATTATTAGTCATCAGGAGAGAAAAAATTATTTTTATAAAACGAGAAAAATAGAAGGACGTGCGTTATCGCATGTGTGATTCTTCAATCTCTCGCTTTCATTGAATCGCCGCCATAGCGTATAAAATGTATAGACGGAAATTCGATTTCCGTAATGACGGGTAGATTTGCGACAAAGAGGGGGCAGTCACTCTATCCACCTATCACAAATTAAATCGAGCCTCGTTCGAAAGCAACAAAGCAAAGGGCGTTTTTCAGCGAGCGACACAGAGCAGAGAATCATTTCGTCCTTGTTTGCATTTGGTAACCAACAAGGACAAAATGATATATTGTGTCCCTTGCTAAGAAACGCCCAAAATTACATTCGTTCCTATTTGGCAGCTAATTTCCGTCCATGTACTTTACATATTACGAATATGCCGCCAAAGTTCGCGATCGATGGCGACCTCTTGTTCGAATTTTATGCGGGAACATGATTATTCAACTTGATATTTCAACTTGTTTGATACTAAATCTCTCACGAGATTCTCAAAGAGAATCGGCGTTTGAAACTTTTTCACGATTAATTTCAAATCGCACATTATTTCAAATATTACTTCAAATGATTAATCAAACTAATTTGAAACAATAATAATTTCAACATTTCTGCTCAACTTTTCAGTATGTATTCGGACAAACTGAATTTGATATATATATATATTAACGAAAGCATATTATATTAAATTTAAACATTTATCAAATTTGAATCGTTTGAATTTTTAGATATTGCGAATCGATTCGACAAAAGTTTAATAGCCATCATTTCGTTCCACGTGAATCAACAATTTCCGTGTGCTATACTAATAATGAAGTCCAAATCGAAATTGGGAATGCACTTTATGTATTACAGTAGATTTTATTGAGTTCAAGTAATTTCACTATTGGTGTTGATTAGTATCGTAATGCGCCAAAACTCGCTATGTATCTTGTCCCATATCTACAGAATCGTTATACATTTACTTTTTAATGCGGTGTTTTTCCTCAATTTGCAGCGCACGTCTTAAATCGCACAGTTTAAAGTTAATCTCGATTCTCGACAATCGGTGGATACGTAACATCTATTGTAAGTTTATTAGTAAAATAAAATGTACATTAAGAGGCTCCAACGTTAGCACGACGTTAAAATATCTCGAGAAATGCTAGATATATGTTAAAAGAGCCCATTCTTCTCGGTGAAATAAATTATACAAGGGAGAATTACAATTACATACGGTTCACTTTATGCTCTGTATGTACATTGTTGATTGAATTAAACGCAAGATATAATCAATCGATAACATCCATTGCTATTTTCATAATGGAAGTTTCACGATTTCACAATCGATTTGAGTAAAAATAATTATCGCACAAGCACATAGAATCCTATATATCATTGCGTAATATTAAATAAGTGTATATGTGTTACTGTGTAAGCATACATCTTTATCGGCGAATCGCCGTTCAGCATATCCGTAAAACTGACTTCCGTAAGACGGAAAATGTATATTTAGAGAGTATAACATTAACAAATTTATTTATACAATTGGCTATCTATATACAGTATATCAATATGAATGTATTTACTTTTTAATATAATATTAAAGAGAGGCTTTGCTAGTTTTATCTGTTGCGCTACAACCTGCGATATTTTTTTTACGTTTTCTCCTTCTCGCTCTCTTTAATCCTTTCTTACACACACACTCATATATATGCATATATATATATATATATATATATATATATATATATATATATATATATGTATATGTATGTATGGATATATATTTATGTATATATAAAATAGACTTGAAAATTGTGTTTTTTAATAAAGAAATTTCTCAATGTCTTGCATTGATTACTTTATATTTTCAACCGATATATCCAATAATTCAAATACATAAATCCAAGCAATAATAATACAATAAGCAAACATGAGTCTTGGTGTACTGGTATACACCCTAGAAAGTATTTGGACAATACTCTTTTTAATAATTTTCCATTTTGGATTTAGTTTTAACTGTAACGTGGTTTTTTTGTTGTTTAATTATCTTAATTTCTCATCGCTCGCGATTGGAAATGAACGTGTCGAAACGCTCTTGTGCACACGTTTGTCATTTATCCAGATTCAATTTTTGCGTTTAATCCTCCTCACAACTCGGACAAAAGAATATTATTATTTTTATTACTATTATCATTCGTCACCCTACACATTTATCAGCTGATAGCATTAAGATTGGACCTTGCTTTGTCCAATCCGTGCCAACTTAAATGAAGAAGAGTTATTACTTGGGTTCTCCTCAATTAATTTGTCAAAGTACTCGACATTGAATGAAACGTATCTAAAGACGATATTAGTCTTACTACTGAAACAGAAAAGAATTAAAAAAGGTATATTGTATTTTTGTAATACTTGTACTAGTGTTTAAAGACTCATATTTGCCTACTATTATATGTCTATTACTATTTGGATCTATTCTAACAAACAAAAAATAATAATTAAAATTTTTTATATAAACCTTAGTATCGAGTGAACTAATTTCATACATAATATTAGCGTGTAATAGACTTTTAAATAAAATTTGGATATAACAAAGATTCACGAATGATTACATTTTATCGCAATGTAAACAATTGTAATTCATTAGATATTATTCGACTGGATATACTTATATGATAATTGATCCATAAATATGTTCTCTCTTGGAAGATATCTTGTTTTAAACATCCCAAGTTTACACTTTTGATTAAAATTGATTAAAATTGTTCAATAAATGCTTAGTTTGCATACTGATTAAGAATTGGTATTGCTTTTAATCGAAAGTGAATAATAATGCGATTTTAATATTATCGGATATCATCTTGGATGGCTGTTCTCTAAGATTGGGTTCAAATCTATAGTTGCGACTCTCCTTTTTCTTTTTCTTATATATCATTTATAAACACGACGACGACGAGAGAACCATTGATTCGACGTATATAATGGCGAATGTAATTCAGACGGTTGTTCCGTACGTGCTGAACATCACTCTGGTGGTATCTGTATCGAGAGTAACATCTTCCGGAGACGCTAAATCAACCTTTATGGATCCAGAGTTGTTTCGTTTTCGCGTCATGCCTCCGCCCCAATTCGACAGAGTCCAATGATAAGTCTCGCCATTTTTTTCGTTTGCCACAGCAGTCTCTTGCGTTGTCTCATTTTCCTTCTCCAAACCAGTCTCGATCGAAACAGACGATTGCGACGCGACGGAATCGAAACTGGAATCACCCCCACCGCCGTCGCCGCCGCCTCTATATCTATTTACGCATTCCGTTGCCATCTCACCGGGAGATTCCTCAATAGCCCGCAAAATATTTTGACATAATTCCGAATCGAGAGCAATCGGATCTTCCGAGTCGCGATTATGTATAGTTACCGCTATGTGAGCCGGATGCGGTATCGGTAGAGGAATCACTAGCTTCTCTGCACTGTACGGACGAATCTGGCGTTTCCACGGTTGCCACCGTCCTTCGGAACTGTTGTCATTTGTCATTGTGCGTCTTCGGATCTTTGTCGATGTCAACAATCCGCTAGTATCACTGCAAGCAAAATAGCGCGTTTTATCTATTTTTAAAAAACTTTCCAAGTCAATTCGAAAAAGATAATTACCATCGCTTGTCAGTCTTTCTGCTATTGCTGGTTTGTTTAGCTCGCGGATTAAAAGCAGATACTTCAAGGTATGGGCTGTGCACCTGAATATTCCCGCGCGGTGCGTAAACAGCGCCAAGCAAATCAGGCCCATTGATGCCACCGAGCTCAGTGCTATGGACCATGTCTGTGTATCGCGACAAATCAACTCCTGGATGTGGTTCTAATCTGAATTTAGTATCCGAATCGTCGAGTGGTTGTAGAAAATCCAGACTAAAGATATCGGCGTACATGAGCCCTGCCAGACCTGCCCAGTCGCATACTCCTAAACCTTTGTTTTCCCAAAAATCTTCCTCATTCCCTGACAATCTCGCCAAAACATGAGTGGGATATAGCCGTTCTAGCATCAGTGCGCCTTGTTGTATAACCACCTACAAATTTTATTTTTACAACTAGACTACACATAAACTGCGTAAATAAATTTATAGAAAATAAAGTACGTAGAATCACACACACACACGCATGCACACACATACAAACATATATACATAGAATCTTGTGAAAAATAATTACCTTCAAGTCAAAAGTAGTTAATTTTATTTTACTCCTCACCGCGACGCCGAGACCTGTTTGCAAATTCTTTCTTCGGCGATCCAATTTCTCATGTAATACGGCGATCAAATCTTTGGCTTCTTTCTCGAGCGATCTATATGGATCCTTTATCTTTGCCAAACTAGCAGCAAACGGGCCAAAACAGGCTTCGACAAACTGAGTAAAGTCTCTCTGCGGTTGAGTAATTAATCTCTCCGTTTCTTGCTGGAAAGCCAGTAATTCGTCCAGTTCTAATTTCGCTTCGAATGCGGCCAACGCTTGTTCTGCTCTTATCTGATAAAAATATATATATATATATAAAATTTTTATTTTATAAATTTTATACATTATCGGACAGTATATAATGTTCATTTACAAGCAAACAACAACTCACTTGATAAAAATAATCCGAAGCTAACCCAGGTCCAGCTATTCTCTTTACGACAAAACTATCGCTCGCTGGTATTCGACCTCTGTTTTTTATCACTAGATGGAACATGGCTGTATCCCAGAGGACTCTGATCCAGTAACGTATCACAGCAACTGCAAATAAGATTATTTTTCCATAAGCACGCATGATTCTTTATATTTTTTTTTTATTAAAATCAGCATTTTATTTACTTGTAAGTATCACGAATGAAATTACTGGGCATAGAACAAAGGCTACTAATAATGCCGCTATTGGTTGTAGACATCCTTGAATACCAATATTCCAGAGTAATGCTTCCACTATTACGAAATATCGATTGCGGCTCGGTTCGGGACTATCCAAGTCCATGATAAGTGCCATAAATGCATGCAGCGTCAATGTGACCAAAGGCATCCTGACAAAATGGAACAGACACGAGTTTAATTATAAACCTAAAGGAAAAAAAAGGAAAAAAAAACACCGCAACAAACGGAAAGTTATCGCGTACGAAACTAACCATAAGACTGCAGTGAGAGCAATCACTAGCGAACCAACACTTGCCATAATACACACCACGGGAAATACAAACAGTATGATAAGCGTGCCCAATAGACCTTTTACACCATAATTCCATAATCTATTTAGATGTCGAGTCATACCTTTGCCGATAAACCCTAAGAGAGTATCATTATCATTATCGTTATTATTATTAGCGATGATTTTTGTTAATATTGTATATGTGCTCTCTGATTCTTATAATTATGCCGATCAAAATAAACAAACGTATTTGCAAAACGTTTGTTTATGAGAGCGCGATCGAGATTGAACTTACCTGTGTCTGGTTCAGTTTCAAAGTGTGTCCGACTTTTACTGATGTGCCTCCAAAGCGCTATTAATCGAGAACAAAGAGTAGGCATCTGCGATGACTTTCTCGGGAACAATGTTCCGTTTAGTTGACTCAACTCCAAGTCGGGAGTAAACGATTGTACCAGCAACAATGCGCGAAAAGACACTGGACTACACCACGGCACGGCTACGCCCAATAAAAACATTGCATTCCAAGTCCAACACCATGTCCTGGCAATGTAATTTATCCAGCGCCACATTGGCCACCTGTTTTATCGTGATATCATTAAACATTAGGACACTTTGAGCTCATAGATAGCTAGTGGATTGATTCAAGCACCTTGTCGTAGTTGTATGCACAATCTCTCTTTCGACTAAAAAGACGGGCTGGCTGGGATCAGCGCGAGGTGTTGTAATAGAAGTCGGGGTGTTGCTCAATACGGTCGGAATGATTTCTGATTGACCTTGAAAGTTGCGTCTTATTATCCAATTCTTTGGTAACCAGATTTGCGTCGGCCATTGGAAAGTCCTCGTCGGGGTTTTAACCTTTCGCAGTTCTTTTAGGAGAACTGGCTCTCTCTGAGAAATAATAAAATGTGTAATAAATCTTTCTAAGAGAAATATAATTAAAATTAAGTGCTTTATTTTATACCTCTCTCATAAAGGTCAAATCACGATTAAGAAAGTAAATCGTTTGCGTGAGATTCTGATGACTGCAGAGCGCCAGAGCTTCCTCGTGCGCGCTCCACTCGCACTCCTCGATGAAATTCTCTTCGGCCTCTCTCATACGATCGCGCATCCACGGCTGTATTCGCGACAAGACGGGATGCTCGTTTTCGATACGGCGTCGTAGAGATTCTTTGGTTTGCGATAGTTTCCGTTGCATATTTTCCACTGCTCGATGCATCAGTACGACTGATTGCGCCTGTTGAACCAGCAGCTGAGCAATACCGTCGCCTAACGCCAATATGTCTGGATGCGATAAGATATTCGAATATACTCTTTGCAGATACTCGCGCATCACCGCTTCATTGACTTCCTAAAAATATCAATGTCGCTAAATACATTGTTTCATTTATTACACAAAAATGTATAAAATATAGTAAATTTATGCCTTATAATGTCTTTTAAGCGTAAACAGTTGGGCGTTTTTGCAAAATGCAAAAATTTCTTACTCGTTCAATTTCCTCGTCCGGTTTCTTTTGTGCTCTCAGTTCGGATATCAGTCTTTCTCTAAAGTGAAGAAACCAGCCTCTTGTCTCTCTCTCCAAAATTGCAACGAGCGTCGGAAGAGCTTTCCTAATTATGTCTCTGCTGAATAGCCGGAGATCGACTGCGGCCCCACCGGGTGTCCCAAATACAAAAGGGATCGAAACAGGCAATAGCTGGGACGATTCTCTTTCGACTTCAAACTTTTCAGTAGTTGCTCGACGAAGTTGTTTCCTTATAAATCCACAGAGTAGTTCTAGAGAATCCTCGTATTCCGGCTGTAATGACGTAGTGAAAATGCCAAAATTCAAATTTATACGATCGAAGACACTGAGAAATCTCGCAAAAATATGGAAAGATGTACAATAATATCTTACCCGACAGACCAATTCCGCTACCAAGTATCGACAACGTTCTTCTCTAATTTTAACATCTAAATTATGCGCCTGGAGCGACGGCACGCCAATTATAATGTCTGCAAGATACATACGTATAGATTATAACGTATACATGTATATAATAAGGTGTTGATAATGCGAACATGTAACGTTTAAACGTCACGCAAACATACATATTACGTGGACATGAGCACAAAAGCGCAAGAAAGACGTAAATTGCTCACCGAGAAGTCGTAATAGCCCCGTTATTAGAGCCTTAAGGGATTGCGAGACACTAAAGCAATGGGAAATTAATCTAGCTCTCGCCGTTACAACGAGAAACCTAGTCGCCAGAGCGAGATCCGTGAGTAACGCGTCCCGCCGTCTGTCTCGGCCTCGCTGCAAAAGACCGCTCAATCGCCATCGGTGTGTCTGTCCGGCAAAGTTGATCGAGTCCACTTCGAATTCTCTGCAAGAAGAATCTTTGGTCAGCCGCGCGATTCAATTTCCGATCAAAATCACACAAGGCGCTAATATTTTGCAAAACGACATTTTACTTGTTGTACATATAAATGTGTTGCAATATACGCTAAGTGAAGATGGCACATTACAAAACTATTTACATAGCAATGTAACGTCTATTCGTTTTCTAGTTTCACCAAAGACACTTCTATTCGATAGCATCTATGTCGAGTTACATATATTCGATATACATATAATTATAATCGACTGTAGAGATTCGCGCTAAAGCTCATGGGGGAGGGATTCTTTATAATTATAATTATGTGTTACAACACGCCAAAATATCTAAGCTAATGACTACTAAAATAACAACTTTCTAGGAATATACAACTTAGCAATCGAGCACCGTGCAACAACTAATGTATGATGGGGTTACGCACGTTAAATGTCAACATGAATCTCCAATTTCAATCGTGCACAGAATTATATAAGTAATTTATCTCATTAATCTTTTTAGCGCAATGAGTATTTAGGCTGATCGCAATGTGAAGGATCATGCTGTGACAATTTTCCGCGCGAGAGAAATATCGACTTATTTGTTTAAACATTTTTTTAACACATTTTTATTACGTTTCAAGTATCGTCGCTAATGTGTCACACGTACCCGCATCTTCGAATGCTCTCCAATTGAGTGGCATTCAGCTTCTTCGGCTTTCCATATTTATCCTTGTGTAAGCTTTACAGAAATCGTTAGAGCATACATCAGAGACACGTACACAAAGAGAAATACAAGGATTGCTTTATTTATCTAGCATAGAAGGAGAGAGAGGGAAGGTGGAAGGAAAAGGGAAGGAGAAAGAGAGAGAGAGAGACTCTGTGCGTTTCATTGATTGAAAACGCAAACGAGGCATAGTCGTCGTTTCAAAATTCACACGCGTTTGCTCATTGTTTTTCAAACATCTCTATTCGTCAAATCAATCGTCAAATCAATAGATTGAACGATTATCCCGAATGCGGATTGTATTCTTGTTTACCCATTACTACGACATCTTTCTCTACTGTCTATATCTCTACTGCTGCTACGCGATGTGTAATTATTATACAAAATTACTAGCTAACACAATTATTAAAAGAGAGATTGTAAGATCCATCCATATGGGAGAAAATACTTACCCTCGCTCCCTAATGCTCTCCAATTGTTTGTTGGTCAGTCTTCTGGGCTCGCCCTTGCTGTCCACAGCAACGGCGTCCAACTCGTCGAAGCTGGGTGCCACGAAAAGATCCCTCAAATGATACTTTTTTCGCGCCAACGTGTCGTCACCCTCCGTGCATGAGGACAATGGCGGTGGCAGAACGATGGGGAAGGTTCGCCAATGATAGAGGAATTGTTGGGCCACTTCCTTGATGTTGTATACCAATGTCTCGACTTCCGCTGGAGCACCTCGCAAATGCGAAATGTCGAATTCCACCGGTTCTTTCTGAAAACAACGACTGCGTTTGAATTTTATTGAATTAAGATTCAAGAAAACAAAGCAGCGCTTTTTCTTTTTTCGTTTTATTTTATTTCTCTTTATTTTACTTTATATTTTGAACCATATTTTTTATTTATTTGGCTTTCATTTTTTATTTCGCGCACTCGTGAAAATTTTACAATCTGTATTCTGTCATATGTTGGATGCAATTTCAAAAACGAAAAATCCATTTATTCTAGTCTAGATTTCCGTGTACACACACATTAAATTGATAGCCTGAACAAACAACCTGCAAAATTGAATTTAATATTATTAATTGTATACATAATATATCTCTTTCCTCGGATTACATGTATCCAATTATACACAATTATACAAATAATATATTCCATAATAATAATTTATATACAAATAATATTCCAATTTTGATGGCCTCTTATGATTAGAGGTAAAAATAATGTTTCAAAATTGTAATTGAAAATATTTTTCATTGGCCAAAATGTCGTTAATTAAGATTGACAAATATTTGGGTATCTGACGCGTCAAGCCTCTGTCCATTTGTTTTCTTGTTTACTTTTTTTCTTTTTACCTTACCTCGGGCTGGAGTCCATCTGCATTTTCTCGATGATGCGGTTGCTGAGGATAGGCTTGATGGTTCGGTCCTGTGTTGGCGGAATTGGCGGAAACTGAGTTTAGATTGTGGGGCATCTCGCGCGTGAAAAGCGTGCGCGGCGGCTGGGGTCAGCTGCCCCGTATACCAACTATCTCCTCATATACCATGCTGTTGGTGGCCACCATTTATCATTCTACACTGCAAATCAAACGCGAGAAAAATCGTATGAATCACGATATTGAAAATATTTCATATCTGTGAATTTCATTCATAATATATAGAAAGCATATTGTATATATTATTTAAATTAAATAACATAAAATAAAATTACATAAATTTAAATTAAATTACATAAATTATTCAAAGTTTGTAATTTTAGGTAGAGTATAGTGTACAAATAGAATCACAAAATTAAAAATAATATAATAAAACATATATGGATTGAGATTTAAAAAAAGACACATTAGCAAGGGGGATTTTTTTATCGAATATAAAACTCGGAGGAGGAGAACCCTCCTTCGATGTAGCGATCAAAGCCGTGTGCAACGGGAAAAGGCTAGACGGAATACATATAGAGTTTTATAGGGACGATAAAAATATCCGGGAGCGAGAGAGAGAGAGAGAGAGAGAGAGCAGCGGAATACGAGAGACGAGTTGCCATTCGTCGTGTGTGTGCGGTAGCTTTGGCTGAATGTGCGAGACCTATTAACCGATTATGTTCCATTAAACGTTTAAGATTCTGAACATTCCACTCATCTTGCCGCTATATGTATACGTCACCGCGTATATTTTAAATTACGTCCGCTCTCATGTGGTTCGTGTCGCGCGTCGTCTTTTTCTCTCTTCCTTTTTATACCTACAATGATGCGTACTCGTGTAAATAGTTGACGAGTACGAAAATGTGCAAAATATTTCCAAAGCGTTTCCATTCTATACAAATACGATATAAATGCGACTAGTAAAAAGAATTACATATTTCCGTTAATTAAGAGCACAATCGAAATATCACGAACGCGTTTTATTTTCGATATGGGCTCTTCGATCGAATTATTTCTATTAGTACTTGACCCGGTACATTTAGCGTCCGCAATCGCGAATCAGCGTTTCCAAAGAGGTAAAACAAAATCGGATTCTCCAAACTTGTTTCATCTATCGTATCCGTCATTATTCGTTTCGTAAAAAAATTGTAAAAGTATTAAAGGTGAAAACTTTTTCTAAACGGACAGGTCTGATGGAGTTATCGCTTTAGTCATTTCGGTCCGGAGGAAGTAACGATTATATCATAGACAAGTATATCGCCAGACAATATATATATTTTTGAACCATATAATTTTTTCTCTTCCTTGTACAACACATGATTGGAATATAATTTTACTTATTTTTTTTTCTTCAAACTCAAATACAATATATCATTTATCTTATTTTATCTTGTTTTTTTTTTTCAAACTCAAATAGAATATATCATTTATCTTATCTTATTTTTTTCAAACTCAAATACAATACATCATTTATTTTATTTTAAATAAAAAATAAAAAGAAAAGTGAGGCGACGAGATGACTTTAGAATAATTTTCATTAAATTTTTCCAGAGAGAATAGCAAAAGTGGAACGCGTAAAAATCTTTGCAACATTCAAGTGTGTTTCAGGTATTGTATATATATTGTCGGACAATTTGCAAGCTCCGCTTTTTGACCCAATTCGAAGAGCTGTCGTAATCTTAAAACAAATGGTCAGGATATCACGCAGTCGATCCAATCGCTCTAAAATGCGCGGTGCACCCGTCATGCGTGATTGCGTGTGATTTCATGCACGATGCACAATTTCCGAGGAGAAACCCAACAGTGATTTTTTTACCGCTAAACGCAGCTAACGTTATTAGCATGCTGAAAAATCAATAATAAAAAGTGAATCATCTCGTGTCAATCTTGCTTTGTTCCAAATATTTATATTTTTCGAGGAAAGAGTGTATTCTTCCGTATTGTACGTGATTGAATGCGTCCATTTTTTTAGAAGAAAGAAAAGAAAAGAAAGAGCACGAGAAGATTTTATTTGCGAAAGACGCGGCAGCAAAATCGTAGCGCGAATGCTGTTGCTGCTGCTGCTGCTGCTGCTGCTGCATCGACTATTATCGAATGATAAAAACGTAAACGGGATGAATAGGTGCCATTCATAGATTCGAAACGACTAGCGCTTAAATGTCGCAGAGGAATGTCGTACATGATTATTCTATACGCAGAGTTGCATTTACTCTCTCGTCGGATATCATATTTCTTTATTATATACCTTTATTATATCCTCTCTTTTCATCTATTGTTTCATGTATAATAAGAAAACTGATTCCATAAACTCTATTCTGTAATTCTTTTTCCTCTCGTATCTCTCTCAAGTAGAAGAACGTGTTCGAGTGTAGGCGTCTAACATAAAGTATCGTTCACATGGAGCTTGTAATTGTCAACGTGCTACATGGAATCCTTAGTGTATGCATGTATTGCGTATCAAAGTCGATGTAATAAATGAGAAAAGAAAGAATATTTTATGCGCTTTGAAACGGATTATTAGTCATGAGATTGATCAAGTTTTTCTTTGAACTTGTTGAAATGTTGAAAACTAATATGTGTCCGCGTAAAAGCACCGAGAAAGATTTCAAGTTATAAAGATGTGTTTTATTCTTCACGCAATGAAAAAAAAAACAATGAAAAAGATAGTAATGATAAAGAAGTAATGATACAATACAATACAATCTTCATTATATAGCTGACGAAACTTTTTTATCAAGTTTTATTTCGGAATAAATGTTTGCAAATGAAATTATGCAGATGATTCGAAATAATTATATATCGCGTATTATTAAAAAATGTAGAATTTGAATTCCACGATCGATACATGTATATCAATTATATATATTGCGATTATTTATACCTCTTTATTATTATAATTCTAGGAGAGAATGTGAAGCAGAGAGATAAAAACACCTCGAAAATATATACATATATCGTATTAAACAGAAATAAATACATAAAAGAGATAAAAGAGGAAATAAATACGATAAAAAATTTCAATTTCTTTGCCGTATGCATTATTTTTAAAGAAGATTTTAAAAAGTCGATTCGGTCGGCACTTTTTTGCGCTCGCCCGTGACCCTAACGAACAAGATCCGGTACAATTGTGGAGAGACGCGACATTCGAATCCCAGATCACAGCCTGCCCTTTCATTGTGCACGACACTCACTGTCAACCTTTTTCTATTTCATTATTTTCCTCCTTCTTCTTTCGCGTTCCCGCCCTTCGTTGACTGCCGCAACGCGATATATGTACATGCATACATGTGCAATATGCATACTTTTAAAATTTTAACATTCTCTCTTTCTCCCTCTTTCTCTTTCTGTCTATTTGCATGTACAATTTCAGAATGTAATTTCGCGCGTAAAATATCAGTCAAATCATTCTAGATATTGTTGCGAACGAGGTCGCGCAAATTGATTCAAAGTCCCCTTTCAATGTGAAATCTTTCAATACGAAACGCCCATCTCTTCACAATAGTAGTAGTAACTGTAATAGTAACTTCAATAGTTGGGGATCATTAATCCGCGCGAGTTTGTTATTGTGTTCTCATTGCCAGAATTTGTGTCGCGCAAATTGCGGGTGTGCACGACATATCTCTCTCGGAGAGAGATCCAATCACATGTGTCTAGTCTACCGCACACGTGCTGTGCATTGCCGGTGCCGAACGCAAATAAAAAAAAAAAAGAAAATGAGAAATATGTGTGACAATCGAGAGAAAGATATTAAATGAAACATGCATTCGTCGTGCCAGATGTTTTCGTTCACACGCCTCCTTCGCGCGATTAAAGAATTAATTTTAATTTTATATTAAAAAACGTCAATATCATGCGTGTTCCATAAATCTGAAAAATTCATGATAAAGTATCCAACGTACTAAACGGCATCGCGATCTCTTAAAACATGTATTTTAAATAATTTAGAAATAAGTATTTTCTATCTCTGGATCACTTGTCGGAATATTTCACAAACGCAAATGTACGTATACGTGTTCCGTATTTATACGATAAATTATGCATCTTTTGTACATTTGATTAATGAAGAATTAATAAGACGATTGAAAGGAGACGTGGAATAGAATGACTTTTGTACTCACTAGTAAGAAAATTATTTGAAAGAAGGATATGTTTAGAAAATTTGTTTATTTTCTCACGTTGATGGTTGAAACTTTATTCAACTTTTTAAAGTTTCCCGTATCAATTTCTCCTTCTTGTTTATGCATTCAATTTATTACGCGGTGTGACATTCCTATGATAAACCAGATGTTTGAAGTTTAACTTTTCATAATTAATTTTTTCTCTACAATTTAAAAAATTAATATTCCTTGTATATTATTAATAAAATTTTGCTTAAAATGGCATGAAAATAAATCTGAAATTTCAACGTCCACAGAGAAAAAGGACATTCTTGTTTTGAAAATATATTTAAATATATTTAGTTTTAACATGGAAATCTTGAAATGAGATTATATTGCGTTAATTAAAGAAAAATATAATTGCTTGAATAATTGCTTACTTGAATGAAGCCATTTTATATAGTTCAATCGAAAAAAACATATTCTTATGATTTAAGATTTAATTTTCTCGTATGGAAAAGAAACAATGTTAGAAATAACATTTTTAAATCAGAGATTATAATTTTCTTAAAGTAGAATTAAATAATTATATATTCTTGAGGTGACAATTACAATATTAAAATAAGATTAAGAACGCGTTAGTTTAAGTATATAAGTTTTGATTCGACAGTTATTTTTTTCTATCTTGACGCAATATATATATGACGAATGAATTTCAAAACAATTAGGTACTCTTGAGATTGAAAATTGTTGTGTAACGAGCGTTTAGATTCACCCATTGACCCCTATTTTTTTATATCCGAAATGTGTGTTTCTCGAACTCTCGTGTCACACCATCATATCGCACCATCATTGTTTTCAAGTATAAATATCGCGTGTAGCATATCGAAAGAGGTGGATCGATCAAGTCGTCGACGCACGCAAAGTGCCCCATATATACGCATTCTCACACGCATTCTCTCTACGATTTCTCCCTTTTCGAGGAGGCACCCCAAATGAAAGGTGCCCCCGATGACGACGCGTGCGACCGATGACAGGATGAGAGGACAACGCCCCTGTTCGCTACTCGCTTCCCTCTATCGTGATCGTCGTCGAGGGAGTAGATTCGCGCGCTAATCATCATCAGAGAGAGAAGATCGCGTTGTAACGAGACGATGAAATTATTTTACCGCAGCAGTCGAGCGGAAATCAATCTTGCAACACCAAGTTCAAGTCCCCGAACCGAATTTATATACTCGTGAAAGGCTCGTGTAAAAAAAAATTATACACATATATCTACATGTATATATTTTTACAAATTAATATATTTTCACTAGATATTGCGTTAATTATGAGATTCCCTGCTCGATTTCTCCGATGGATTTACAAACGAATGAATAATTTTATCGCTACAATGATGCTAGAGATCCTTTATCGAGACATGAAATTTGAGATTAGTAAATCCCCAATAATATTAACAAATTTAAATGTAAAATTTGTTGTATTTAATGAAAGAATATCAAAATTATATACGAATACAATTATTAAAAATTGCACAAATTTATGTGTCATTTAAAATTATCAATACATTTTCGCAAGGATACGGAAAGTACGAACAATTCGCATTTATACATATTCGTCTATTTATCAAGTTTTTTTATTACACAGTTAAAAAAACAGTGTTATTCTTTTTATTAAAATCATTTGCTTTATGTAAAGCATCGATAACGTTATTTTTAATTTCGTAGACACGAAATCGCGCCCCAATTATTGCGGTGTACGAGATGTAAAATTTCAGCTTTAGGATCTTTTTTGTAAACCTTCGTAGAGGAAACGGCCGTGAAAAAGACGCGAAAGAGTCGCGAAGGGCTCGTCGTGACGCTACGCGACGCGAAACGACGCTACGCGACGCGACGCGACGCGACACAAGGCGAGACACGGCTGTCAAAGTGTCGTCGTCGTCGTCGGCCGTGGAATCGTCGCGCGATCATCCTAACCTGGTTCGGCCGGTCGTCCGTTTCACGGGCCGAGAATATCGCGCGAGGATACGCGCTAAATCACTTCTGGGTCGTTCGTCGCGACGAACGACGAGCGACGAGCGTTTGGCGCGAGACCATCAGCCACCAGCTGAAATTTTCGCGCGTCCTAGGTCGCGAGAGAAAACGACCCCCCTTGGAGCCTCCTTGAGGAAGCTTTTCCGACGAAACTCACACCATTACTCACCGTTTCTCCGGATCCGGATCGCGACTCGTTTAGAGAGATGACAAGCGCGAGACGCGAGATATCAATACCACTCACCTCGGCACTGTCGACAAAGCGCTGTCAAAACAACTTTCGAACGAATCGGTCGAGCGACAACTGATTCTTATCGAACCATCCGCGGCGAAATGCGGCGCGCGACTCGCGCTACGTCCGACCCGCCATCTCGTGTTTATCTCTACAACGATAACGTGGCTTGGCCGCCGTCGACAGAGAAAATCCCCTAGTAGCAGCCTTCATCGAATATGATTGGTTCTTATTTTCAGATCCAGCGAATCAGCGTCGAGTGTTACAAGAATACGGCAAGAGTTTTTTTTTCTACACCAATGAATGTCTCCAGAATCATACAAAATGTATACATGCATGTAAACTCCACGAGTGTGACTTCTATGTATTTAATATCTTAAAAGTAATCCAAAATAAAATCTAGCATATTTTATATGTATTAAAAGAGTAAAATTACCCTAAATTACACTTGCAAAGTAATTAATTTTACAAATAAAAAGTAATTAAAAAGTAAATTAAAAGATTAATATTAAAATTATTATTATCATTAAAATTAAAATTATTAATTGCTTATCCCGTATAGTTACCTCGCCGATGCCCGATGTTTTCCCGAGCTACCTTCTTCTCTTATTCTTTCTCTCTTGTTCATTCTTGTGCACCCACACAATATATTCACTCACGAGACAGTTAAATCGCGCGATACTTGTTTCAACTTGAACAACACTCCCGATAAAATACACACTTTATAAAACTGTGACGCCAAAAATTGTGTGACCAAATTCACGTGATACATGTCGCAAAAATCTAATTTGTTTTTAATAAATAGCATATTTGCATTTTTAAAATAATTTTGTTATCTCGCATCAAAATGTATTACGTATATATCTTTATATTAAATTAATGAAAAGTAGTTTAAGACACGATGCAAAATTCGAATTTAAACATATGAAAGAATAATTATTAACCTATATACCTGGATAAAAAAAACATTATATATTTGTATCTATAATCCCTTATTACGCAATACGATTAGGAAGTATCGATCGTAAGAATTGTTCAATCACGTGAATCGCCAATTGCAAAAGTTAATCTCGCACCATGAAGAATAATCCTGATGAATGGAGAGGTTCGCGCGTTATATTGCCTTCTCGTTCGAGTCTCGCGACGCAAATGACAAGGTCGAGACACGTCAACAACAGCGCTCGATATGCCGCGAAATGCGAAGGTCAAGTAGCCGACCGTCAATTTGTTACGACGAAATATTCAACGCTCTACAAAATAAATTTATTCGAAACATTCTTTTCTTTTTTTTACTATTATATTATCAATCAACAATATATACAGCGATGTGTGTGATGCTGACTGTTTGTTATTTCGAACATTCGATCATGCGATTCGTATATTACTACGTGTTCTTAATGGTATATTATTCGATTCGTAAAAGAAAAAAACGATTAAATTAAATGAAATTTCTTTGAATTTAAATCTAAATGAAAAGAGAAACCCGAAACATATTTGAATCTTTCTTTCCGAGCATATTTGAAGAAATAATTATTATCAGAAAAACTATTATAATAATATAATTTATAATCCTTCGTCGCTTCGATTTGTCGCGTTATACTTGGAAATTATTATATATATACTTATACGATTATTTTATTTGACAATTAACGATTATAATTATGAATTCCTATATGATTGAACATGACACATATATATACATATACATTGCACAATTTCTATGCATTTTTATTTTACATATACATACACACACACACAAAACTTAAAACATATAAACTTGTTTCATCCGTATCACGAACCCAACTCATCAATCTTCAAATTAATTGCGGATAATTTGAGAGCACAATCTTGATAAGAACAAGTACTTACCAAAGTTTCTCCAATAGGTATTTTTAAGCGCGAAACATCCTCCTTTTTTAAAAAAGACCAATCGCAACCATACGATATACCGTCATGCTTATTGTAATTGCCAATGATAGACATGTTACAATCACAATTAATAATCTTAAAATCCTCGTACATACACGCGGCGAGTAAGTACTGATGCGTAAAAGGATCCCATTTTAAACGCCAAATTCCACCATTGAGATTAATTTTAGATACCGGTCGTCTCAAGTTTCTCTTGTCCCACAATCTTAGAAACTCATCGTAACTAAAAAATATTTAATGTACTTTTATAACAAACTAACTAAAGAAATTATAAAGAATAATCTCTCTTTGCAATTCTTTATAATATTAAATATAGAAAAATATATTCTTTTGAATGTGAGAAAATGCAGATTAATAATTAAAAGTATCTTTTACTTCATTGGCAATTTATAGAAACCGGCGACACAAGAAATAGATTTGTTGAATCAAGTGCAATTTTATCAAATTAAAAATATAGAAATCTTTGATTCTCGAAGAAAAAACGTAGAGTAATAATCATAAAAATCTTTTACCTTCCAGTTGCGAGCATGAATGATTTAACAGCGTTACTGTGAATGCTGGTGACGCCAGAAGTATGCTCTCTATTACACAACACGGGAATAACCCCTGTCCTGGCGTCAAAAGTTAGAAACTTGTTGTCATCGCCTCCTGAAATTTAAAACATATTGACTTATCAAAAATCTACATCAACATTTTTTATGTATTCTGAAGAAAAAATATTTATGAGAATTAAGCAGAATCAAAATACCAGAATAAAAAATATTATCGTTGCAATATTCAAAGGCCACAATCCATGCTTGAAATTCGTGCGCGCGTAACGTAAAATCCTTTGTTAGATTATTAGTTTCATGCCATGTGAAATGAGATATCCGTCCTTGACTATCGCTTACAGCAATACGTGGATTCAAATGACAAGTCTCAGAAACGAATCCTCCTGTAGACCAATCCAACGACAATGCCATGACATCTTCATTATCGTCACCGAGTCTTTCTTTAGCAATTAATTGCAATTCCGTTTTGTTTTCCTTCTTTTGCAGTTCATAAATTTGCAGGTGTCCATTGGAGTTTGCAACAGCAAGCAATATTTGATTATTTTCGCTTGTCGTGACATGTGTCCACTTCATATCTAATATACCTGAAGTATCTATTCGTTGCAATACTTGCAATTTTCCACCATCCACGACACGAAGTAAATAAATTCGTCCTGTCCGTTCGCACTTTTCATCTTTTGCATCTTCCTTATTCTCAATTAATTTGTATGTTCCACACGCCAATACATCTCGAAACGGCTCTGCAGGACACCACTCGACAGAATCTGCTGGGAATTCTGTATCAAATTCATCCAAAGTATAAAAAACTTCTTTACTTGCCATTTGAGGAAAATTGTCTGAAACAAAAGGAATTGCAGATATCCCTTATCAAATTTCTCACACACATCATTTAATATTTAACAAAGTTTTATTTTTCATTGGCAGTTACCTCACAATTACTACATGATTTTACAAAATGCCTCATGTATATAAAGTCATGCAATTTATGCAATTGTCAAATAATCAAATTCATAAAATGCAATTAGCAATAGATTTTTATTACTCATATAATTGATGGATGAGAGAGAGAGAGAGAGAGAGAGAGAGAGAGAGAGAGAGAGAGAGAGAGTGTGTGTGTGTGTGTGTGTGTGTGTATGAGCGCGTATATACGAATTTGAGAAAGAATAAACATTAGTAGTGAGAGAATGTAAACATAAACTTATATAAATAAATACGAAAATTTGCCGTACAACTTTTTCAGTAAAATTCATACATGTACATACACACACTATGGGTCTTTTATCTAAAATACAAATTATTTTTGATAAAAAAATTTTATTTGATTTTTTTTCTATAAATATTACAATATTTTAAGTTTATAGTTTAAGTGTAGGAACACATATTTTTTGTACCATTCTTATATTACACATATGGAGAAAAATTTTACATCTTTTAGACTCATAATGATATATATAGATATGTACACACACGCACATACATAATTACATTATATATTGTACCAAGCTAATAACTTGTGCAACAATGTATAATATCTAATCAGACTATATAAAATTTTTCTATAAAATTATTATCATGTAAATAGAAATAGTGACTATCTCATTTATATTTGTACTATAATCATCGATATAGATATATTTATAAGGCTTTAAATGTATCGCAATATGTATAATTATTTTATGACACAATTTTGTATCATTAACGCATATTATTGGTTGGTTCATTCTATTATATAGCCCATGTAATTGGCTTTCAATTTGATAAATAAATAAATATCATCAAGAATAATTACAGAAGGCAAAAGAGAAGCATCTCAGAAAAATTATAAATATAAAATGGCATGTTGCTAACAATAAGTTGAAGGAGATATTATATTGTTATAATACTTTACATAATTCTTTGGCAGTGTAATCATAGCAAATTTTACGTAATAGTAGACAATGAAAATTTCTGATGCTTCATTTGCTTTAAGCACAATTTGTTGACTTTATCAAAGTAAAAATTACTGCTTAATATTTGTAATATGAGAAATTTGTTAAGATAAAAATATTCTTCTTACAACGTTATATTTGATTAAAATATCTCTCTCTCTATTAATATTATTCTAAATCGCTATCTTATACAAGTTACTCGTAATACTTTGAGTTGGTCAAACTTCGAGGTAGAATAAATACTGTTGATAATAAAATATATGTATATCCTTTCATATAACGATATCAAGTACTTATCTTAAAAAAGAGAGAGAATATACACTTTTTGTATATATCAGGGTCTTTGAAAATTCTTAACGATTATTTTAATAGGAACTATGCTATTATTGGCATGATTTCTTGGAGCTTTTCGTAGCTTCGACTCGACACTGTTTGACTAGACGACATGCTTTCACGAGATCGCGTTCAACTTTAGGCATCGTCTTGCGAAGTTTACTACCGGTATAAAAAGGTTTAAGATCGCGCCCTAGCTGTTCTATGACGCGCAGCAATTTTACATACTTTGATTGAGCAGGCACCGAAGACACAATCTGCTGCGAGGACGTTGAATTTGGTACCGTCAACAACGGTTCCGTGATTTTCGCAGTAACCCCTACGTTTTTGCGTTCCTTCGTCATCTTTGGTGCTGCGTTGTTCTTATTTTAATATACCTTGAGAAATAATCGATTGAGATAATCTATCTATAAGCGATAAGCCAAATATTCGCGTTATTTTAGCAAGGAAAAGTCAAAAATCGTAACGCTTGTCTAACCTCTAAGGTTAACGGAGAATCGTTTCTATCGATTTCACATGTCGATATGTTATATGTAGAATTTGACATACCTTAAATATCGTTCGCCGTATTATTCGAAATGAGCCGTAATGAGCAGCTGATATATATATAAAAGATTAATAAATATTAATTGTGCGTAAATGCAATGACAAGGCGTGAACAAAATATTGACATCGGTAATATAAAGCCGGGAGCATCGAGCGTTCGAACATGAAGCGTTTGATTGGCCAATCAAGATAAAAAGGGTAAAAGATTTCTTTAATCCGATTGGTCAATCAAACGCTTCGAAGCATCCGGAGCGCCTTCCCGACCGCAGCCGATTGGTCCATAAGTATAAGGGACCAATCAGGTTAAAGAAATCTTCACTCCTTTTGTCCTGATTGGTCAATCAAACGCTTCGAAGCATCCAGAGCGCCTTCCCGACCGCAGACACAATGTATGACCATACAATAAAAACGCCATTAGTTTCTTGGTTAAATTCCAATTCTTAATTTTTAATCGCATTTAAGCGCAATCTGATGCGGGAAATTGATATGACGCGAATAAGATATTCTTATGTTTGACTTTACAATAAGTGGAAAACTTAAATTTTCCGCACGCATTTGTTTCCCTCTTTACATAAGCATTATGCGAGGCTACTTTCAATAATATGCAATATCATTTCTTCCTTCTCATATTTCTCAAACGTTTACATTACACGACTGACTACAAATTTGAATCTATAGCTTGTAATCTTATAACAAAAGGTTTCGAAGGAAAGGAAAATTAAGCATTGCAGCGTTTTGTATACAAAACTTTTATTTATTTAACGATATATATTTATGGAATATTTACGGGATTATACTTTCCATTAGGTACATGTCGTTCGAAAAGCTTTCTTTATACTCTTTCCTTTACTTACTTGAAACGTATACCGAGAGATTTGCAATGTACTCGCCCTATGATTTCAACATAAACCATAGTATATAATTGTCTCTTTGTATCTTATAAAATATAAATCAAGATTCTCTCCTTTTCTCCTCTCTCTCTCTCTCTCTCTCTCTCTCTCTATCTCTAACGATCTCTGACAGTATGGTACAAAAAAATTGATACTCTTTATTTAAAGTACTTTCTATGTATTAAATTGCAACTTAAAAGTAGAGAGAAAGTTCTCAGCCACGCACAGTTTCCATAAAATACGTATATGGATCGAGCACGGAGCGGAGGCGCTCCACCTTAGAGCCACATTGCAAGATGGAGCGAAGAAAGTAGCGATTCTTTATCCAATAAACAGGATGCTCCATCTATATGCGTATATAGATACGCTTCGACGCACAAATCCAGAGTCGAAATCTAATCTATTCGTACAAAGCAACATCTCGTGAAATAATAAAAGGCTAAAAGTACTCTAGTCGCTGGCCAACTCGGCGACAAATCATTGTTGCGCGTTGTGCTGCGTCTCCAGCAAGCAATCCCGCACGGCGACTCTAGCCTGCTGAATGCCGTTCTTCAATCTCTCGGCGGCGCTGCGGCTGCCCGCGTACGAGAGACGAATGTCCCTGCCGAGCTCCTCGATAATCATCAACAATTTACCGTAATTATTTTGACCAGGCACGGTCGGAAAATTGATCATGCTGGACGGGCTGGCCTGCGCCACTTGCACAGTTTGCACATTCTGCAGATTTCTGGGATTTGGCACGGTGATCACAGGTTCGGGGATACGTGGCGGAGGTGGCGGCGGCGGCGGCGGTTGAATCTCCGACAGCTTGGGCAACGTCGGCGGATCGTTCAGCTTCGTGATGGTTATCTCGTTCAGTTTGGCCAGCTCCGTTAGCTTCGCCATCTCGCTCGCCATCTTCGAGTACTCGGGCGATATCTTGGCGATATCGTTCTGCATATTCGTCTGCATCTTCATCATCTCGTTCATCTTTGTCTTTTCGTTCATTTTTGCAATCTCCTTCGCCATCTCGCTGATTTGAGCGATCTCGTTCAACTTCGTTATGTCGTTATTCGTGTATTTGGCCATTTCCGTCATCTTTACCATTTCGTTTAACTTTGCCAATTCGTTCATTCGCTGCACCTCGTTGATCTTGGCCATTTGCGACATTTTCATCATCTCGTTCATCTTGGCCATTTCGTTGATTTTGTTAATGTCATTGTACTTGGCCATCTCGGAAAGTTTCACCATCTCGCTCATCTTGGCGATCTCCTGCATCTTCATGTATTCCGTAGTCTTGGCGTATTCCGCCATCTTTTCCATTTCGTATCTCTTCGCCATATCCTGCGACATCTTATTTAATTCGGAATTCATTTTGCTAAACTCTGCCAGTTGAGCCATTTGAACTATATGCTCAGGTACTTTTCCCCTTTCCATCATTTGCTTCAATTCCGCGGATATTTTATTCATATTCATCTCGGACATTTGGGCTATCGTCGCGGGATCCGGAGGAGGCATCTTGGACAGTTCCGCAATTTTGGAAATCTCCCTCGCAAGATTCTCGTCCAGACAACGCTTTTTTTTGGCACGATGCCTAGCCATTCGCTGAGCCTCTTGCATTCTCCTCAGTGCCGCTTGCTCCTCGGTTTCCTTAGCTCTGGCGTTCTTCATTATCTCCACAGTCGTATACAATCTAACAGCACGTTCCTCTCCAGTTTCTGACATCTATAAACTCGCATTTCCCTCACTGTCTTAACCTAACATTTTCTCCGGGCACTGGGCATAACGCGCAAATACAAGTGGCGGCGAACGTGTCCCTTGCGCGACTTGTCATTTTTTATCGAATTACAAAACAATCTCTCAAATATTTCGGGGCATTCGAGTCCCTCGGTCGAGCCCCTCTAATATTTCCCCTCGACTCGTATATATCTGGCAGTTGGATTACAATTGTCCATTTATCTATATACGCCACAAATTGGAGAGTAGCCTCGAAAATCGGGAATCCACCTGAAAGACAGACAAACAATCGTAAGTTGCATTATATACGTGTACGATGACACGACAGAGAGGATGATCAAATGCGCTCGAGTGAAACCTAACCAATCTTTTTTTTAAGAGAGACAGCGGTAGATGATAAAATGTATCGGGGGAAAAGGAAAGAAAAACGATAGCGTACGTCAAAACAACCTGTTTAATCGGAAAGAGGAGGATTACTGCTGAAAGTCGACGATATCATCGTCGTCGAAACTTGTAACAGCAAGACTCGATATGTCTCGATTAAATCGCACGGATTAACGATGCGCGGAACAGCGATTTCGCGATCGAGAAATAAAAACGGCGACAAACGGCGGACCGGAATGCGCGGCGCGGCGAGAAAGAACCTGGCGATGCGGGAGATTTTACGTTCGAAATTGTGCGCACATGGCCAGACTCGTCCAACGTATGCGTCGCCGAATCCTCCGGCTCCATTGCCCGTGTGCGACGCGCGACGCGAACAAGAAAGATTCGAAAAGAAGACGCGTCGATCGCGTCGACGCGCATGCGCGTCGAGCTAAGTCATTGGCAATCGTTGCCGCGTCGTCTTCTTCGTCTCGCGGTTTCCAGACCCCCCCCCCTCCTCCATCCTCGTCGCGTGCTCGTCGATCGACAACAATGGCGGACGCGCTCCGGATTTGCCGATCCACCGGAGCGCGCGATCAACTCACCCTGGCGAGAAATTTGCCGATCGCAGGACGCCTCGGCTCGCATCCGCGACTCCCCGCGGCCTCTGTCGCGTCCGTCGACCGCGTCTCTCGGTGCACCGTGCGTCCTTTTTCCCAAGTTTTCCCGCGGACAAAGGCCGCATCGACCGACATGTAAGATTTTCACGTTCGGAGCCACTTTAAGGGGCCAAGCGGGGTCGTCGCCGATAGGCTGCGTGTGACGTGGTTGCGTTTATTGACCATAACCCCTTCCTACCTATCGTCTGCAATTTTACGACAGACAGGTGTACGACCCGCGAAACTATTGACCGGCGCGCCTCGCCTCGCCTCGCCTCGTCTCACCCGACTCGACTCGATTCTCGATTCCGTGTCCTTTGAGAGAGTCGCGCATCTTGAAACGTACGCGCGATACTTCATCGTTCGCCGAGACAGAACAGGCAGTCTGCGAAGGAGACATTCTTCATTGTTTCTTCGATCGGTGGAGACTGAAACGGACAGCCATTTGCTCTCGAAGCGATAGCGATCGCATGATAATTTGAGGGTTTCGCAAAACTCTCGTGAGTTGCGGAATAATTTTGAGAGTAAAATTGCTCTCGTCTCGAAATGCCGCGACAATGATTGAAATATAGAGATGGAAAATATAGCGGTACATTATTATTGTTGGCTCGACACGGCATCGGATTCTATTAGACATTTATATAAATGATACGACACGGATGAGAGAGATGGTACATGTGTTTGCACGCTACTGATGACGTTTAAAAAAAAAGTAAGTATAAAAATTATATATGCACTTTTGGTGTAAAAAAGTTAAAAATATGTCGACACATGGAAAGGATAAATTTCATGTATGTCGATATTTTATGGCAAATAAATCTGTATGCGCTAAATAAATAAAAAATTTAAATAATTATAATTATACATTTTTTCAATTCCATTTTCAAAATTGTAAAAGGTTTAAGGAAATTTAAAAATATCGACGTAAATTGCACGCAAGAACAAAACTGTTTAATAGATGTCAGTTTTTTAAAAGAATTATATCAAATCACTACATATGTATAAACATATATACAATTTATGAATTGCAAAACAAAAGATACATACATAGATACACTTTTACTTGTCGAGCACACAAATTTGTTTCTTTTGCGGTATTAATTTGTATTTGTGAATAATTTAACATAAACTAACTATTAAAGAGGCAAAACTATATCGACATCAAACATGGTTGAAGAGGTTTAATGAATATTATGCGAGAATGTAACAAAAATAGATAACTATATTTTCTATCGTACAATGAAATACTTTGTTTCAGGTTACACATCCAAGATCAATAATATATATTATCAAGAGAATGGAAAATCTCTTAAAAGTTACTTAACATGTATATATTGCCATACGAATACTACTTTCTCTTATTATTAGTCATTCTTCCTGTATATCTCTTTTTTAAACTTTGGTCGTGGCTTGGATGGGAACTGTTTGTAAATAATTAAAATTTTAACATGCGAAGACATAATGTATAAATGGTATTGTACGTTTCCTCTCTACCTCCTATGTACATACATACATGTATACATAAGACTGTTGCATTGCTCGCACTTTCTATATCCACCTTTCTCTCTATTTTTGCTTTAAAGTTAACAAATACATATTTGTATCGTTTTAAATGCAGAAATTTTTAGAAAATACAAGCAGTACAGCCTACTCTTTGGCAAATTATGTATGTCCTATAGCGTAATTGCGCATGCGCACATTTCTATACATGTGCCAACATGCTTTCAAGTTTTGCCATATATGCGTTGGTTGCGTATACAAATGCACGCATATACATCTATACAAAATTACACAACACATGTTTACATATCCATATTATCAAAATTTTCCAATTTTTAAAATTTGCGCAATGCAATAAAATATGTTGAAATGTTAGGAATTCTAAAAGAATTTTTAAATATGAAAATCTATAAAAAAGTAATAAAAAAAAATTCAAAATTAAATTTTATTGGTGATTAAAAGTTCATCCAATCCCATTCTTCCCTGATGTTTCCATATCCTGAATCTGGCAACATCTTTTCGTGTAATAATACCAATCACCTAAATAGAGAATATATCGCAAATAAATCTGCAAAACTTATGGCAAATATTATACAGACATTACCTCATTTGTGTCATTCACCACTGGTATGTGACGTAATCCTAATGCTCTAAAAAGCCTGAATGTCCTCGGCAGTGTTGCAGACTGTAAAAAATATTAATACGGTAATGTCATTTTACATGCATTGTAGAGACACGCATTGTTGTATCTCAACGTAAAAAGTATGTACTAACGTGTTGTATCGTATAAGGAGAAGGATTCATGAAATGTCTCAAATCTATCGTATAAGTTTTTTCTTCATCAGTAATGGCGACTTGCTCGATAGTCGGATACCTAGGATACTCGTTTCTAAACATTTCTATACTTAAAGGCTTCTCCCAGGATTCCGCGTATTCATTAAATACTTTGTTTTTCAATAGTACTATCAATTGTGAACGTAATATCAGACCTCGAAATCGACCATAAGAATTTATCTCGGTCTGAAATGAGATAACATAATTAAAGTAAATATATAAAGTTGTGAAACGTGGGAAAACATTCCAAATATTACCTGATCGCTACTTGGTGGATCAACAACGGGAAATCCATTAAATGTAACGCATTTTAAAAGCTCAACGATATGTCCTACATTTTCGACAGTCTTTAGAGCGACTATTGGATGACTCATTATCTCACTTGCATAAATATTATTTGACAGTGGAGGGGATTCCCATGGAAGTAATGGAATCCCAGCCATTTGTGTATGAATGTCGTAAATTCCCTAAAAAGTAAATATATTTTATTATTAAAAAGTAGACACGCGTGGTGTATGTGTGTACGTGTATGTACGTGCACATATATGTACATGCGTATTATACCTGCCTCATTAAAGAAATCACCAACCCACTTGGCCATTATAAGAACTATTATGACAGGTAAACCAAAAGATATTCCCTGTGTCGCCTCTATCAAGATTGCAGTCAAACTTATTGTCATTCTAACTACCCCTCCTAATTGTGCAGCAGCGCCCAATAAAGCATACTTGCCAGGATCTAATACTTCCTATGAAAAATGAAATCGTGCATGTGATCGGTATTTAACTTTATATACACGTCAAAAATTTCAATTTATAATTTTTTTTTCTTACACTATCCGGGCATATTCTCGACAGGGCCGATCCAATTAATCTACCCCATGCAGATCCAATCAATAAAGAGGGAATAAAGAGGCCACTCGACATTGATAGGCCGAAAGTAGCGGCAGCAAGAAAGAAATACAGAATAACAAAAACGGCCAGTGTAATGTCGTTATGAGATCCTACAAATATGTGTGTACGTATATATGTCGCTCTTAATTATACTTATTATAATTGCTTATCGTACGTGTAAATCATCCTGACCTTTAGGATCGTGAAATAATGATCGTACACTGCTTTCCGGAGTTTGAAACCACAAAGAGGCGACGGCGCTATACTGTCCTTCCGCGCAATACATTTGAACCGGAAACTTTGTGGGATCATTACCTAATGGTTTACAGTCATTGATAAAGTATATCATCAAGGAACCCATTGTCGCGCTTAATATCGCCACTAGGAGAGCTTCGATTACTTTTAGCCATTTTTGCCTCACGAATCGCAAACGAAAACAAGTGATCTTGTAATTGATATGATTCCAAAGAGCGCCGAATAATCCGCCGAACGTGCCCATTATCATAAACAGAGGAATCTCATAAATTTGATATGGAATCGATTCAAATTTTCCTAGATTCAATAAGCCTGGATAAGAAAGATCTCCCAAACGTCCGTGATACGCGCTCAGGACTACGTTTAAGGTGAATGTAGTAATCATACTGGCAAAAAACGTTCTCCACGTGAGACTTTGATTGAAAAAGCTAGTTCCTTCTTCTATACTAAACAAGACTCCACCTAGAGAATTAAGCAATTAGAATATCGCAGGATATATACTATTTTTCTCTATATATTTATATATATTAATATTTACCAATTGGCGCTCCGAAAGCCGCCGATACTCCGGATGCGGCGCCCCCGGACACAAAGTCTCGTTTCTCATGATCCTCTCTAAAATATTTGAATATCTTTAAATCCTTTTTAAAAGTAGTACTTTTACCTTGAGAAATTCCTGCGGCCACAATAGCGCCAGAGTGAATCATAGGACCTTCCTGCGTGGAAATCAAATAAAAAATGAGTTATCGAGTAAAAAAATGGAAAACGATAATAAAATAAATTGTTTACCTTGCCTCCTGCTAAACCTCCGACTACGGTGCATATAACGCCGATAGTTTTCACAGCCAAAGTTTTAATACGTACAACTCGTGGTATTTTAACTCCGTTCAAGTAACATTTTACTTGCGGAATACCACTTCCCGCAGCAACAGGTTCAATGTAAGATACTAGAATGGCACCTATTAAAACTGGTACCACATTTAACACTAACCATATCATGTATGGTACCCATATACAACCTTCTATCGCACATTTGTCCACATCTATCATTGATATAAGAAATGTGTATTATTTTAGAGAATATCGTACATTGCAAAAATGAAATATATCACGCTCTACCTACATTTCTTAAGCCAGCTGTATTTTAGGCTAGATAATTCTTCTATCGATATATCTATGAAGCACGCTATAAGGGCAGTGCAAATTCCAATCAAAAGAAAGATAAACCATCTGGCAAAATTTTTTTTAACAACAAATTTATACCCCTTCTTCCTTTCTTCATCTTGCAGGAGATAATTTTCACACGGATCATAATCCAAGCTCTGAGAATAAAGATTCGTTTACTTTGCTTAATATGATACCATACGCAAGAGAAAAGATAAGATAATATGTAAGAAAGTATACGAGGGAGGATACATACAATTGTATACTTTTACACATGCTTGCAATCATTGCACGATTTATCGAATAAATTAATCGAATTTTATTAGACAATTACCTCATAATTGGTCGATAGGAAATTGGTTGCTCCTGGAATTATGTTCCCTGTATTTAGTCTTCTGGAGTAACCCAAGATAGCCTCTGTACCGCCGTATGTTATATTATTGTCGATAGTACTCTATTGACATAATATCGAATATCTTATAAATGCCTGTTAAGAAAAACGGCTTTCGATCGTTTAATAATTTACTATTGTAAGACATTATATATAAATCTAAAGAATGCCTAGATAAGATGAAGACTAGGTATAACCAAATAAGATGGATTATTATTATTACATATATAGACGAGAAGAAAAAGTATATTCTTCCCTTTAATGTGGACTGTCAAACTAAACTTACTCGAAATCGTACGTCGACATTCTCAGAGTACGATGCAAAATTGTTTCTTGGCTTGATTAACCTTTCTCTATCCTCATAGTTGTATATATCGAGATTATCGCCGTCTTCTCTATTACTTTCTGTATCAGTTCTCTGTGCTTGCGAATTCATCGTTTTTCACAGTTTTTGAATATGACAGAAATTAGAGATGTACTTTCAATCGCATTTTTCGATGTCTATTATAAACGAACGCGCTTCGGGACGACTTTTAATAAATGATGAGAGTTTACCTTACTCGAACACAATCTCACAATGTATGACGTATGTACGTACATACATATGTACATGCATAAGATTGGCGCGGGAAGGACAAGAAGGAAGGAAAGAGGGTGATAAATATGACTAATATCGAATGATTCATTATTTCGGAAATGCAACATGCAACGATAACTTTCGATCGATCGATGAAACGCCCAAGCGCTCGTAACGAGATATGAACGAGAGGCGCGCGTGTTTGCGTTCAATTTAATAAAATGATGTATGTATAAACATATCTATAAAATATTAATAAAATGATATATAAAATTAAATTAATTTTAATATATACATATAATATATATTTAACAAAAAAATATATTATATATATATATATATATATATATAAATTATATATATTTATATTTATATTTTATATTTAAATGTTATTCTATAAAATATATTAATATTATAAATTGAGGAAAATATTTAAATGTAAATATTTCAACTTAATAGAATCAGATCAGAGGTGCGTTCAAAAATCTTGCAATCATATCTTTGTCCTGATGCGACACCTCCGATTAGACACAGTACAATTGGACACAACTGGCTTTGATTGGCTAACCATGCTTGATCGTGCTGGTTATCCTAGGCATCGGTCGATATGATTGGCTGTGTCTAATCGGGCAATCTCCGTCCTGATTGATCAAGCCAACGCGACTCTATCTCACGAGTAAGATTTCCGAATGCATCCCATAACGAAAAGATAGTAGCTCCAAGTCGCGCTAAAGTTTAAAATTATACGAAATCGCGCAACAACTTTACGTTATTCCCGTTTTTAGGAAAATCACCATTAAACAGCAAGTTGTGCGAACATTACTAAAAGGAATGACATTGCACCCAATCAGTTATAAATGTGACAATTTAAATATGGACTAACAATATAAGTTTGAACTAGATAATCGAAAAATGTCTCAAATTTAGCTAGAGAAACATTCTTCACCTAATCTAACCTACGTAGAAATTTTTGGAGAAATTTGAAATTTTTTCTCAGCGAAAATATATTAAAAAGGTATGAGGAAATAAAATTGAATAAAATTTAATTGTAAATGTTTTCAGTCAAGGTTAAATATTTATCTTTGTTTACAGGCATTCAACAAATTTTCAGCTGAATGTACACACACACACACACACACACACAGACACACATGTTAAAGTCGAGTGTGAATATAATGAAGAAAACTCTTAAAATATTGTTTACAATCTAATATACAAATGTATACAAATGTACACAGAAGTTCTCTCTCCCTCTCTCTCTCTCTACTTTCTCTCTAACGTGTTAACTAAAGTTTCGATTCTCGGCATTTTTAACTTCCAGGAACAACGTAAACAGCGTGTGCAGGGCTTCCAATTTAGTATTCTCTCGCGTGGGAATGTCCAAAAGATTGCAAATCACGTCGACCAGTTGAGGCAGATCGCAATCGAGTCCCGACAGATCCAATTGCAATTCGTTAAGCTTATCTTCGACCTGTGCTGGCCATTGCTGCATCAAACCATCGATATCCGGCATCGCTCGATTTAGCTGCACGGTGGGCGGATGTTTGCTCCTGTGCAACTGATTCATGTCATCGATCCACTTGTCGATCGATTTGCCATTTCTCTCGGCGTCCTCGATCCTTTTCACGACAGCCTGTCTGGCGGCCGCTCCGGCGCTTCTCGAATGACTACGAAGCTGCAGATGCAATACCGCGGGATCGGACTGTTCGGTACAGGGCTCGTCCAATACCGTCAAACCGATCTTATCCTCGATGCCATCGGGCCGTGGCACCTTTATGAAGGCATCTATGTCGCCGACCGCAGGTATGTAATCGGGAATGAATGGTATCAACTTGTAGTTCAGCTCGATCCTCTGCGGTGTGTATCTGATGATGGATCAACGCGAAATAAGTTGTTTGATCGACAAAAACAATTCTTTTGGCTCTTTAAAAATAATTCTTTCTTCCTAATTTATCTATTATTTTATTATTATTATTATTTTAAAAAGACAAACGATAAATTTTTAGCGCATATAAATAATAGAATGTAAATATACAAATAACCCGTACTTGCCTCATTATATTATGAAATAGTTCTTTGACTTCTGTCGATGCTTCCAGATTTTCAAATTCCTTGGGATCATATAGATCAATTGGTTTTGCTACATTTGTACCTTGTATATCATCGTCGTCGCTCTCTTCGCTATCCGAGGGATCGCTGCCGATTTCCAGCGATTTCTCAAAGCCGATTTCGTTGCTGGAATACCTATTTGTTGGATATAATTTATGCAAGCTATTTTTAAAGTAAGCTTAAATTAAAATGTATTCCCATATATATATATATATATATATATATATATACATACATATTTGCTGTAATTTATTATTAACGGCGCATATTAATAATTTGCGCGCGCAATTTATGCCGCGGTTACCTTCTAAATTCATGTTTCCTTTCGCGTGGCGAGCTGTCCTCCAATGTGTTCGAACTGTCGCTTTTCCTCGTTTTCCTAGAACTCACAGGTCTATGGCTTACGGGACTTTTAATTTCCTCAGCGTTGCGTACCACAATGGTTTCATCAAATTTACCAAACGCCGGGATATCGCGCGTCCTCTCGTCCTCTTCGTCGCTGCTATCCTTGATGTCCATGCTTCGCGCCGAGGAATGTCCATCGACGCGTCCTTCGACGATTGCTCTCAGAGTCTGTATGATGACGGGCGTGGATAGACCGGCAGAACACAAATCGCACAATTGGTTTATTTAGGTAAATTTACTATCGCTAAATATTACGATGAAAAGAAAAAGAGAATACTTTGTCCGTGACATTACCTGTGTTCCATTCACAGTTGGTGGGGATTTGTTTTCCCAACGTTGCCATAGCTTTATCGATTGGCATTAGCTGACACAAGCATCATATTACAGTCATATTAAATAATAATAACAATCAAATTCAATTCGATTATTAATACATAATAAATAAATTAATAATACAAATGATAAAAGTAATATAAACTCTTAAAATATATGCATAAAAATATGAAAGCATGTCCAAATTTTTTTGCAGTCGTTTGCATAAAATATGTTTTAAATACATATCTATATTACTACATACATAGATTTTAATCGCAAACGGTGATTCCCTCGCTTCCAAATAATTTATTCATTATTCGTTTCAGCAATAGTAATCTCTGGCTTATGAAACAATCTAACGATTTGCGAAGATGAATTAGATACGCCGCATCTTTTCCATCCAACCACAAATGATGTAAGACCACATCGATCCATCGTACCACGAATCGTGACAATTTATTGTAAGCAGTTAACATTTATAATTCTGCAATAATAAGTATTTGCATTTATGCAATATTCCACATTATGTGACATCTTTATATTTGTGTACACATTTATTGGAACTTACATATTTTCGATTTTGCATAATAATAATTTTTTAACTTTCCGTAGACGCAAGTAATGCAACATTGGTTTGATAAAAGAGAAAAGGCTGTTTTTAGTTGTTTTGAAAAGATTTTTCTGTTGCGTTTTTTATCGCTAACGCTAATGACTATATCGATTTTATATCGAATTCAATCTTTACACATAACCCACATAATCTAATGAAAGATACTGTGTCCGCAATGATAAAACTGGCTTCCATTTTATGACAGACAATACAGACAAGTGCAATAATTGTTGAGCGATTAAAATCCGCGCGTGTCGTTATCTACCGATAACGCATACGCCGAAAGGGTTAATCGTCATTAAAAACGTACAAGTAATCAGTCAAGAACTCACGGAACCGTAATAAAACATTTATTAACGTACGTTATAAACCGATCACAAACACGTGTATATATGTATGCGTATATATAATCCCATGTACATATACTATATCCACCGGCACGACATGGAAAGATTGATAAAAATACAAAAGACAATGTCGAAAGAAGAAACAACGTAAAGCCACGTAAGCATATCGTGTCGGTAAAAGGATGATATAAGTAACAAGGAAAATAAAATTATCAAAAACTGTTTTGTAATTATAATATAGCGTGAGAAAAATTTTATAACTGTCAAAATTAGAAAAATCGCACATCCTTTCGTCCAAGAAAGATATTCTCGTTTCAAGTTGACGTTGCGACAAATTAAATATCAAAAAATAAATTTCCTTGCTTAGCTTTAGATGCTTAGCTTTAGGTGTTTTATTTTAAAAGTGATCGTTTCTCTTGTATTTTCGCTATATCGGATATTTTCCGTAGACGTGACCACTCCTGGTGCGTCTTACCAACCATTCTCGACCAATAGTTTGAGAAGCGAGATAATTCACTTGTGTCTTATGAGAATGCCGAGAACGGATGGAACGCACCTTGTAATTTGAGGCTTTCGATTCTAAAAAGAGAAAGAAAAGATTAACCTGACGATTAAATAGATTTCCAACAAATTTTTAACATTCGCACGATTACGCATCATACATTTGTAATATTCAGATTTGTTGAAGTTAAAACTCTCTCTCTCTTTCTCTCTCTCTCTCTCTCTCTCTCTCTCTCTCTCTCTCTTGCATTACTTTAGAAATTTTTGTAAGAAATTGAAAAAAGAAATCGGAAAAGAGAATATATATATTTTTACAGCACAACCTGAATTTAAAAATCATGAGAAAGAATTTTCTGTTTGCAGTCTTTTTCTTTCAAGATGTGCAATGATAGATAATGCTACTAATTAACTTGCTTCCTATAAGAAGAAAGATGAATGACTTACGCAATGACACTCTGCATTTTGAGAAACTCGGATGCGAGATATTTTGCTGTTTAGGAACCGTGTCGCGCGATGGATTGATCGAGTTGCAATCGTGAAAATAACTTATTAAGCTAGAGTTTGCAGGTTTTGAGTACCAAAGAGGCGACGAATTCTCAAAAGTCGTAGATATCCTAAATTTATAAGGAAAATAAAGAAAAAATTTTAATCGAGTCCTCAACTCTCTCTCTTTTTCTCTCTTTCATATAATATAAAATAGATAATAAAATCATTATCACAAATAAAATTAATTAAATAATAATTATTTGAATAAAATTTTATTACTTTTCGAGTAACTTTTTGAAAACTTACATTTCAATATTATTGAGATCATAATTCGACGCTTCGTTTTTGATGGAATTTGTGGGTAGAATCATAAACGCAAAGAGGAGGCCGCAAACAGTGAAAAGTACGAAAAAATCGGTGGCGGGATGCGGCGCAACGTCCAATATCTTTGAATTCGCGTTATCAAAATTTTCCTCCGCTAGTGTGAACCACGTAAGTTCGCGGAAAATAAAATCCTATGATATATAAAGTTGTAAAAGTGAAGGTCGGTACACATTAATGTATACAGCAAGAGATGAAAGTTGACATAACTTGCCAACATTTGTCAGCTGCTCGAGATAATAAAAAGTAATATATCGACATAAATGTTATTAACGCGTTAACAATATCTCGCTTCATCGCATTATCAATCACACAAAGGTTAAGTGCAAAAATGAAACATACTCGTAGAAATATCAAAATTTGTCGAACAATCAATTGCATTAAATAATAAATATCACTCAGAGTATCCATCTTTGATCATCATTTATCAATCGTTGTCAAGCAAATTTAAATCTTTATTTTATTTTCTATAATTATATACGGCTTTTCGTCGTGTCATTTCGTTCAATTCAAGGAAAACGTAATTCAAAAAAAATCTGAAAGTTATCGATAAAGAATCGACAGTCACATTTTTGCTTACATAATTTCATGTATCATATTCTTGATATTTGATATTTATATAACAAAAAAAAAATATATATATATATATGTACAATGTTATAATATTATAATATTGTTATAGAACATTATTATACTGACTTTGATTAATTTTTAGTTAACGTTAGCATAGGCTATTAGCGCTACTGACCAAATATATATTTAATTAATTAAAAAAAAATTATCATCACAAAGATATTTGTAAGCATTTGCGTTTCTTCGACATGTAATGTGATTCATGAATAAGATATAATTTTACTAATTTGCTCACACTCCAGTATATTCTATGGGTGTGGCTGCCATTATTATTATGCATCCATGTAAAAGTAGACCTTGAGCGATATACGATAGCAAAAGAGTCGCATTTTTCTGCATATATATTGCTATAAATATTACATATACCTGTACTGTACGCACTAATTGCACGGTAGCGCTAGTGACAGAAATTAATAGTGCAGGTAGTAACTGTGAATCTGTGTTGGTAAAAAATCAATAAACAAATATTAACATATAAATATAAATAAATAAATAAATAAATAAATAAATAAATAAATATATATATATATATATATATATGTATTTATTTATTTATTTATCTCGCAAATTCTATGAATAAATTAATTTATCGATTAACAGGACATAGCTCAAGAGAATTTGTTGCAGAAAACTTCGAGATATCTAAACAATTCACGTCTCATTTTGTGGATGAATTTTTCGTAAATTTTTACGGGTTTCGTAAATTTTTACGAACGTGCTAGTGTCGTAAATTTTTACGAAGGTACGTATTTGCGCATATCACGCTGTCACATTAACTTCAACAATATTTTTCTGAACAATTTTTAAGCTAAAGAAAACGCATACGCAATATATATCGCGCGAGACAATGAATATTGTAAAGATTATATTATAAATATTAAGATTACTAATCACCTTTTTGCGAATGTTTGATAAGATTGAAAATAGTAATTACTTGGTACATAATTAATTGTTACGCAAATTGATTAATTGCTACACCATTTTCCAATGACACGTTTTTTTTATGTCCGACTCAGATTCACCAAATTCGGATTGAAATTCATAATCCGCCAATTTTGTCATCGTCTTATTATAGCTTCTATTAGCTTTCGACGTCATGAATAATATGACGATTTTGATTTCCGACTTTTTTCTTTTTAAAGATAGAATACAATTCCCACGTTAGTATCTTGAATAAATGAAGTATACAAATTATTTCTATAGCAAAATTATTCTTTACAACAGGTTAATTTAACCAAGATGATTGAGTTATGTAATTAATTTCTGCGATGATCATCACAAATTATTTTTATACTTCTTGAAATTAATAATTCTCAAGAATAATAATTATAATAATAATAAACTGTTTCTAAAAAGATAAAAGATTATATACTCTGTACCACTCTCTTCTCTCTTACTTTCACACTCAAGTCCGATCAAACGGAAATCGCCAATTTAGACAACGTGAAGATCTTGCAATCTGCATGTCTCTAAGTTCTATATACAAAGATCCTTGAAGACTTTTTTGCAAGACAATTTATATAGATACTGTTATATAGAAACTGGTTTATTGCGTTCGTTACATCACGAGGAAAAGATGAAAATCAAAGCATATAACGTATATGAGCTGGAGCACTAGTATCTAATCGGCAAAGGATAACTTTATCCAACTTGCGGCGTGGATTTGTTGACCAATCTGCGAGTAAAGAGCGACACAGAAACCTCGTCCTCGAATCGTGCGAATGCAGGAGTGCATATCGTGTCTTTATCTTTATCGTCGACTGGGGATTCGAGCGCAAAGATGTTCTCGTAAATGAAATTATCCCGAGTGTTTTCCAGGGAGACGGATCGTGCTAACTTCGCTGAGGGACAACGAGACTTTTAGTTATCAATCTGTACCTCGTGGACCATTGAGAATTAATCTCTTAATAGAAATCTATAAAAAGGAAATGTGATTAATGATGCAAAAGAAAAATTAGTGCGCCAGATTTAAAGTTGTGAATGAATAATTATGCAGTTGTAAGTAAATTGTACTAATTTGTCGTGATAATAGAATGTCGACTATAATTTTTTTCAATTTTATAAAGGTGCATCTTCTGTAAATAAAATATAAATTCTAAATTGTAAAAGAAAGAGAAGATTGTGATTTCTTTTAGATGCAGCATCATGAAATTATTAGATGATTGGAGTTTTAATCATCAGTATCTTATCGTCGCAAATGAAGATAGGATAAAGATTACGTCCCGCCAAGAGTGATTGCTAACCGAATCCTGGCTTATTATTAATTAGCAGTAGAATCAGTATATAATTATCGGTAGAAAGGTCCGAGACAGTTTTTTCGCTCACGTTAATCAATATTTCATCGTCGGAGATTGAATATTTTTTGAAGATTCAACTTTAATTTCTCTCTGAAGACTAAACTTGGATTCTCTTCTTTCTATCCTTTTGTGCAACTTACAATGGCAAAGACGGAAAAGATAGAAAATGGGATTTACGTAAGATATTTTGTATACGTAAAATTATATATAAAAGTTGCGCGGGCATCGTTTTTTTTTCGTTTTCTTTATTAAATTCTCTAAAGTATCGCAAATCGTCTTTTAGAAACAAAGCGGATATACTAACGAGGCATTCCAACTGGATAATTTCGATTCTCATGAAAATATTCCACCCGATTATAAGACAGCGACGCATCTTGACAAAGAGCAGGAGCATTCTAAAAATTCAGTGCGTATCGTACATGTATCTTATACTACATATAGCTTAGATGATAAAAAAATACATATTATACGTATTATAAATCGATAATGCACAAATTGTTCCAGGTGGTCATTGAAGAAACTGAATGGGGAGGTAGACTGGAATTTTTAATGGCTTGTATAGCCACTTCTGTCGGATTAGGAAACGTATGGAGATTTCCATTTACCGCATACGAGAACGGCGGTGGTGCCTTTCTGATACCTTACATTATAATTTTGATTCTGGTTGGAAAACCGTTTTACCTTTTGGAAGGATTGTTGGGACAGTTTACCAGCAGATCCTGCGTGAAAGCGTGGTACATGACACCAGCTATGAAAGGTAAGATGATCTTTTTAAAAAAATTATTAGAAAAAGATTTATGATATGAAAGATATGAAAATATAATATCTCAAATAGTAGTAAATACGACAAATAGTAAATAAATGTCAAAAGATTTCTTTTACGAATTTAAGAATTTCATTTCTATAATAGACTCTCTCTTATCTCTGAATTTTTCAAGTGAAACTCAGCTTGTTTAATCCTGTAATTAATAACTTGTATATTAAGATTATGTAGTATATCGAGATTTACTTTCTTAGGATTAGGATATTCGCAAGCCTTCGCCGCGTTTTGCGTCGTTTCATACTACTGCGCTCTAATGGCATTGACTTTGTATTACTTGGCAATGAGCTTCCAGTCTGAATTGCCGTGGTCGATCTGTCGTACGGAATGGCGAAATTACTGTATCGATATTAATTCGAACAACAGTATCCCCGAGACAGGAACTCGTAACGTCACCGTTCAAAGTTCCGCGGAGCTGTACTTCAGGTTTCACAGTAAAACAATAGTTTCTTTTATAAATGTGTCGATTTATTTTTTAAATACTTGGATGATTTTCAGAAAAGTAGTGCTGCAGGAATACGAGTCTATCGAGAATGGTATCGGTATGCCATCCTGGCAGCTGGCAATATGCCTATTCCTTAGTTGGGCTTCTGTCTTTGGGGTGCTATTCCGCGGCGTGAAGAGTACGGGAAAAGCCGCTTATTTCCTCGCGTTATTTCCTTATGTCGTAATGACGGCTTTGCTGATTAGAGCCGTCACCCTCGAGGGCGCTATCAACGGCATTCTTTTCTTCATAACGCCAAAATGGGACGTTCTGTGGCAGCCTACCGTCTGGTACGCCGCTGTCACGCAGTGTTTCTTTTCACTGTCGGTCTGTTTCGGCCCGATCATCAACTACTCGTCCTACAACAATTTCGGACACAGAGTGGACAGGTGAGAAATTTGTTGGATCTCAGGTGATTTACGTCTTTTGAATTTTCTTTACTTGGGAATTTTTCCCTCTGTACGTTCTATTGTTAGATATTGTATACTTTTATCTCTGTATTATATATAAACACTCGAACTTGCAATTGAGTTTTTAATGAACGCAACAATATATGTATATATTGTATAATATGTACATTTAAAAACATTTAAATATAATAATTACTATAAAATCACTATAAATTATATAAATATTATATATTATTGTATATTTGATTTACTCACTTCACTATTCTTAAATCCTCGTTAAAAAATTGTTCACTTCCAACTTATTTTTAAATTTATATGTCCAAAATATATTCCGGCTAATCATTATTATTGCATTTACTTTATTTCTCAATTATATTTTTCGTTTTCCTTTAGTTTTTTGTTTGAAAAGATTCGCTCAAAGGCAGCGATATGAAAATGCACACTCTTTCTACTTTATTCTATACATATACATTTCATTTCATTTCAGAGATGTAATGATAGTGACAACCGTGGATACGTTCACCAGCTTGATGGCCGGTTGCACGATCTTTGGTATTCTTGGTAACCTGGCTCATGAGATGGGCACGACGGATATCGCCAAGGTGGTCCGCGGCGGCATCGGATTAGCCTTCATTTCATATCCGGACGCTCTGTCGCGCTTTACTTTTGTGCCTCAATTGTTCGCTGTAATGTTTTTCATCATGCTATTTGTTCTTGGCGTAGGAAGCGCCGTTGCGTTGTGCGGAGCGGTATTTAATGTCTTTAGTGATCATTTACCCAAAGTGAGGCTGTGGTTGGTGGTGCTCTGCGTTACCTCCTTTGGCTATGTCGTCAGCCTTATTTACATTACTCCGGTATGTTAAATTAAACGTTCATATACAAGTTTTCAAAATGATACAAGTATATCACTTTTATAAATGTCATTGATATTCTAACTGATCGTAAGCACCTACAATGCAGATTTCAGTTTATGCCAAATGCATTTAATACTTTCACAATCAGTCTATTATTTAATATTGAATATATATACTTAGCTGGTCTGCCAAACTTGTATTTCTTTTAGTTATAAAGAAGAAGAAAATTAAAATGATTATTTTAATATATAGACGTTTACTCTCTAAGGGATTCCAATTATAAAAAAATTTTTAATTGTTTTTCGTATACTTGGTTAAAAATTTTAAATATGAAAGAGTTATAAATATAAATATATTTTCGATAAAATTTCATATATATATATGTACGTGTATACACACACACACACACAGGGCGGTCAATGGCTTATAACATTGGTCGATTACTATGGAGGAACCTTTGTGGCAATAATTGTCGGCGTTTTCGAGATGGTAACTATCTTTTGGGTGTATGGTTTATCAAATTTCCTCGATGATATGGAATTTATGCTCGGTAAGAGACCAAATTTCTATTGGCGGATGTGTTGGCTCTTAATCACACCCTTGCTCATGATTGTTATACTGATCTATACATGTGCAACTTATGAGCCGCCTATGTACGATGGTATACGATTTCCCGATTATGCTTATGGTCAGTAAAATTTTTTCGGCATCTTAAACCTATTTTAGACAATAAAATTCTATTAATAACTTTCCATGCAATACATTTCTAATTCTTCAAATGTGTGTGTGCGTGCGTGCTTTTTATATGTATTACACGTGCAATATCAGAAAGGAAAAAAATTCTGTCACGAGTTATAAATTGTCCAAAGTAGGTTTAAAAATCATTACTACGCTTAGTGACATATATGAAATTTTTACCTATTTTTTTTATATAGGAATAGGATGGTTTTTGCTAGTTCTAGGCATATCTCCTATAGCATGGTGGATCGGTCAAAAAATTATCACAAACAGAACATCATCTTTCACTGAAGTAGGTATCTCAATAAATAAATAGATAAATAACTAAATATATATACATATGTGTATATATATATATATATATCTCAAAGTAAAATTAAAATTAAAATTATCTCTCTCTAAAACACATTATAGTCTGTCAAAATGGCATTTCGACCTGCGCAAAATAAATGGGGACCTAAGAATCCGAAGATACATAGGGAATGGGAAGCGTTTATAATGGAGAAAAAATTAAGAGATCAAGGCGGTCTAACGAAGATGTTTTTTAAATGAAAGAGCCCAGTTCGATATTGTGAGCGTGTATTATTAAGCATAATATATTGTAATAGAAAAAATAAATTGCATTTGTATTTTAACATTTTATTATTAAAAAATCACCTTTTTAGAAAAAGACTTCAAATGCTTGCATCCGTCAAAATTAAAATGTTATAATAAAAATTATAATAAAAATAATTATAATAAAAATATTTCAATATACCTTGAAAACAATTGTATACAAAATTATTTTAATATATATCCGAAAAAATGTTAAATGATTACATTGCAATATGAACATGTAATTGATTTTTGTATAAAGAATACTTTGGTAAATATAAAAAAATAAACATTTCATAATTCTGTAAAAAATGTTTTTTTTTTAAATGTTGAAATTAGAAAGTTACATTAAACAAAAAATATAATAGCAAGTTTTAGAAAATTGCAAATTTTTGAATATAAGATGATTAAAGATATTTAAACGTAATTTAAAAGTTAATGAGATGTAGAGAAATCCGTTCAACTGTTTTTATTTCATATTAAAACTCCTCAAACGCACACTCGATAATTAAAATAATTAAATAATTAAAATTTATTTATAATCTCGATAAATTTTTCTTGTTTGTACTTTGGATGAAAAAAGTTATAATGACATGCAATTAAGCAATTTATGCAGCGGAATGTGTGTTATGTGAAATAACATACATGTATATATTATATACATCAAAGTCAAATAAGATATTAAATTGAATCGAATGCGAATTAATCTATCAAGAGTTCTAATCTTGTTTTTATTTTAGCTATTTTGTTATTCTCTATATTTACATAATTATACTCTCATAATTTAATAATAAATAGACAACCGGATGTACGCTATAATTTGTTAGTTTGTAACTGTATATAAATAAGAAATATTGTCATTATCTTCCAATGACGAAATTAAAAATTGCGGGAGTCACTGTTACAGAATTGCCGTTCATGTTTGAGCCGCCTTGTAATGAGAGTGCCATTCAGATTAGTCATTTTTATGCGAGCAAATCATAACAGGTATCAAAATCTTTAAATAGATACACGATAAAGCATAAAATTTAAACGACATAGAAACGATACGATATAACAATAATCTTTCATTATCTTCATAAAAAAATTTCCATGGCATTTATGTTATATAGTATTTTTTATTTCGCTGTATGGACAATTTTACAAAAGATTTATTTTATCTTTAGAAAAACGACTTGACGATTCTGTTAAATAGAAATTTTCTGATAAAAGTTAATCTTGATTGATTATCTTGATACTTTCATCTGCGAGTGCAGAGAAAAATTATATTTTTTGCTAATAAAGTTACATATCGGGGCGAAACGAATAATTAAATGCCACAAGTTAAAATAAATGAAAAGACAAGAGATTTCTCGTCCAATTTTCTATTATTACACAGATATATATTATGAGACGTAAAAATTTATGCGAAAAACAAACGAATAAATAAAAGATGTAACAAAATAGGAGAATATTAGGAGAGAGAAGAAAAAGAAGAGAGAAATATCAAGGTTTTATTGAGTTTGATGATTAAGTCGTGCGCGCGCTTTAATATGACGGAAAGGATTGCGTGTTTGCAGATTGCTATATATACGTATACGTTATGCGAATTCTTTAAGCAGTTTATCAAAGACTACCGACTGACTAAGACGCGTGCAGAATTTCGAAAAAGAAAGAAAGCTAAGCAGTGGATAATATTACGCGGACAAGAATCGATTAAGTTTTGTGCCGAAACAAGATAAAATGGGACATACAAAGGTTCGCACTTATATATTATGTAAATAAATGGATAAATAAATATAAATATAAATATATATATATATATATATATATATATATGTGTGTATATTTATATTTATTTATATTTACATTTATATTTATATAACTTTGCGAGTACTATGATATATTGTATAAAATTATAGGCTATAAGTTTATAGTATAATATTTTTATTATGTTGATCATTTTAGTGTAAAGATGTGAAAAATATACAAATAAAAAGAAAATTGTTCCAAGGAAATATTAGTGAATTTTTTTGGAGGAAAGACACCTTCATCTTTATATTATAATATGAACAACAAAGATAAATACATATAACATAAAACATTAATTGAAAAGTTTGAAATTTTTTAATAGATATATTATGTACATATATATATACATATAAATATTTCTTTTCACAAATGTATATTTTATGTTTAATTTTAATTTTATAATATCAAAATGAAAAAAAATAATATTCTATAATCTTAATTTTAAAATCTCGTGACATTCTAATTTATAAAATTGGAAATGTATAATCTTTTACATACGAGCGTTAAAACATATTATATTAAAACTGCAGATTTTAAATTTTTTTACAAACAAGAAGATAATTTTTAATATTTGGCATTAATTTACGTGATTCATTTTTCTATCTGGATATAACGTCGGTGCAATCCTATTGCAATCCGGCACGGATAAACACGAATATTTACGAAAGATATACATTCGTTATTTGAGCACATATGCGTTCTCACTTTATTTTCGTTTCGTTAAATAGTTATTAACGATCATCGTTCAACTGTCAGGTTATATTTCGAAAATGCTCGTGATTAAAAAAATTTGTCAGTAATTGATTCATAAATGTACTTATCCCTTTACGATATGATAATACTTATTGTCACTTACACAACATTAGATTTCGCAAGACACTATAATAAAACATAATTTACGACAATGTTGTTGTTTTATTCTTATCTATCTTCTATCGTAAATTAATCAATTTATTGCAAGAGAGGTATGCACTCTATCTCCATCTATATTGTATTTTTACTCATTTTTATGATAAAACAATTATTTTTATAATAAAACAATTATATCTATAATGTTTATAAATGACAATTACATTTATTAGTAAGTAAACATTAACAATTTGTTAATAACATGCTACGTAATAATATTCTACAACTCGTACGATATCAGAACTAAAAATTTTTTTACAATTAATTAAATTGTCATTGATTAATGTCAGTTGATTCATTTATACATGATTTTTGTCTACGTTATGCAAAAAGAATGCAATAGCGTTAAAACATCAAAATTATACATCTCTTTTTTCCTGTTTCCGAAATTATGAGTATAATTTTGAAAACAGAAAAAATAAATAAATAAATATATATATGTGTGTGTGTGTGTGTGTGTGTATGTGTGTTAAAATAATGACACAAATGCTAAATTATCCAGATAGCTAATATATCTTTGTGATGTTATATTTTACATCACAAACAACAGTCTCGTATAAATTTTTTGAGGGCAATCTGATTACACACAATGTTTACGATCAAAGAGCGTAAATAAATTGTATTTACAGCGCAGCGGTATCTATATGGAAAAAGTCATCAGATAACATACAATTAATTTTTCAGAATTACGTCATTAATACGGACCAAACAATATTCCAGCCATCCGTCTCCGGTTCAACCGACACAAGTAGAGTAAGTTCAATACATACATATAACGTAAATTAAAATATGTTTTACTTTTCTTTTGCGAAATTGTTCAAAATGCTATTTATCGATTAAGGACGAAGATGCGACAGGGAAGAACAAGGAGAGAGCTCAATGGAAGAACGGAGTGGAGTTTCTCATGTCCTGCGTGGCATTCTCTGTCGGTCTCGGGAATGTCTGGCGATTTCCATATACAGCTTACGCGAATGGCGGCGGTGCTTTTCTCATCCCTTACATAGTGGTACTCTTCATCATCGGCAAACCCTTTTACTACATGGAGATGATTCTCGGACAATTTACCAGCAGCTCCTGCGTTCAAATCTGGTCCGTGTCGCCTTTATTCCAAGGTATAGGTCTCCTCCCTCCTCCCATATAAAAACTAAAGTCTAATTGAAAAAGATAGCGAATAGAAATCTTTAAAAGATACGAATATCATGACGGTTGAATGCCTAAATCAAATATCTATATAAAAAATTAGAATATTTAAATATCTATATATGTATAAGTACATGGATTAAATATATATAATTGTTTAAGTATTTAGATTTATATCATGATGAATTTTAATATTTGTTATTAGGTATCGGCTATGGCATAGCAATATCGGTATTCTCCGTGATTACCTATTATTGCGGCCTTATGGCTTTAATACTCTACTATATGGTGGCCAGTTGTCAGTCGGTACTTCCGTGGACCTATTGTTGGGAAGAATGGAATGACTGCTTTGATAGCTCGTCGACTGTCGGGCAAGCAAAAAACGGAAGTAAAAGTTCCGCCGATCTATATTTTAGGTACATTAAATTTTGATGTAATACCCAATTATGTGGCCTTATTCTTTAGTTATATCTCACGCCATTGTATTTGTTCGCACATCGCGTAAATTATCCACATAAATGTATATACGTTTATGTCACATATCGTAAATTATTAGAAATCATTTATAGCGGTTTCAGGTTATTCTTGGAAATTTATTGTCCGACGAGATTTAGAATTAGAATCCGCTCGTATCTCTTACAATTGTAGAGAGCGATGTGATAATAATATATTATATGTATAATGTGTTAAATTGTATCATCAACATTATCTCTCAATTCCGTTTGGTTTATATATTTTTTTCATCTTTAATCTCTATCGTTATCTTTATTTTAGAAATTTTATTTTAGATTATTGATTTTATTTTATTTTTTAATTTTACTTGGACTTTTTTTTATTCTTAAGAAGCGTACTATCCTTTCGGAGAAACTGAATTTCCAAAATAGAATAAATATTTCTAATCATCAATGTACATATGTTTAGAAAATCCGTCCTTAATGAGACGGGAATCGAGAATGGGCTTGGGCTACCTTCGTGGAAGCTGGTCCTGGCGTTATTGGTCAGTTGGATATTCGTCTACGTCGTGATCTGCAAAGGTGTGAAAAGCACCGGTAAAGCGGCTTACTTTCTGGCTCTTTTTCCGTACGTCATTATGATTAGCCTTTTGGTTAGAGCGGTGACATTAGACGGAGCGGTGGACGGCATTATCTTCCTCTTTAAGCCCACGTGGCACAAGATCCTAGAACCGGCGGTTTGGTATGCCGCTGTCACTCAATCATTCTTTTCTCTCGGCGTGTGCTTTGGCGCGGTGACCATGTATTCCTCCTACAACAATTTCGAACACAATGCGTCCAGGTAAGCGTGTTACGTTTTAGACGCGAGTTGTCTTTCCAATGCGCTAGTCACTAATATATACATTACAAGTTACAAAAATATTTGCATCTTTTTTCTTTCAATTATATTTACTTTATATAAATAGTATTCTTTGAAAAAGGATGTTATCTACACATATCTATATATGTTGTAGGATTTTTATCTGTACACAAAACGCGCGCGCGCGCGCGTGTATGCGATAACAATATATTATATGCACTAAATACTATTAAATATAAGGCATACATTAAATTGTATTAATCTTATTATATATATCATAAAATATTCTATTTTTATGTATTTTATTATATGCAAGTTAGGAGCTATACTAAATCTAAGAAATTGTACAACCACTATTCCACTATTCTATAATTTAATATGCGTAATAAATTTGTTGGAGAATTTATGGAGAATCTTTTGCAGAGATTGTACAATTGTGACGACTCTGGATCTTTGCACCAGCTTGATGGCAGGAATAACTATATTTGGAATTCTGGGTAATCTTGCTCATGAGATCGGTAGCGATGATATTAGTAATGTCGTTCGTGCTGGAGCAGGTCTGGCTTTCATATCCTACCCGGAAGCTCTGGCAAAGTTCACGGTGGTACCGCAGCTCTTCGCCGTACTCTTCTTTCTAATGCTCTTTGTCTTAGGTATAGGCACCACCGTTGCCTTTTGTAATGTTATCGTCAGTATTATTAAGGATCAATTCCCACACCTTAATCAATGGAAGATTGCTGCTGGCGTCGCGATCTTTGGTTTCTCATTCGGCATTGTCTATTGCACGCCCGTAAGTTTTAGAAGAGAGAGAAGACAATTTTTTTCTTTAAATATAAAAAAGAATCTCTATCAAGATTAATATTTTAATCATCAAAAAATGATAAAATTATGTATCAAAATAGCAGAAGGTCTATATAAACGAATATCGAATAATGATTTACTTATTGTAAAACTTGTTAATATTTGTTTTTTCAAACAGAGAAAATTTTCAACATCGAGCATTACAGTATTAATACAGATAATGATTATTTATAATAATGTTGTTTAATAATAATAATGTTTATTTTTTATTAAATTTTCAACTTTTATCAAAATCATTTCAGGGTGGTCAATATATTCTTAATCTGGTGGATTATTTCGGTGGCACTTTCATTATCGTATTTTTAGCTTCTTTCGAAGTAATTGCCATTTCCTGGGTATACGGTAATAATTTATAATAAATTTTATTTCTTTGTAAAACTGCTTCATGAAAGATCATTGAAAAGATAATTCGATTCACCAGGCGTCGACAATTTTATGGATGACATTGAATTTATGATAGGACGACGACCATCCTTTTACTGGAGATTCTGTTGGTGTTATTTGACGCCTCTATCGCTATTCACAATTTTAATTTATTTTCTAATTAATATAACGCCGCTCACATACAATGATGAATATTATCCAACACCTGCATACGGTATGTTATTTATTTATTCAATGTGTTATATGCAAATATTTTAACATTGCAATTAAAAAATTAATATATATATATATATATATATATATATATATATATATATATGTATATGTAAATTTAATAAAATAAAATAAATTATATAATTATTTAATACACATATACATATGTAGTATATTAATATTAAAATATTTGTTCAAATTTTACAGCTGCGGGTTGGACGCTTTTAGGTTTAGGAGTTCTCCCACTCCCTTTAGGAATGATTCTTGTTGGAATTCGAAATAAAGATAACATATGGCTGAATGTAATTTAAATTTTTTTATATATAATATGCATTTTATTTATATGTCGTTTTAATACAAATTTTTGTGTATCATAAATCTAAAATGTAATTATTTTTCAATTTTAGATGGCTAAGCCGAGTACCAATTGGGGTCCGAAAGATTCGAAGAAATACAACAAATGGAGAGACTTTAAACAATCAAAAAAGATATCGCAAACATGCGCAAAGAAATCAAAAGTTATAGCAATGCTGTTTGGCAACAATCATTGACAATTTACAATTACAATTAAATATTTACAATTACATATTCAAACAGTATTAAAATGATTATGTTATGTATTAATCATAATGATTATATAATGATCGAGTAAAATTATTTCAAAATAGCTCTTTATCACTCTTTATTGCGTTACACATAGTATAACATTAGAAACAAAAATAAATTGATAAAAGCAAGGTGTGCGTTAATAAAGCCAATTACATTTTGGCTCTCTAGCAGTATTATTGAATCCAACTGCATACAATTATTTAGTATATTATATTAAATATATGCATTGTATAAAATGATATGTGCATCTTTTGATAACTTTCTGAAATCTACACTACATCGGAAATTATAGCCATCTATTTTTTGTGACGTCATAATGAATGTAAAGCAGTCTCTGTGTGAACAGGCGAGTAATTAAATAATCTCGGGATACAATATGTTTATATACATTAATCAATTTTTCTCTCTAGATTCTGCCATGGATCCTGCCGCAGCAGAAACAATTGTATAATATATATTGTAGTATATATAAAATTGTGCATTTTTTTTTTACTTTGGTTCCATATTGAAGAGAACGTAGAATATTTGTTTCCAAATTGGCTGAATTCGCTTCTCTCGAATTCTCGCTCTCTCCTCTTTGAAGATTTTCCAATTCTTACACTGCTGCACCTCTCGTGGACCCCATCCGTTTGCAGGTACGAAAGCTTTCTTCAGCATCTTAAATAATACAACGCGACATCCCTTGTAAAATGTAGTGATTCTCTCAAATATTTTCCAAACGTATTTTTAAAACAATAAATTATTATCGTGTTAAAAAAGAAGTTATTTTTCATTTTTAAAAAAACTTTTTTTAAATAAAAGTTTTTTTAATTTTTATAAAGTTTTCTTTAAAAAAAATTTCCTCAAAGAAATAAAATTGGTTGTAATATCAAATATATATTAATATAAATATATAATACTATTAAAGTTATTTAATGCGACAGCTCATCTGCAAAATTGTAAATTATTTTGAATTATAAAATTATAAATTCTAAATTACAAATTTTCTTTTTTCGTATCGATTTACCTGCGCGAGCGGCAATTTTCGATTCTTTAATATCGCGATCAGCATCCATAGCGGTATCTGAAGAATACCTATACAAAGTATCGTCCATCCGGCAGCGTGTGCAGATTCAGGCAATGATATTCCACCATAGGTTAAAGGTGACAAAGTGACTACTGTGTAAATAAAGATTGTTATTAATATCAATGGTGTAATTATAAGCCAACATATTCTCCAGTAGACACTCGGTTGTCGGTCCAGCATAAATTCCAAATCCTCCAAAAAGTTTTCAAATCCTGTCGAAAGATAAAAATACTGCAATTTTGTCATCTATCATTCTATAATTATCGTCAAACAAATTGTAAATTTCCATTAATTAAAAACACACGAGAATCACGAAATAACGTAGGAATAATAATAACAATTAAAAATATGGAATTTTCTTACCATATATCCATATCACTCCGGTCATTTCGAATGATGCCAAAATAAAAACGACGAATGAAGTACCGTAATAGTCTACTAAAGTTAGAATGAACTGACCGCCCTGAAAAGTTTACATAGCAATTAATCAATTAATCAATTTTTTACACGGGAATTTTTAAAACCCTCTTTTTAATTATCTCTTATTAATCGATATAATTTTATACCAACTGGTGTCACATAAACTGTGCCAATTAAGAATCCTAGGAAACAAGTCGGAACAACAATTTGCCAAGTTTTCAGCTTTGGAAATTGTTCGTTTATTACTGTGATGATTCCCGTAGCCATTCCCACAGCACTACCGACACCAAGGACAAACATCATTACGAAAAACAGTACGGCAAAAAACTGCAACAAAATTTATTATTTTATATTTCGGAGAAAAACGTTTAGGATATTCTTAATTAATATATTAAATAATATATAAGTGATGAAATGTAACATATGATAAAAAATAATGCTGCGATATCTTATTTTTAGAAGAAATACTTGTGCACGTGTGTTTGTGTGAGGAGACACTTTAATATATTATATTAATAATTTAACAAACTTTATATAACTTTATAACTTTATATATATATATATATATATATATATATATATATATATGATAAAATAAATAACAATACCTGTGGCAGAAGATTAAATTTTGCTATCGCATCCGGATAAGATATAAATGCTAGACCAGCTCCACCTTTGACTACTTTGGATATATCTTCTATCCCTAACTCGTACGCCAAATTGCCGAGAATCCCGAATATTGTGCAGCCAGCCAAAAAACTCGTAATTGTATCCAGGGAGGTAATTATTATCACGTCTCTAAGTTTGTATATAATTAGTATAAGGGGGAGGAAGGGAAAGGATATTATATATGGGGAAGAAAAGGATATTTTTTAACGAAATGAAAAAAAATCAGATACAATAATAATAAATCACAAAACATATTGTGTGATTGTCTCTGAAAGCATTATTAACACTTGGAAATATATCTCATTTGAGAAGTACTGCATATAATTATTTATATTTAGTACAAATGTATGGAATAAGAATTAGCTTTGGATATATTTGTACCTGGTCTCTCTTTTCTCTCGTTTCTTCCTCTCCCCTCTTCTTCCTTTATATTGCAATACATTAAAAAGTTTTTTTTGTGCAATTTAAAAAATTTTTTACCATTTAATTTCGTTAACAGCTATATCACAGCTCACCTATAGATGTTGTGTTTGAAACCGTTGTGCGAAGAGTATGTAATGATGCTGCCGAAGCATACGGAAAGCGAGAAGAAGCATTGCGTTACCGCGGCGTACCAGACGTTCGGTTCCAAAAGCTTTGACCATTTCGGGGTAACGAAGAAGAGGATCCCGCTCATCGCGCCGTCCAGAGTAACCGCGCGAATCAGCAGTGAGATTAGCACGATGTATGGGAAAATGGCCAGGAAGTAGGAAAATCTCCCAGAGCTTTTTACACCTTGAAAGAGTACTATGCAAACCGCTGTCCAACTGACAAGAAGGCAGAGCGTCAACTTCCAAGATGGCCATCCGATACCGTCGTCGATGCTCTCTTTTTCGTGCAAGACTACTCGTCTGTAAATCATTTCATTTTACATTTCATCGAGAAAGAGCATTTTTTTATCGTTGTGCTTAAAAGGTGTCACATGTATATTCACAATAAAAGAAGACTCACGAAAAATATAATTCGGCCGAGCTTTGAAGCTTATTGCTGCTGTTGTTTAACAGATTATTGAAGATATGGACGTTTCCCTCCTCTGCACTATGATTTCTTTTTGTACTTGAATCGACACATGTGTCACCCCATTCCTTTAGACAAGTAGCCCAAGGTAATTCGGCGGAAAAAGAAGCAATCAGATAATAAAATGTCAATGCCATCAGTGAGCTGTAGTAGGTCGCTAACGCGACAGTCGAGCAAAACTGGGCCCATCCGATTCCTGTTGATATAAGAAGCGTCTGCTTTTAAAAGGGAATACGGTGCGCGTTAAAGTCGTCGTCGCGACCTTGCGATATGTGCTCGCCAAAATGTAAAAAAGATCTTTCGAAAGAAATTGACGAAATCTTTAGTTACACGAGGTCACAAGATTTTATTTTCTCATAAAGGAATTTAAATTTATAATTAGCTAGATACGTAACGTGTAAGATACTTTATAAAGTTTAGAAAATACTTTAATGTTAAATATATGTAATGTATATATGTAATATTTTTCCGCTGATAACAACTATAATGTGACAATTAATTTTCAGTTTACAATGTCGAATTTTTATTTTAGTTTATAATTAGTCGGAAAGATATCCAATACGGATATCTATTTCATTATTATTGTATTTACATTTCTACCAATCTCATGTAAATATTATACTTATATATATATATATATATATATATATATATATATATATATCTCAATAAGAAAATAGATATTATATTTACGTACATCTTTACACGTAATACTTTGTTACGCATAATAAATTGTTTATGCATAATAAATTGACAATATTCTCTCTCTCTCTCTCTCTCTCTCTCTCTCTCTCTCTCTCGATAATACAGTTATTTTGATACGATACATCATATCAAAAAAATAATCTTTTCTTCCAATTCTATACAACTTCTTTTACACGACATATAATTTGAGACAAAATTCAAGATAAAATTTTGTTTACTATACATGTAACAGATAAAATGTAGGTGTACTTTTCATATAATCAAAAATTGATCAACGATTTGTACCACGTTTCGACGTCAACCTCAAAATTTTTACTTTAATATTTGGCTTTCGAATTCGTTAGTTAGAAACAGAGTCGCATCGATTATATATTTCTGATTGAGTAAAAATCACATCCTGATCGATCGGTCGATCGCAATCGACAAGTTGAGTAAGCTTGTTATAGAGGATTATGTAATGCAAAATTTATGTACAGAGAAATTTACTTGTCTTTCTCTGTCGTAAAACTGTCGAGGATTTTAAAGATTTAATTTCGCGCGATAAATTCTCGTCGATATCTCTTAATTTGTCTGTCTGTTACCGTCTGAATAGATTGGAAAATTACCAATGAAACCTGGCGACATGCTCCAGACTTTGACGGACGAATTGCCGGAAAACTGTCCGATGATCATCTCTAGGAAGTAGAATGGCTTTCCCACCAGAAAAAGCAAAATCACGTAAGGTATGAGAAAGGCGCCACCGCCGTTCTCGTAAGCCGTGAACGGGAATCGCCAGATATTGCCGAAACCGACCGACACGGCGATGCACGACATGAGAAATTCCACGCTGTTGTTCCATGTCGCGCGATTCTTTTCCGGTTCGATAACTTGCGCATCCAGAGTGTTTGTCGAGTCTCCGGGATAATATGTTCTCCTGCCATTTTCGACGATACGAGGCTCGTCTATTTGAAAAGCGACATTATCGAAACCTTGCTGCTTTCCGTCCTTCTACAATTTCATACAAACAATTTTTTGTTTAAAACTTGACGTACACATTATATTTTATTTATTTCATATACATTTTACATACAAAAACAAGACAGCGTGAGAAGAGAATAATAATGTCATCTTTCTATAACAAGTATAGTAAAAATATCGATCGACGCTAATGGGTTTAACAAGTAATAAGAATAAAATCAGAGTTTTTTTTCCGCAATCGATTAATCGCACGCCAAGAAGATGATTGTATAATCGCTGAACAAGTATATTTAAATATTCCGAAGCTATTAAACCGGTTCAAATTTAATTAAATTAAGTTAAATAATTATCAACGATAAAGATCGGTTTCTGATATGATAATAATGCAATTTGCCACATACTTGGAAAAAACAAAAGAAAAGACAGGATAACAAAGATATCAAACAACGACTTTATCACCGCGAATACTCCGAGGCGAAAATCTCCTTTATGGATTACTCGGCAAACATCAAAGTTATCATGTCTTGAAATTATACATGTACCGCTATACTTGTCGTTGTCAATAATGTAAAGCGGTTATTTTATCTCGGTTTGAAACAGCTTACACAGTTGGAATTGCACAGATATTACACACACACACACACACACACACACACACACACACACACACACACACACACACACACACACACACACACACACACACACACACACACACATACACACGCACACGCACACATCCTTTTTCAACTCGATGCTACGAGACTGTAATATTTATATTTGTCTAGCCCAACTTTCACTTACCGTTCGAACTTCGCGAGACATATGACGATTAACAAAAGAAAAAAAAACTGAAAGAAACTCGTTGCCGCAAAGAAAGATATAGGATAGAAGAAGCTAGCCAGAGACGCTGATTTTGCGCTCTCACATTCACCTCGCGCCAATGATTGTCTCCGGACAACACATGTTCTTAAAAAACATCTAAAAAATGTTTTATCGTCCTTTAGATGTTTTTCGGCTTTTTGCGCTATCTGAATTATATTTCTGACTACTAACTATTTCAATCGCACGAATTGTCAATCTCATCATTAAATATTGCATCTACATTCTTCATATTTATTTTTAACCACTTGACGTTTTATTAATCGATTACGCGATATTCGACATCTTTTTTTTTCAATTAATCGTTTACTTACCGTTTCGTACATAGCGGTCACGTATGAGAGGCGTGCGAGAATTGGAAACAGTCTTCGCTGGAACTCGATAAGAAACTGGGACACGATCGACGCCAAATTCCGAAAGGATATCGACTCGAAGATCGATGTTACTAACGAGGACTGGGGATGCTACTTCACCGAACCAGACGTCGAAATGAGTTCTCTCCCACACGAATTTCCCGAAAACAACAATGATAAAATAATAATCATCGTTGATATATACTACTACTATGTCGCGTCACGAAGGTAAATGATAGAATGCTGCGCGTCACGAACAGAATGCGACGAGCTAGTCGCGCGCGCTTTTAGCTTTAGGTAGATTGCCAAGGTAGGAAAGACGGTGAATTGCATGACGTCAGGAGGAGATAATTATACGAGTTGCGAGTTGTACGGTAGTTACAAGTGGTTAGAAACATAAGGTGGAGATTAAACGAGTTTTTCTACTTTCGGAAAGAAAGAAGCGAAAAAATCTATGAAAAAAAGTAATGGAGGATTGTCTTTGGAATCTATAATCATAAATGAGATAGGTATTACGCGGTAGTAAGAATTTATATACATAAGAGAAAGACAAAGAAAATTAGAAATGCAAAAGGGCGAAATATGCAAAAAAAAAACGGCGAAAATAGCGAAAATGAGAACAACCGATGCAGGAAAATTATATGCAACTTGGAGAGGCATAAGAGATTTGCTATTATGAATATATCTATATACAAAAACAGAGAAGTATTTTCTATATTCCCAATCCTGCATCACATCACAGTGTTGCGTCACAGTTGCCGTGTCATGCTCCGCGACGAAATAAATCCTTTCTGAAACGAAGAGAGAAGCGGCATTAAGAGAAGAAGAAAATTTAAAAATATAAATTATAATATACAATATATATATACAATATATATATTGTACATACCTAGATGGAAATATATATTTTACAAATTGAATTTTAAAGTTTTCCAATTATATATATATATATATATATATATATATATATATATATGTATGTATGTATGTATACAAATTTTAATGATTATCGACAAAGATTATGTCATATTATATTCTGTATTATTTTTTATTCGGCGCAACTTTTTGATATCTCACTTTTACAAAAGAGTACTAGATGCAAAATATAATACATGTATATTTCTTCTCTAACAATACCTTTTCTTTTACATTTCAATCTCTTTTACTTAAAATTGTTAATTTATTTTAATAAACGACAATGTTATTTAGTGTCCTATTATTTGTATTGTTTGCGGTATAATGTAGTCGTCAAGCAACGCAGCTAGATATATCATTTGTCACGTGGTTTAGGAACGGCGAAAGCAGTATTGGATACCAAGGACGACTGGATTGTAATTTCCATGAAATATGAGAGAATGCTTATTATCAGCATTACTCACAGATAATATCATGACACGTCGCTACGATCATGCCATAAATTGTAAAAATAAATTTTCCTGGTTGTGAAACGATGAATACATGTAAAATTTATGTAATTCTATCGCTCTATCTATTATTAAATACATCATTAAGCCACCATTAAAACATTATTAAAACCATCATCTCTTAAAAATCATAACTCTCAACAATCCTAACAAACCTCGAAGTAAACGTTGTCATCTACGTTTCTATTATCATTTCTTTCTTCCGTGTCACGGTTTGATGTCGGAAAGATTGTGAGGAATTTCAATGATTTTCCTCAATCCTTTATGTTGTTCGGATCTTAAAGGCGGTTTTCGGAGGCTTCCTTGAAAAGGTTTCCTAGAAATTTTGTAAGTGGTGATTATAGATTTTTACAGAAAAATGTACGCGTGCGGGCGTATATATACATATACATATAGATATGTGTGTGTGTGTGTGTGTAAAGACTGAAAACTTTTTAAAGTAATTAGAACTTTCTAAAATTATAATTTTCTATCTAGTTCTTTTACTAGCTCATCGTAAACCAAAACGTAAAGAATTTTGTTGTGTTTTAGTGATTTAAAATAACTTGCTGTGTTATTAGATAATTTAAGGTGAACACACACATGTATAAGATTATAAGATTAATTCTCAAAATAAATCATTAATTGCGTTTAATTAACGTACTGGAGCGATGAATCCGATTAAAAACAGGAACAGGACTTACAGAAACAGGAATCATATCACTATATGAGAATAACATTTAGGAATTGATTAAGAACGATCATGACTGTGACGGAAACAAGACTGATTTCTAGGATTGCATAAGATTCAAGACAATATTTATAAAAATATTGTTTTAATATTGAAAATTTTCGGAAAGAAAAATCTTGTTTTGAATGAATATTTGTAGCAAAAATCCCTCGTCTTGCCGCGATTTTATTAGCAATTTTTATCTAAACAACTGTTTAAAGTAATATATCCAACATAATTTTTGTAATATAATTTAAGATAATTATTATTAATTATGTTTCACATGTACATCTATTTCCCACACAAAACATAATATATCTACGCGCGAAAAAATATCATAGTTGTCAATGATATCAGAATACAGATGCGATTCATACGTATATCAGAGAATCTTGAACATTATTGTATATTTTGTACATTTTGCTATACGTAAAGTTTTGTATTGCTAAATAATTGTATAAAATTTTATATTATCTATTTTGTCTATATTAATTGTTTCTAAATTTGTAAATATAAATGTGTTTTATAATTTATTAAATAAACTTTTTTAAGTTCGTATATAATATAATGATGTTTCTCATCTAATTTACATATATATATATATATATATATATATATCTTCTAATTTTTTTTTAAATCACTAATGATTAATATATATTAATAATTGAAAATCTTAGACTTGGTATTGTCTTAATAATTAATTAAAAATCTTGTCTTAATCTTGTCTCAAATCTTTTTTAGATAACAAACAGCATAAATTTATACAATTGGATTAATTGTAAAAATAATTTGTAAACAAAATATGATGTAAGGCAAGACAATATCGAGATTAATCTTGGTTTTTCATTCACAATTATATCATATATAATTATTTCATACATTTTATCAATTTCTCTACCAATTCTGAGAATACATAACAGCATCGCGGAGAATCTGATATCAATGAATAATTAACATAATTAACAACATTATCGATTCCCAATTTACATCTGAGATTGTCTACAATAACAAAAATCATAATAACAACCGACTAGTAGATTGATGAAAGCGTGAATATCCAGACTCGACACGATCACCTCTGATGGATGCAGAATCTGTTTAAGAGCGATCATGAAAAATTGTTGAACGTTATTTTTATTTTTAGTGATTGTGTGGTACAATTTAATTAAAATCTTTTAATTGTATTGAAATACCGATATAAATTTTATATTGAGTATACAGGGTGTCAGGGAATTTTTGACCTTTACGAAGTAAGGAGGTAGATTGACTAAAATTAAAAAGGAAGGACCTCTATTGTTTTGTGATTGTCGCAATAATTAACGAAAAATTAGATAAAGAAGATCGGCCAATGCGCGTGGCTAGAAGCACACGACGGCGAAGGCGGTCTGACTGTGACATAATGGCGGCGCGCGGCGAAATGGTGATTGGGGAGGGAAGGAGCGATGAGTGTGTAAGCGCGTGGCAAAGGCTCAGATATTGAACTCTGATTTTTGAAAAATCGGACAAATAAATGTCCAATCTTCATTTATTCGGATAGAAATTGTTCAGACAATCTTTATTTGAATAAATGAAAATCGTTCGTTACACATTGTCTTTAAAATATAAAATATAAAAGTTTAAAATATAATTAATTTAAAATATAAAATATAAAATATAATTAATTTAAAATATAAAATATAAAAGTTAATTTCTAAATAAAATAAAAAATTTTTAATTTTATAGATTTAGTTATTTAAATTTAATTATTTCAAACCAAACATTTTAAATCAATTACACATTTGTATATCCACACATAGAATATATAATTGCAATATACATATGTATACGATATATACATATATTTATCAATAGAAAATTATAGCTTACCGATACTATTTATTTGTAATAATATACTTGCAACATTCTTTGCTGATGTAATATTCATATAACAGTGTTTATTAGACCACACAGTGCAGTTGCATAATTAATAGAACAATTAAAAGATATCTAAAAGAAGACTAAAACTAAACTTAAAGATGACTAAAGGATATTTATAATTAGTTATTATGTTTTAGTCATCAGGTTGTAAAATGACTTTCAGTGGAATATATGTCAGTCATCTACGCATATACATACATGTATCAGTTACCTTTTCGTCGACAATACATTCTCTTTATATGTTATCTTTTAATTACCTTTTTAAACGATTTCATGCCGTCTCAGATAATTCTTCGCATTAACACAAAAATATTATACTTAATTATAATTCATTATAGTGATTTGCAAACTTGCAAAATTGTTGTTACCTACAATATCTACAGTACTTACAGTACCTACCTACAGTAGATATCAGCAACGCATGGTACCTATTGTAGGTACTGTAGGTAACAAAGAATGCGATAATATCTAAAACTTGATAATTTTTTACGATTTTTAGATTAACGTATTGACTTTTTTCCCGATCACGCTGAATCCCGTAAAAAATTATTGGTTTTTAGTATCCTGCCGTTTAATAGCCATAGATTTCAAGATTATGCATGTACTAATTTCAAATGTTTCTACATAGATAGTATGTACAGTACATACGTGATATAGAATACAGTACATACGTGCCAGTATGTGCGTATATACATATGGATAATGTATGTACGCATACATATACATACATTTCTACTATGCTCTGTAATTCTGGTGCGATGCAAATTACAACTTTTAATCATTACTTATTAATTGACGAATATCCTATAGGAGATATATTTCTATATAGCCTTCATCTAATTGCGTATGTACGTACACAAATTAGATATTTATATTTTTTATCTGTCATAATTTTCCTATTTACAGACAAAATGGATGATTCTTCTCCAAACACCAAACCGATTGATCCTAAAGACGAACAAATAATTACAAAATTAATGCGATTTTTGGAAACGTATATTCAAAGAAGAGATCTATTACAAAAGGATGTGCATAAAAAACGTATAAATAATTTAATTCATATATTACTTTCAAAGCGATATCGTATACAATGTTTGCTAATATATATTTTGAAATTATACAACAAAATTATCTTTTCAGAGAACAATTTTAGAAGCATATTAGTGGAACTGGAACATGAAAATGCATCCTTGAGATATTGTAATAGCGAACAGAAAAAGATGGTACACAAGTATATTGATAATATAATATGGAAAAATAATAATGCATTATGCTACCGATTTACTTGTTACAACAATACGCATCTTTTTAATATATGCTAATATTGCGTATGCATGTGTGTGTATGTACGTTGTCGCAAATATTTCAGATTTCTACGTTAGAAGGTCGTGTTTATAAATTACAAAACCAAATTGATAGTTTGTTGTATAAGTTGAATAGCGCTTGCGACATTGTAAGGAGTATGCAGCAAAAAGTAAACATGTTTTTGCAATGCAATTTTACGCTCTGTTATTTTTGCGCATTAATACAATTTCTGTACAGTTGAAAGATAGAGACAGACAACTCAAACGATACGCGATAGACAAGCAAAGAACACTACAGAGATGCGACTCAAAGATGCGGAGAGAAGCTGACAGAATGATCAATGAAATGGATATAAAATTGCGTGAACAGCATAAACGATTAACGGTATACTTTAATTTACAAACATACATTTACAATGTGTGTTTATTATTTCTTCAAGATAATCCGCAGTTATTTCTTTCAATTTTGGAGCATTGAAATATTTTTAGAGCTACATAAAAAAAAAAGATGACAAGTTAAAATTGATGAAACAAATATTGATGTCCACTGATGAAAGTATGTCTGATGCTGTACTAGTGGCACCGACAGTGGCTTCGAATGTAAAAACGGAGAATGCAGGGGAATCGATACCGATAATGTCCAAAGAAGAACCTGCCGTGGTCCACGGTCCATTGATTCTCTCAAATTCCCAAAGGTCATCTCAGCCAGGGGATATTGCTTTCCATACAGGAATCAATCTCAATGATATTCAGGGAAAAATCGCAAAAGAATCAATCCCGATGACATCCAAGAAAGAACTTTCGAGTTCGCAAACTGACATCCCGGAAGAATTAATTCGAACTACGCGCACTGTTTCTCCATCACATTCCGTCAAAAGTGCGCTGGCTGAAATTGCAACTATTAATAAATTCAAATCAGATACAAAATCAAAGGTAATATATTTAAGCAGAATCCAACTAAAGAGATCGAGCAAAAGATTATAATTTATATTCCTCAATAATGTTACATTGTCTTTGTATTTTAATCACTGAGTCAAATAATAAATTGAACTGACCTCGATATGTGTGAATAATGTATTTCATCATTGATAAGATTCCAGTAGTGAATCCGAGATACGGGCGATCGCAAAATGTAGATAGATGGATAAATCATCGTCCCGTTGGAATGGTTCCAACTGGTACAATCTTTCAGCCACAAATGCAGTTTCATAAACGAATCATCCGGAAATTGACAAATCCAAACAACTTTGCGACCAAATCTGCCAAATACTGTCTCTATGCGCAAGAACAAGACACGGACGGTGAACTCGAAACCAAATTATATAAGGTATAAACTCTGCTACGTTATTTTCTTAGAGATACAGTATACATTGTATCCTTGTATATTTTAGGCTGATATATTGCCAACGTGTGGAGGAGGAGCACAGATTGTATTTAACGATATAGAATGTCTAAAGCAGATATCTCCAATTGCAGCAAAACGATGTAATGGACAGACAAACCTGGAAAATAGTTTAGCATCTACATAAGTCCTTTGCACATTGCTAAATGTTTCCCTATGTACTATAAAGTTTATTAATTTGTTAAATAACCGAAAAATTGACATTGTTTTGTTTACTATATGTATACGTTTCTCATAATTTATTTAACAGATATACTTGAGTTTTCTTTTTAGTTTCTTTAACATTGATCGATACTTTGGAATTGACGTGTAACTGATATTATCTCGGAGGTAAAAGGCTAAATATTTTACATATTATAAATAACGATTTATTTTGTTTTACTTTCAAGCTATAGAATAACATTTGACGCTTTTGTTCCAAATTACTCTTATATTATATTATATTATATTATAATACTAATACATACAGGGTGGAAGATGAACATTATACACGTCGAAATGATAAGCTAAAGAAAACAAAAAAATAAAAAAGACTGCAATATTATCTTACACATGTAACAAAGCTGCACAAATATTTTGCGCACCGATAAAATTAATTTATTTGAATATGAATAAAAATTTATCGTTGTATCCCAAGAAACATGCTAATAGATGAATGTAATTTTTCATTCGCTAGAATGCTATTGCATCTAAAAAACTTTAATTGTTGAGACAAGTTTTAATTACATTACCTTGATAATATAATTGACAATCATATAAAAGCCTATTTTCCAAATATAAATGTATACCTCCTCCTCCTCCTCCTTTCATCTATCGTACCTGCATAATAGTCCCGACATATAATAAAAAACGTGTTAAAATATATAAAGTTATATCAAGACTAGAGAAATATATTGATTACTGGAAAATTAATCGTGCGTGCGCATTACATAGTCGATTCTAACAAACTATATTTACTTACATACATACAACACACACGCACGCATACACACATGTATAAAATAGATTATTTAAAAGTATTGTCTTATATTCAACAATATGCATTATTTCTTTCATCATTTTTTTAATACATATAAATTAATTGCTCAATAATTTTTTTCCAATTCTTTCAAACCCGATTGCATCGTTATTTTGCCTTTAAGCGAGGTTTAAGTACGTCTCTATCTGTATTTATTTAAAAGGAACAATAGACACACATTTAGGTCTCACTTTAGTCCGAAATAATGTTAGTCGTGATGATTGTAGATGATGCATGCGTATATACATACACGACGCGTGCGTGCGTGAGTGTGGTGTGTATCCGCATATATAATACATTGCCATCGGCATTACACCAAGTATATATGTATATCTCTATTGATTACTTTAGCAAAACAGCAAATATTGATAGCTATTAAAATTATATTTTATTAAATGAAACTATTAGGCAAACTCGGGCAGTTCTATAATTTATAAACGCCATTAGTGCTGCATCAAGATTTATCGCAATATTAACATCAAGCTAGCTATTTTGTTATAAATCGTTAATTAATTGGCCGAAAAATGAATTGTTGTTGATATATTTGCACGAAATATGGCTATTAACAAACATTGACGCAACTTGAAATTTTTTAATAACTTCTCAATCTGTAAATAACATTGTGTGTTTGTTCCAATTTTTATATACTTTAATGAATAATTAATTTTCCATTTCTAATGCGATTTACTAAACGATTTAAAATCGTTGAATAATACATCTTTTATTCTTTGAATCACGTGCGCGAAAAGAACAGGAGGTAGAGAAAAGAGGAGGTATTATTCGTTTAGTGATGTAAATTCTTTGCACGAGATTGCAAATACGTGTACGTATAATAATCCTTTGTACGATCAAACATTTTATCTTTTGGAAATGATGTAGAAAAATTTCAAGCGTATAATTTGAGAAAATTTCGATCAAAACGATGATTGGTGGACAAATATCGAGTAAAGATACAGTAAATAATAATCGATCGAGATAATCGAGACTCGCTGTTTGTAGAATAACAATAAACGAGTCTGACAAAAGTATAGTATATCTGCGAAACATACGCTTACTTAAACACGCTCGCAAAATAAACGATGCGTTTCTGTGTTTGATCGTGCATGAATTGTGAGTGAAAGCACTATTTGAGATAATAATCGGTGCCAACAAGTAAAATGAACGGAGACTGCAGAAATAATCAATCCCTATGACTCTCTCTTTCGTTATAATAAACGCGACTTCACTCCGACATAGTACACATCATAATATCATTGTAATTTCATCATTTCTTAAAATGAGTATAATACCTTTTACTCTATGGCTTTACTCATGAACTCTATGAATCGTTTGCCATATTGTTCTGGATCACAGGTGGATATACCGTCGACATTAGCACCATATTTGACGGTTTTAGCCGCTTTTGCCGCTTGTTTACGTACGCCGTAATGCGTAAGCACGTCTATTATGGCCAAGAAATAGATCTCTTTTGCGGGAGCACCTAGGAAAACAAACAAAAAGCATAACTTTTGCACGCTTTCACATTTGCATCTGACTGAAATATTTAACTAGTTAGTTATATTTGAAAGCAGTACCTTCTTTGCTAGGAATGGCATAAATATCTAATTCAGGTATTATCGCATCTTCGTATTGTAAACTAGTGTCGCGCATTAATGCGGCATGTGGTGACTCGGGAGGCGTTGCCATGCTAGTAATTGCATGGCCCACGCCGCTCCAACTCCACAAACGGCTGCAAATGAATCGTCGATAAGAAAAGAGACGAATGAAAAAAACACACATACAAAAAAGATATATAAAAGAAATATCTCATCTTACTCTCCCATTGGGCCTCGAGATTCTAACCCACTACCGGACTCGCTATCATCTTCCTCTTCATGATTATCTTCATCATCCTCTCTTTCCGCGCGTTCTTTCGATTCTTGTTCAGCGCGCGCGCAATCGTGCAAACCCAGTAGTAGAGAGTAATCCATCAAGTGTAATCTCGTCAAGAACTATAGACAGATTATCTCGAATATTCTTTGATGGCAAATTTCTTCACAAATTTACAGTAGAGCTCTGTGTTAAGATAGCTCTTAAAAAAAGTAACTTTTAACATAACTTTGTCAAAGATGAAATTTACATAAATGTTGCGTATATACAGGGTGGTCTCAGACTTGACGAATCAATGGTAAATCCCTGAGATCATTTGGAAACGAAAATCTTAATACCAAAATGTTGAAGGAGATATAGTTTTGGTGCTAAGGAGTACAAAAGATTAAAAATTACCAATCGGCGCATTACGTTCTCCTGTGTTCAGAAACATAGCGAATCAAGGGGCCCGTGCGTACAGCGCGATAATATCGATATCGATAGAGAAATCAATAAAAAAATAGGATTTTGCAGTGAGCATGATTGTGTCTTCCATGCGACAGTAATCAGTAGTTTGAGCATTTTTATGAAGTCTTGCTCAACATTTTGTTAGAATTTTCGTCTCCAAATGATCTCAGGAATCTGCTATTAACGATTGATTCGTTAAGTCTGAAACAGCCTGTGTACACACACACGCGCGCGCGCGCTCCACACACACACACACACACACACACTTACGTCTACATCAGCGGTTAACGTTTCTATTAGCTTAGCTTTGGCCTCTTCCCCAATATAAATCTTCATTCCCTCCTTCACGAAATCATTATCCTTATAAGTAGGAAGATCCTTTTCCTTTTCCTTATCAGACGCTTCTCGATCCACTGTCGACCCTTTTAGATCAAACTTCTTGTGCGTTGTCAAATGATTCGAAAATACATTTCTTATTGCGACCACATAATGCTCGACGCCATCAACGGTCAATCGGTACATTCCCAGATATTGCGGCAATAATGTCTTTCCATGTCGCTCGACAATATACTACGACGCAATATTTCCAATGGTAAATTTAAAAATTTCTAATATATCTTTTTAATTATCATACTTACAGGATGATAATGCTTCAAGAACGAGTGCATCCTCTCCACTTCCTCGCTCGTCAACGTTTTAATTATAAACAGTTTGTCGTAAGATTGATAAAACTTTGCACCACTTTTTCCCGATGAATCATCAAGTACTGGCTGTGATCTAGAAAAAAGAAAAAGATAAAATAAAAAATAAGAAAAAGGATAAAAAAAAAAGGATAAAAGAAGCTTGAACATGTATGGAAAAATCAAACAATGGTTCAATTTGAATTAGGTGCATAGGGAGCTGTATAGGGACAATATAAAAAATTAATCATCGTCAAAAGAGATAATTGGAAGTATTTTTTAGTAGCTGATGAATATATAAATATTTATCGCGTGAAGCAAATTTCAGTTCAGTTACTATGATTAATTAAATATTTCGCTAAAACGCGAGAATAAATATAATAATTAATAATGACAAATCATTAAAAGTATTTTTACTATACTTTTGTATTTTATTATACTATTATTATAATCAATAGTATTACTATAATATAGATCACCATTATCAGTATTCATTGTCATCGCTATTGACATAAGGCGTTTTATTTAATTATTAATTATTTTTGTTATCTTATTAAACAATATTTAAATAGCGACAATAATGCAACGGACACTCTTTCTCACCATGCTTTGAATCGAAAAAACTTTCAGCGTTAGATAGATTTTCATTTATGTAAAGTATTTTCATCGAATGTGGAAATTAAGCAATCATTAAAATATCAATGAAATTGTTACGTTTATGCTAGTTGTGCTGATTTTTGGAAAATAAAAAAAGATCTTTAATTCCATGTTATATGAAATGACGGAAACGCACAGTGTGGCAAAATCACGTTTCGCTAACCTCAGACGTTTTGGTTTAAAACTGCAGGTACGCAGTGGTTTATTTAAAATTGTATTGTGCGAGGAGGCAGAAGGAGGGTAAAGGGTAATCGTTGGAGTGGTGGCGGAGCGTTGAACCAATTGACGAATCCTTCTGCCTATTCCTTCAACCAAATCCGAATGCTGCTTTGCTCGCGAAGGATTAAACGCCCGACATCTAATACATTAAAATTATTACATTACTGAGCCAATGATCCCTCGTCTCTATCTCCATTTATAACGAACATGATCGAGCAATCGCGAACGAAAGAAAATTCGTCCCAACTTTGAAAAGCGCGTTGCGCGACAAGACGCGTTTTGCTACATGTTGTATTTGCGCTACGTACGAAACATCGGAGAAGATAACTCATACAATGATATTACCTTGTCATTGATTCCTTGTAATCTAAGTCGTCTATTCCAAATCTCTCTCGCAAATTTCTAAAGACTAATGGACAGTATTCTTTTATTTTGAAGTGGGAGGGCATGTTTTCTCTGCAAAAAGGTAATTTGCACATAAATATGTAAATATTTTTCAATAAATATATAAATATTTTCTTATGCTGCATTTTATATTACATTTTCATTCTTTAGCGCATACAGACAATTCTAAAATTAAGAGCAAGTTGCCAACTTGTTGACTTGGTATTAAGCCACACACGCGTGTGTATGTATACGTGTGAAAAAAGAAGATTGCCTAAATATATTCCCGAGATTGTCTCGATATATATATATAGACAATTATATTTTTGAAAATAAAATGCGCGCGCGCGCGCACGCGCAGTCACGCCGTGTCAATTAGCGTACCGAATTTATTCAAAATATGCACAAGGAGATAAATTGGTTCGAGATATTACGTACAATCGTACGATAATATAGAAAAAGGCAAAAAACTTACTTGTTGAAAAGATGATTATCCACTTTCAACTTGCTGTAAGCTCTAAAATCATCTGGCAAGAGCATTACTGGAATGTTAACGTGACTAAGTTCGTTTATCTGCAATGCAGCAACATATAAACATAGATTTAACTCCCTTTCAAGAGATTATAAGCATGAATAATGAATTCGATTCGATGAAATAAAATAATTTATCGTTGGATAAAGGGACGAATAGGGAAAAATACAAATTAAACTAAGTTTAAAATAAATAACATCTCGCCAAATATCTACGCATACACGTGACGCATACATACACGATAAAATCATAAACTAGATAAAAAAGACAAATGGAAAAAAAGCTAGACATAATTATCTAGCTTGAAGAATTATCGCGTAGGACGCGGTAATTTATTTCGCCCGTTTGTCACTCGACAATTCAATTGGCGATTGCAATGATGCAATGACGCGCTGATGCGATAAATAAATAATATAAATGCAATAGTGATAGAATAGAAATAGAAAAATGACACAACGCAACGTTGACGCGTGACAGGTACGCACGTCGTGTGTATGCGTTACGTGTGTCGTGTATATCGCTGTCATCCGCGTAAATTGTTGGACGCGCGCGAGTCAAAACCCAACCAATCGCGCACTTACCGTATGATTAACACCCCACATAAACACGCTGAGGAGCGGCTCGTTTGCGCGAAACAGCTTAACCTTTTGGTGTTTCACTCGGAAATGTTTCTTCTTCAGCTTGCTGAGTCCGCTAGACATTTGCGGCACGCTCGACATGTTTGTTTCTATTTTCGATTGTTGGACTGGACGAGACGAGACGAGACGAGAATGCGTAACGATACTCGTCAAGGTAACTCGCTCTCGCCTCTCGAGGAGGATTCCGAACCCTCAACGACGATTTATCGCCTTATCACGCTCGATCGCGCGAGAGATTCTTCTCTGTCTGTCTTCTACTGTTTACATCATAAATATCGCGCGTACCACACGAAATTTCTACAGGTCTCCTTTACGAGTCGACGACGAGGAAAAACACGCCCATGAGCCAAACCAGGATCTCGCGGCGCCGACTTTTTCGTCGAGTCTGCACCGAACGAGAAGCTGAAATCACGACGAATGAACCCAATGTCGCGAGCACTATGCACTCCTTCGTGTTCGCCTTCGCCTTCGCCTTTGCCTTTGCCTTTGCCTTTGCCTTTGCTTTCGCCTTCGCCTTTGCCTTCGCCTTCGCCTTCGCCTTCGCCTTCGCCTTTGCCTTTGCCTTCGCCTTTGCCTTCGCCTTATCTTACCTTACGCGCGCACTTTATCACCCTCCTACCATCGGTCCCACCACCGTTGCAATTGCAACATTCACAATCGCCATCAATGGCGTACGACAACAGCGACGGACAACCACGGACAAACGGGCCGCAAGCTGCAAACTGCGAGCTGCAACGGCTGATCGTCGGGATCGCTCCTTTTAAAAATGGCGAAAGCGCCAAGGACACGGCCGCGGCATGTATCGCGAAGATTGAAGAGAAGCGCTAATCACGACGAGGCAATATTCATTTACGGTTTTCTAGTGCGTTCGAAAATATGTTTGGTTGGTGTTGGGAAAAAAGATAAAGTTGGCAGTATTGAAAACTCCCAGTGCTGCGTTTCGTTTCAAGCGATCGAGTTTAATCGCTCCGCCGTCATCGACCAATCGTAGTCCGTCTTCGGAAGAATGTAGCCATACATACCCGACCACTCGAAAACCCCATTAGGAAGTGTTACCGCTCAGTAGCGCCTACAAGCGAGGGATAAAGTCACTAGATATACCAGATATACTAGATGCACCGCAATCATTGGCCGATACCGCATTCAGCGGACTCGATAGCGGATGCAACATTACTACATTTCCCAATGTAATTCAACGCTGATTGGCCGGATCTGAAAATAGAAACCAATCATGTTTGATCGCTACTCAGCGGTTGAGGCTACGCTCTGGATGCTTCGAAGCGTTTGATTAACCAATCGGATTAAACAAATCTCTACTCCTTTTATCCTGATTGGTCAATCAAACGCTTCGAAGCATCCAAAGCGTCTTCCCGACTGCCGAATGCGATCATGGACGCCTGACGCCCACCAAACATCCGATTATTCCTTGTATGTTTACGAATTAAAGATATCTTGATGCATGCGTGTAAAGAGATACGGCCTAATTTCTTAGAATGAAGTGTTAAATAAAATATAGACTATACTTGGCAATATGTATACAAATGAGATAAAATCATTGGGATTGATGTTTTCAGAATGGCGTTGTCAACGAGAACGGCGAATATGTTTCAGAGGTCTACGAGAATGACTAAGCATATTTCTTGGGAAAGCGCAAAAGACGAGAGAATTTCGTTTTCGAGATTATTTTATTTCCGAACGTGAAAAACTACCGAATCGGAAATTACCATGGATGGAAAACGATCGATAAAAATGGTATGTCGTGCAGCGCATCGTATAGATAAAGACACGTCTTACTTGGACGTTAATTTTTGAACGCATACTTTTATATGAAGAAGAAACAGTTTCAAATATATCAGTCACGTATTAAACGAATCACGTAAATTTCAATTTCGGAATAAAATAATATTTCACAAATAATATTTCTCAACGTTGGCAAAAAGCTAATAAGTTTATCGTAGCATCCAGTACATTGATTTGCACACGTTTATTAGCACTTTTTATCTAATGTACAAATAATGTCACTGTAACCGTTTGTGTGAAAATGTATGACTATTGAAAGATCTTCTATCAAGTAATAGTACTTTATATTCCTTATTGATCCACCTAGGATCCATTGTCGCCTGGGCCATGTTTGGATATTAGCGACGATGAACTTGTTACGATATCGGTACGAGATTTAAACAGGCAATTAAAATTACGCGGACTATCTAGAGAGGAAATTGTGCGTATGAAACAGCGAAGGCGTACACTAAAGAATAGAGGATATGCAGCAAGCTGTCGTATAAAACGTATCGAACAGAAAGATGAATTAGAATCTGAAAAAACTCAAGAATATCGAGATATGGAAGCTATGCAAGAGGATAATAATCGTATGAGAGAGGAGATAGAGTCTTGGCATTCAAAATATCAAGCGCTCAAGAAATTTGCTCAAGATAAGAAAATTATTATTCCACCAGACTTGGAAACCATGTAAAACTTAAATGTTATCGGTTAACTTTATTATTAAAATTAGACTCGATAATGGACGTTGTTGTATACATGTATGTTAATTTCTATTAATTTTAAAAACTTTTATTTATGAAAAAGGAGGCTTTAGCACATGTAATTTTCAATTTACTTATTCATTCGTTCATTCATTCATAGAAATAACGAGACATGCATATTTTTCTTTGTATAAATACAAGAGAATGTTTCTTTATACGCATATACATGGGTAAAGGAATATGAAGATGTGTGTGTTTTTATATATATATATATATATATATATATATATATATATCCCATTATTATAAATATACTATTATAAAAGTTTATCAAGTTGGGATAAAAGGTGAAAGACTTGTAATTTAATTAATTGTCGTGTACATTTTCATTTTCAGTATATAATAAAAATATTAATCTGCTAACTACATGAACGTTGATTGAATTTCCTAGCAATCTATACTTTTGTTTATCTGTAATATGTTTTGGGAAATTAAAATCTTCTGGAAAACACATTAATCTGCATACTTCTTTAGGCGAGAAAAACCTAAGTTTCAAATCAGATAAGAGCTGTATTTGTTGGTCTAAATTATTCTCTTCATTAGCAGCTTTACTATACTTTAATTTAATTGTTTCGTCTGCAAACGGACAATATACAGATCCTGTACCTTCTACATAATGACCGTATCCTTTGGTAAAGCAGCAAGAGCCATTGCTTTTGGATGTTCGTATATCCAATACCTGTGCTCTCTTTTGTAATAATTTTGAGGGCAATAAATATTTGGATTCTTCAACATTTTCCAAAATATTATCCAACGTATAGCACATTCCGCCAGATTTGGTATTAATTTTACCATTTTTCTCAGCTAATATAGCATGCATACTTTTTGGCGGTAACTTTAATAATGCAGATGGTAAACTATTTTTTAGCAAGGGTTGCTTGAAACAAAATTTCAAATTCTTTCTCTTTGCCAATAAATAATATCTATTTCTACTATTTGGTATACCAAACTGACACGGGCTTAATATTAATTCTCTGTAAACATATCCACAACTTTCTATACAATTTAGAAATTTGTCTCTCATTTCGGACACTTCGAATCCTTTAACATTCTCAAGCAAAATATATCTTAAACTTTTTAATTCTGGTATCAAGTTTAAAATGTGTAACAAAGAACAAGCTCTGTTATCAAGAGCATCCTTTTTTAATCCTAATCTAGTAAAAGGTTGACACGGAGGACTCATAAGTATAGCATCTAAACCCAATTTGTTCAATTCCTGTGCATTAAGAGACTCGATATTTCTATTCATAAGAATAGTTTCTGGAAAGTTCTCACGGTATACTGCGTTTGCGACAGGATTTATATCAATTGCTGCGACAACCTTTGCCGTAATTTCACTTTCTGTAATAACATGTACGTACATGTAGTAGTAAAGACGAGTCAATATTATAATGTAACTTTGCGCCAATTGTTAAATTTCTGAAATCGCAATATATATTTGTAATATTTATACATACCACGGAGCGCATAATGCATTCCTCCGATACCGCTATAGAGTTCCAATACTTTCATGTTTACAGTTTATAGCGATTTATTCTAACCATAATGTAAATAGAAAAGCGTGCCCATGGGTCTGTTCTTTTCAGCTGTACTGCTGCACTAGTGCAATAAGTTAGAAAGAGACAAACATACTTTCTTTCACTCTAACTAATTGCACTAGTGCAGCAGTGCAGCTGAAAAGAACAGACCCATTATCATGGCTGTGTTCCCAAATTCACTGCCAGTACTGAATATCTATATAGTGCGTTCGAAAATATGTTTGGTTGGTGTTGGGAAAAAAGATAAAGTTGGCAGTATTGAAAACTCCCAGTGCTGCGTTTCGTTTCTCCCACTGGGATCACTAGGATTAAAAAAATTTGCTACCTGAGATATTAAACGAAACGCAGCACTGGGAGTTTTCAATACTGCCAACTTTATCTTTTTTCCCAACACCAACCAAACATATTTTCGAACGAACTAATAGTGTACGTCACATAAACTATAGATTTTCATTAGTGGCAGTGAATTTTGGGACGCAGTCCATATATACAGTACTCCTATATTGCCAGTTCCGTAGGAGGAATGAGCGAAAACATTACGGTGCAGACGATAGCTTCTCTCTCTCGTCCCTAGAAGATACCATGTCCCTATGGTTTAGTGGGGGACGTATCCTGTGTCAATGATCTAACTTAATCTTAAATTTAACCCAACCTAATCGTATTTCTTCTACCTTGAATCAGAGGGTTGTATTGCATCTCGAACTGAATTCGTTTTCCGCCTTGTGTTTCAAAATTCAACGGTTTGATTAAAAAAGTAAGATTAATATGCCGTCAATAGGCCATAGTAGGCCAATGAGCGCGAGTTAAGTCTGCATATGATATAAATCGCAACAAAAGATTGCTCGTACGAAGAATTGAAATTCTAACCCTGTATGTGAGCGTACAATGTAAGCTTACGTATCTCGTCGCATTTGTGGATCGTACGACAACATATTCCCGCGATTGTCTAGAGATCAACTATGGCGAAAGAAATTTAGATGGAGTGCAAATGTAGGCACATTTGTTCGCGTTCGAGATAATTGAAAATGTTTCGAAGTCGAAGTTGGTTCGGTGGCGGGCTTTGGAAGCCCAAAAATCCCCATTCCCCGGAACATCTCAAGTAAATAATCGTTGTAAATACGTTATTATCATGCGATTACTGAGCCACGAGCATACATCTTATATATTCATCTATTACATTTCATCAGGTATTTGTACAACGTATTGTCAAAAAATCAAACTGTGTCTGAGAACAATAGAGGTTTATTGGTCGAAACTCTACGTTCGATAGCTGAAATTCTTATTTGGGGTGATCAAAATGATAGCAGTGTATTTGAGTAAGTAATAAACAACAAGAAAAGAAAATGTCTAGAAATATGTCCTTTTTCAACTTTTTAAAAATTTACATATCTTATATATCTAGATGCATAATAGAAATCAAGTATACTGGAAAATATTGTCTTGTTTCTACTTCTTACGAGTGTGATAATTTTTTCGTGCAAATTCCCATGCCCTGATATATATATGATATATATATGTATATGACATGTGTGAGTTGGAAAAAAATTAGAGAGTTTAAAAAATATTTATTATTTTATTGTAATATGTTTAACAATGCTTTTGGAGTTGTGGTGTGTACTTGACAGAATTGCACATTCTTAATGAGACATATTGTATCCGTGTATAATGTATCGATAGTTGTCAGTTACCTTTTTAAGCACAGCTGATATTAAATGGTTACTTGCAGACAATTATATACACATATACACAACATATGCATGTATACACACATACAAATAAACATTTGCATATATATGTATATATATATATATATATATATATATATATATATATCTTATTTTTTGTCAATAATTTAAACTTGTTGTTTGGGAAAACAGTTTTTATACCCTAAAAAGACATAGAAGTTCCTCTTTACTGAATCTTTATTGAAAATGATGTGTCTTGTTGCGATTCTTATTGATAAATCATGAAAACTATCTTAAGAATTAAGATTAAGTGTGCAAAATATATATAAAGGTAATTAATACAAAGTATTATATATATTTGCAGCTTTTTTCTGGAGAAAAATATGCTTTCATTCTTTTTGCGTATTATGAAACAAAAATGTGGAAGCTATGTATGTGTTCAATTGCTTCAGACATTAAATATATTATTTGAAAATATACGCAATGAGACATCTTTATGTAAGTGTAACAAAACTTTACCTACTTCTGTATCCATAACCTTTCAAATAAGATTAAAAATATGTTTACATTTTCTATTCTCAGATTATCTATTGAGTAATAATCATGTAAATAGCATAATAGTGCATAAGTTCGACTTTAGTGATGAAGAAGTAATGGCGTACTATATTAGTTTTCTGAAGACACTGAGTTTGAAATTAAATGCGCATACCATCCATTTCTTCTATAATGAGGTAAACGAGGTATACACATAATTTTCTGTGTCTGTTTTAGTTATGACTATCTGCATTTCTTAAATTGAAGGTTGAATGAGCTTTTTTTTTTTCTTTTCTTTTTTTTCTTTTCTTTTCTTTTTTTTTTCTTCAAAATTTGGTGCGTGTGTGAGATGTGTGTATTGTGTATGTATATGTATATATATATATATATATATATATATATATATATATATATATACAGGGTGAGGCATTTATAGTGACGCGGGCGTATTTCTCGGAAACAAAGCGAGATATTAAAAAATGTTTCAGACGAAAGTTGTATGGTTTCAAGGGGGACATAAAATGGTGTTATTAGTTTGATCTTGAAGAGCCACCTGAAGGACACGCGAAGGTCAGCTCCAACTTTTTAAATGGGACACCCTATATGCTTTTGCATATTCTTGTAGCTCATCTCAAGAGCTTTCCAAAACACTATAATTAAGTTAGTTTTCATTAAGTACTTTCCAAGTTATGAGGCTTGAAATCATTTTTTAATTTTACATAAACCGTAAAATATCTTGTAAAATATTCATTTTTCGATTATTTTACCTTAATACTTTTATGTACAAAATAATGAGAGGAATCAATTGGTGTAAAGAAAAGACATAGTTATTTTTAAGAAAAAATATGTAATTGTTAATTGCAAATTACATTTTTTTTTTCGAAACAACTATGAGTTTTCTTTACACCAATTGATTTTTCTCATTATTTTGTACATAAAAGTATTAAGGTAAAATAATCGAAAAATGAATATTTTACAAGATATTTTACGGTTTATGTAAAATTAAAAAATGATTTCAAGCCTCATAACTTGGAAAGTACTTAATGAAAACTAACTTAATTATAGTGTTTTGGAAAGCTCTTGAGATGAGCTACAAGAATATGCAAAAGCATATAGGGTGTCCCATTTAAAAAGTTGGAGCTGACCTTCGCGTGTCCTTCAGGTGGCTCTTCAAGATCAAACTAATAACACCATTTTATGTCCCCCTTGAAACCATACAACTTTCGTCTGAAACATTTTTTAATATCTCGCTTTGTTTCCGAGAAATACGCCCGCGTCACTATAAATGCCTCACCCTGTATATACACACACACACACACACACACACATATACATATACATATACTAAGTTTTGCGTGTATACGTGTGTGGATATTTATACACATACAGCGATACACACGTGCTCGCGCATTAAAGTTTTGCATTGATAAATTTATGACAAGTTTATTGTGTTATTAGCATACAAATGATTTCCCACTCTACACAGAAGCAATTAAATTTTTTAATCATTCGGAGGGTATGGTACGTATAGCTGTGAGAACTTTGACACTGAATGTATATCGTGTTGAAGATGCATCAATGCTAGCTTTTATAAGGGACCGTACAGCTGCACCATACTTTAGTAATCTTGTATATTTCATTGGTGATCATATTATTGAATTGGATACCTGCGTCCGAAATGATGCCGAGTAAGTGTCCACATTGTTCAAATAAGTGAGTCTTTGCCCTGTTATCGATAAAGTATATTCTGTTCCAGTCATCAGAGTCAAAATAGATTGTCAGATTTAGTTGCGGAACATTTGGATCATTTGCATTATTTAAATGACATTTTATGCTTGAATATACCAGACTTGAATAAAGTTTTATCAGAACATTTATTACACAAACTATTAGTTCCGTTATATGTTTATTCTTTAATGAAATACAAGAATGTTTCGTGCCAAATACAGGTAAAGGATCAAATTTTTTTATTTCTTCAAACTTTTACATGTATAGTAATAAATCATTTGAACTTTTTAAAGGATGAAAGGAAACATGTGAGCGTTGTAGTAGCGCTTTTTCTACTTTCTCAAGTTTTTTTGATAGTATCACACGGACCTCTTGTACATACATTAGCAGTCATAATGCTCATGTCTGACTTGGAAACAATTCAAACTGGAACAAATATGATTCTGGAGAAACTTAAAGATATAACATCAAATAAGTCTGTTAGTTTTACATCATCAAAGGAAACGTTAGAAAGATCGTTAGAAACTCAAAGTGAAACACTATCGACAACTTCCGAGATGCCTCGCAACAAAGAAAGTCATGTAAGAAACGTAAAAGAGTTGACTGTACACGCGATTGACGAATCACAAGAATATAGTCATCCGAGCACGTCTTCCGATGCACCGTCTTCGACAGCGAATATTCCAGTTCTTATAAATACATCAATAAATATAAATGAAGAAGATTTAGAAGAAATTAAGCAGTTGAATGTGACGGATGAGGAGAAAGAGCAACGCTTGGCATTGGAGAGTCCCTTGATGTCTCATCAAAGCCAGAGTGACTTATTTGAATCCTTGGGGAAAAAACCATTTCTGGAAACAATAATCAGCTCCTTATTATGCGCGGAAAACGATTATGCTGCATTATTCGCGCTTTGTCTGCTATACGCATTAGCTAATAATCGAGTAAGTATTATAAATTTTAATAAAAACATGCTTTAATTTTTTCAAATACGTTTTACTTTTAATAATAATAAGCCGATTCGCGCATTCTTATTTGCAAGGGTATAAATCGTAAAACTCTGGATATAATCTTGTCTCCATTTTACGATAATACGACTATTAAAAATTCATATAATGAATTGCTCATGGACAGATTGATTCATATTATAACTCTGAGCTGTCAGACCAGTAAGTTATGTTAATATTTTATCTTGTAATACACAAATGTAGCATTTGGGGCATTGCATTGCATTGCATTGCATTTCATTTCATTTAGCTGTTTTTTTTGTTTCTTTTTTTTAAAAAGAGTATCAAAATCTTTCGTTTTATATACGCAGACACCAGAGTGAGGCTTGTTACATTAGAATTAACCATTAAATTATTAATACAACTGACGATATCCGAAGGACAATGCTTATTACGAGAGTCGCATCTAGGAGCAATTGAAGCGGCAAAGGAACAAAGCACATCTCTGCTCAAAAATTTCTACAAGGTCGGGGAATTGTCAAAAAAATTATATACTAACTATAGATATACACTTGTGCAAGTGTTCTGTTCTCCCTGTCTTGCACAAGACGGCATGTACTTGTTGATAAAAATGATTAATATTAAATTTCTCTCTCTTTTATTAGAGCGAAGATATTTTTCTGGACATGTTTGAAGATGAGTATAGCGAAATACAAAAACGACCATTAAATGTCGAATGGCTAATGATGGATAGCAATATTTTGTTGCCTCCTACAGGTACGCCTATGACTGGCATTGAATTTAGTAAGAGACTTCCGTGCGGTGAAGTAAGTACAAATAAAAGAAAAACATGTATATTTTTTCAAATAAATTATATGCATAAGATTCTAAAAAGAATTGTTATTGCAATTTATTGTAAAAAGATGAAATCGCGAATGATTGTGCAGGTGGAAAGAGCACGGCGCGCGATAAGAGTTTTCTTCTTGATAAGGGAACTAGCTCTGACGCTCAATATGGAAGCAGAAACTCAATTGCCATTGACGAATCCTGCTAATTGTGTACAAGTGAACAACGTTCTTGATCTAAGTAAAAATTAAAATTATTTATCTCATGATATAATTAATTAATTGCTCGAAAAGTGATAATGTATATTAGACTATATTAGATTATATTGCACGCATACATACACACATACGCACGCACGCATGCACACATCGCAATATTTGATACGGAATCTAATTGTCATTACGATACGTAGATAAATGATGCATAAATTTATAACATTCTTTACAGATAATAGCGATTTGATCGCATGTACTGTCGTATGGAAAGATGGTCAGAAAATTCGTCGTTTCTTAGTTATTGATGTTGTGCAATTGATCCTCGTTGAACCCGATACCAGCAAGCTTGGATGGGGTGTTGCAAAGTTGGTTGGTTTTCTACAAGACATTGACGTGGCCGGTGACAAAGATGATTCAAGATGTTTGCATCTGACAATTTACAAACCACTAAATAGCAGTACAGGCAATCGCATACCATTATTATCGGCTAAATTCATTTTTGATGATCACATTCGATGCATGGCTGCTAAACAGAGGTCGGTTTTAATACAGAAAACTTTGTAAATCGCTTAATCGCTTGTCAATCGCCACGATTAAACTTGTCGAATTGTCATTTAGACTAACAAAGGGACGAATAAAAGCCAGACAAAAGAAGATGAATCAAATTGCAAGATTGTTGGACATTCCAACAAGTGTGCCTCATTGTCCGACACCACCCAACTATGCTTTGCGTGGTTTACGACATGAACGTAAGTAATAAAACCAAAATAAAAATTAGTTGAAAAATTTTGGGCAAAAGTCGATTAAATTTTTCTAGGTATTATCGGACGTGGTCAAAGACCGCAAAAGGAACAAACAAGGCCAATGTTTATGGTAAACAAAGTTCCTGGATTCGCCGCTCAAATGCGCAGAGAAATTAGACCAGTGGCATCGAGTTCCAAACGAGATGATGCCAGTTCGAATGAGAAAGTTCATGAAAATGGTTTGAGATCTAGAGACAATTCGCCTAAGATGCCAAGGCCGCGAAGCGAGGAAATTCCTTTGGAGGATATGCGTAATCGTAAAGTCTCTCTTACGTCCAATGGGCTAAACACAGTACATACTTGTTCGGAGAAAAGAGACAGCCAAAGCGCTACTTGCTCGAATAACAGTGAATCTTCATCTATGATTAGGAAACATTCTGAAGAAACGTCTTTTACGTCTACGCAAGGACAAGAAGCTAAATCACGTAGAAAAGGTCAAGTGGAAACTGTGTGAATTACGATAGTAAAATTAATACAAACTCTCTAGAGTGACTTGATTTAAATACATCTTTCAAGAACTGTATAAGATAAAATGCATATGTGCAACATTTTTAAATTGGCAGAAAAAATTTACTCGACTAACTTGATAAAAAAATATTCTTTATATATAAATATGTATATGTATATGCGAAGGCATATAATATGTTTTAACCGATAAAATGTTAATTTCTATATTTTTATGAAATAACAAAAAAATAACATATAACATATTGCTATGATACGCACGCACACGCACGCACGCACACACGCACGCACCCACGCACGCACGCACGCACGCACGCACGCACGCACGCCACGCCACGCACGCACGCACGCACGCACGCACGCACGCACGCACGCACGCACGCACGCACGCACGCACGCACGCACGCACGCACGCACGCACGCACGCACGCACGCACGCACGCACGCACGCACGCACGCACGCACGCACGCACGCACGCACGCACGCACGCACGCACGCACGCACGCACGCACGCACGCACGCACGCACGCACGCACGCACGCACGCACGCACGCACGCACGCACGCACGCACGCACGCACGCACGCACGCACGCACGCACACACACACACACACACACACACACACACACCACACGCTATACATGCACGCACGTATATATACATACGCACATGCGCGCGCGTGTATATGTGATTAAATATGTTTCTATAGAAATTTATTTATATAGATAAATGAAAATTCTTGTAAAAGTGGGAAACAGAGAGGAATTATTAAATTTAACATTATTTCATTAATTTTTCCTTAAATTATAAATCACCTTTTGTGTACGGTAGACTGTCTCATTTATATCTTATATTTTGATTTTTAAATAAGAAAACTTTTTCATTACTTAAAAATAACAATTAACGATAAACAAATCATGCAATAATGTTTATAATTAATTTATTTTTATATTCCTATTGTATGTGGTATTTTGTCATTTAAAAAATAAAGTAATATTTAAAAAATATTATAGAATAAAGTACAGAAATTATAAAAATAATTACGATATAAATTACAGAATTATAAAACATTCTATGTATCATTATTTCGATGGCATTGATTGTTGATGAATCAGCAACAGATTGTATGCGGCATAGACAATGTATCTGTGTATATACATATCTACTTTTTATTATATAATATTTCTGCTTCATTCGTTACGTCATCAGTTGTTACATTTGGCCAGTTTAATTAGACAATTGTATATCATTTTAATTTTTTATATATACTATTACGATACGGATTATTGCACGTATCATTAAACAAGGCAACTAAAATTTACTTTACTGACATAATGTTCAATTATATCATGCTAAACTATCAGTGCGATAATTTAAATTTTAAAAATTGTTAAATAATCAAACATAAAAACTTTACAACTATTTTTTTTCTGTAAATAAAGATAATTTACCTACCTAAAGTTTGTGAACTTTGTAGTTGGTTGAATTTTTTACTTTTAAAAGTTAATTATTTACTTTTTATATGTTTCTTCCTCTGTTCTCTCTCAATGTGTATTAGCAAGTAAAAACAAATGACCTCAATTTTCAAGAGAATATATGCAGCACGATGGTATAGCGATACATAATTAAATTCCGGGTGAGATGTAGAAAAATATTTGACCTTTTCGTTACTTTAGTAAAACAAATTAAAGCAATTTTCAGTTCCTAAATAATGAGAAACTTCAAAAACAATTCTGTGTATTTCGTCAATCGTAATTACGCATCAATTGTTAGTACCGGATTATATCCCACTATTAGAGATTTTTACATTTAAAAAAATATTAAAGAGTATAAAATGTATAAAATACTGCAATGTGTCATATAAATACAAATCATAAATGCAAATGTTTTATTTCGCATAAATAAATAAATTTATAACTATGTAATCGTAAAAATATCATGCATTTTTAATAATTAAAGACAAAAATAATTCAAATGTCAAATATTAATTTTTTTAATTGTTGGCTCTCATGATGCATAATTACAATTATAGGTCACTGGATCACACACGCGTGGCAATTTAACGACTGTGCATTCACGATGCGAGTCCGGTATCCGATATGGATAAGGAGAGAAACTATGCGAGAGCGTGATCGTTCGATTAAATCGATTCTTTACATTCGCGAGTAAAAAAAAATATATTTATATGAAAGATTTGATTTTTTTTGTTACATTTCTTTTGTACATTGTGCAGACGTGTGAAAACATGATTCTCGACTTTTTCTAAACTATATTCTTAATATTATTGTATGTACATACATATGTTCGCGCACAGTTGTAATTTCCTGCAGCGCTTTCAAGAATAGCGATTCAAAACGCATTTATTTTGCACGAGAGAAAATTTATTTCTCTTAGAAGCAATTAATATTCTATATCAATGCATAAATGTAATTGCGCGTGCGTTCATGTGTGCGTATGTATATTGGAGATGAATTAGATAAATATCACGCGCGCGCGCGCACACATATTTCGTTCCTTTAGAATTATTCGGTAAAATTCTGTGTCGCCTGCAATGATAATAATTGCTACTCATATAAAGCAAATTTATTCCCCCTGGAGCTTCAAATGTTTTCCGATTCTACTGGCGGCAAGAGCTGTTGGTTGACGAAGCAGGAAGCCGGTTTTAGTCTTCGATGATACATTCGCTGGTTCGGAGTATAAATGAAGGACAATGACCTAATTGCGTACAGAACGCGGCGAACTTCTTTGCGCGGTCAATCACCGCGCGCGTATAATTTATATTTCATTTATTTATAAGCATACGATCCAAATTGATTTCTAATCTTCTAATATAATAACGGAAACGGTGGAGTTTTGCATGTTGCAGTCTACAAAAGCGTAAATTATTATGAAGGTAAGATACATGTATTGCAAAAAAAAAGTCAAAATTTATTGTAAAATTTATTTTCATTCAAAGTATATAATATGTATTCGTGCTGTCGCATGCTTTTCAAGCGTGTTTCAAGAAATGTACTTGTGCATAGTACATATTTTTTTATTACGCTACGTCAATAATGTATGTGTGTGTGAAGATAAATTTATTTCAAATTTAAAAAAGATTAAATTCATATGTATTGCATGTAATGATACATATAAATTGTAATTATTATAAAACATTGAAAGAGATATTTACAATTTTATAGTTTATTTAAAAAATTGATATATATATATATATATATATATATATATATATATAATTTCATCAATTCATTTTTTCATTATAATAAATAAATATTCTTTGTATATTTATGGTGCATCACTTTTATCGATCACTCTCTAATAAATTGTAGGCGAGCAAGCTCATGTTTATCATCTGACTGAGAGTCGACATAAATAGTACAATTGTCGACACTTTAGTAATAATAATGTGCTTGCTCTTGTTCTCGGCAAGTTCTATGATATATATAAAACATATAATTTCTTTTTCTTGAAAGATAGACACACAAGTGTCTTATATGTGATCCAAAATATGATTGAAACATATGATTTTTAAAAGAAAAGTATTCACTTAATTGCTTTTATATATATATATATATATATATATATATATATATATATATATATATATATATGTGTGTGTGTGTGTGTGTGTGTGTGTGTGTGTGTGTGTGTGTGTGTGTATACAGTATATGTAAACAATATATTATGTGTAATGGAGTTATAATTTTTATCGATTTTTTGATAAATTTGTAATTTGTAAATTTAATTTATTAAGTATTTTTTAATATAAATATACAAGAGAGAGATTAATTCTGGCAATTTTCATCAAAATATACATATAAAACATTAACACTTTTCTTCTTCAAGATTTTTTATACATTTTTTTATATATCGTTAAAAACTGTATTATTTATATTTATTAAAAAAAGAATGCTAAAGATAATAAATTGTTCAAATAAAATAATCAAAAATAGTTGATGGTTCTGACAATTATTTGATTGTCAACAACTATATTATGAAATTTTACAGAGAAAAGCATGTTATGAAGCATGTACTTGATTTATATATATATATATATATATATATATATATATATATATATATATATATATAAGTCAAAATAATAAGTTAGGTATAGTAAGTAAGTAATAAATAATAAATATATATACACATAAGTCAACGCAAATTTTGATACACAATTCTTTCACATTTATTATATTTATTAATATATTATTGGCATTTTTTTCTCGACTTCACTCTTTTTACACGAGCGACAAGTTATACTTTACCTTATCCTACTTGTTTTTTCCTCGCGCCGCACCAATGTAGCACAACGTTCCACTTTTGGCGTACTAGCGATTTGTGGCAATTTTCTCTTTGGTTTTACACGTTTAATATTTGTGTTCGTGATGCGGATAGTACAGCTTAAAGAGTCGATACTGCGATAGACGTATTGATATGTGGTACCGTAAAGACAACACGCACAATTCTATCGCGCGTCATACTTTAGTGTCATACTTTTCAACTTTCCGCTTCATGCTTTCGTTTGTATTTTGATGCAACTAACAGCTATGATATGTAAAAATGGAAAAGAAAAAAAAGACAAAAGCTACTGTCTTATTTCGTTTTTTATTCAACTTCTTGACAATTTGACTTTGCAATCTCGTTCTCTCTTTCTCTCTCTCTCTCTCTCTCTCTCTCTCTCTCTCTCTTTCTCTCTGGAATCTTTCGAGACAAGGTAGAATCATTCCATGATCATGCGCTTCGAAAATTATAGACGGCTAATTGGATTTGCTGGCTTCTTGCCACGTGCATCTGTATTTCTGAGGCGAAAAGTAAGATTAGGAGACCGTCATCTCCACCATACGCGTCTACACTGATACTGAAAAAGCCTCGGCCCATCAATCACCGAATATCCATGGGGAATACCATCCATATTGGCGCTCCTTCTCGTCAGAGAATACCTTATAAACACACCAATTACAGGTGAAAGTAGCTTTGAAAAAAAGGAAAAAAAAAGAATATATATATATATATATATATATATATATATATATATACATATATATATTTATTCCTACTTGTATTACAAACATCGGAATGATGTTTTATTTTCGATAATTTTCGATTTCAGAATTCGTCGGCCTACAGTGTATAATGTTTTGTCAAATAATTGGAAGAATCAAATTCCAATACGAGCATTTCCTTTGAACAATCATGCAATATTACCGCAACATGGCACACCCACCAAGGATTTTTATTCTATAAACAAGATACAGGAATATAGTTCGCAATACAAGCCAGAGCTAGCAATATTGCCGCCTACTCATCGAGGGGATATTGATGATGACAAAGGACCTATTCATACGATTCCAGCACCAAATTTGGGTCCAGCGGATAAGCCTTACAATTTGCCGACTAATTCGGGAAAGACTGCACATTATCCACCATATTTGAATGATTTAAATTATCATACCACTGTGCACAGTAAGCCTATATTTTTATTATTATTAGGACCATATTTTAAGTTGACTCAATGTCAGAAGATTGGAGTATAATTTGATTCGACGAATGTAATTTTCGTCTAGATCCTATGACGGCAACTTTTGGATCAACCGCAATTAATAGCAGTCTGCCGCTACAAAGAATAGCGACAAATTCGAGTCCGTTGCTGCATCAATACGAAGTTACAGAAAACAATGATGTAGCTTTAAACGAACATCAAAATATTCAACCTGAAGCAATTCATCAGGCTCAAAATTTAGATATAACAAGGCTATATTCAAGTATAACTAATAATCCTCATCAATCTTCACAATCCAACGAGCTTTTCGCAAATCATGCTATTAATTCGAACGCAGAGTCAAATGTACAATTTGGCCAATCAAATATGCCAATGCAAACGAACCTTCATAGTTCCTTACACGTCGGATTTCCTTCTACAGTCATTCAAACACCATACACCGTACAACAGATTCCAGCAAATTTCCATATAGGTCATCCAGTTTCAGCAGGATCACCGTTATCAGCTACGCAACTGTACGACCTATTGAATAATTTTCCACAAAAATTTGCAGAGCAATATACATCAGGTAATAATCTGTACAGAATATATAAACATACATAATTGATCATGTGAAAAAATTGCAATATTTTCAGGTTTTCAGAATCATATTATTATTATTACATATTCATGTTTCTAGATTGTTTAGCTATTAAAAATTTATAAAATCAAAATTAATTGCTAGTTTAGGCAATATTTAAGAAAAAATAAGAATAGGATACTATTATGAAAAGAATCTGCAGCAAAATTATTTAATTTATTATATTCACAATTTTAATAAGTAAATAATTAATAAGTAACAATTGTGTGCAACATTCTCTTTTGTAAATTCTACATCTTGACAAACTACATCAATGTTCGAAAGTTATATCATCAAACTTTTATTGATTTGATTATCAGATCAGCAACACATTCTTCAGCAGCAACTTGGACAAATATTTCAACCAGATATAGTAACAAGCTTTTCTCAACCGCAAATGCATTCTTTCAATTACGACGAACAGGCTAATCAATTACAACAACAGCAAATTTTACCTGATCAAGATTACACTTCCGAAAGTGTTACAGCGAATCATGATCCGGGATCGGAATCTTCAATAGATACACGTAAACAAAATGATGTGCACGTAAACGAAGAATTTATATATTCTACAGATGGAATCGAGCAGTCCGAAAACAATATTGATAATGAAGAAATGACTCATCAAGTAAATCAGGCGACGTATTTCGATAAAATGGCTGACACTAGTGCCATATCGACAAAATTCTACACGACACTTCCCAATAGAGAAGCTGCTGAAAAATTAGCTGCGTTAGCTGCTGCAGGTCATGTCAATAGTCGGCTTATAAATCAGCTGCAAAAACAACAAGAGGAAGATACACAGAAAAATCCAATTCCGCTTAATCATAAGGATGATGATGATTTTGAAAATCAACAGCATGATGAACATATGTATAATCAACAAAAATCACATCGTAAAAGTCAACAGCATGATCACAGGCAAAATTTTAAGGTACAAGACAATGGAAAGTTACCTCTACAAATTACGATACCCGATGAAAAAGACGATTATATTACGAGTGATGAAGATCAGCAAAGTAATACAAAAAGAGATAACATAGACGTAGAGTACGAGTATGAAGATGGGGAAATTGAAGATCCGCAATCTACCATTTCACTTAAAACGACATCTCACAATAATAATTCCTATGCTGAGTTTGGCACCCGTTTATATTCTTAGAAAAGTTGACACTTTTCTAAGATATTTTATTTAAAGTCCCTCCCCCCACATGTTTATAAGATGTATATTTACATATATCTCGTCGAAACGGGCTATAAGTCTATATAGACTTGTAGAATTTCATTGATGTTGTTTCAAGTATTCGCGCATCATTGATCGATAAATATTTGTATATACATATATATATATATATATATTTATTAAAATTTTATTAAATGTTTTTATATACTGTCTCTTTCCGTTCTTCTTCTCCTTTTGAACACAAATTATATTTATGTAGTTTATCAAGAACCGTCTTTAAATTCTTAAAATGTTCGAAAACTTAAAATAGAAGTATTTAGAAGCATGTTGCACATTGGCAAATATATGTAATGAATGCTTCTACAAAATTGAAAGAATAAAACTCAATTAAGCTGTTTATTTTGTATTACTGTACATTTGCAAAAACAAAATGTGTTGTTGTACCTTGTAAAATATAGATATAAGATATAGAATAGCTTATAAATAGGAAATTTTCCAAGATCAATTTGCACAAATTTCGTGTTTAAATATTGTACAATAAAAATTAAGAAAATACTATTACTACAAGCGATCCATAAACCATGGCCTACCATTATTTGCAAGCCGTTTTGTGAGAATGTCACAACCAGTTTCTGTTACTAAAAGTGTATGCTCAAATTGTGCCGACCACTGACCGTCTAATGTAACAGCAGTCCAATTATCAGGCCATGTTTCATCCTTCCATGTGCCCTGAGATATCATTGGCTCGATTGTGAAACAGTGCCCTGGCTTCATAACACCTATTGCTTTGTTTTCTGTTATATAGAAAAATTAAAACCATGTAATTTGATCAGAAAATTATATTTGTATATAATATAATTAGAAAATTAGTTTGTTTGATTCATACTTGAATCATTATAGGAAAAAGATACTTACTAGCATAATGGGGTACGTTTGGCGCGGTATGAAATAAACGGTGAATTCCATGACCGCAATAACTACGAACTACACTGAAACCATGCGCCTGTGAATGTTTTTGAATGACATTACCAATTTCTCGATATTTTTCACCAGGTTTCACAATATCGATAGCTTTAGACAAACATTCATATGTCACTTCCACTAATTTCCTTATTTCTGGTTTTACATTGCCCAGTAAAAAGGTCTCGTTTAAATCTCCATGAAAACCATTGTGATATACAGTAACATCAACTGAGAAAAAATTACAATTAAACTACGCGATTTCTACAAAGCTATGATTATAACAAAGTATGATTACATATAACAAAGCTATGATTATATATATATATATATATATATATATATATATATTCCACTTGTTCATGTGTGATAATTATATTAATAAACATATACCATTACAAATATCGCCATCCTGCAGAGGTCGGGTATCAGGTATACCATGACAAATCACTTCATTAACAGAAGTACAACAGCTAGCAGGAAACTGATAATAATTTAATGGCGATGGATAGCAATCCCTTTCGATACAAGCTTCATGCACAATTCTATCAATTTCAGCAGTTGTAACACCAACATCGCATGTCTTTGCAGCTTCATCTAACACTTCTCGACCAAGCTATGCAAATTAATTTAAGTTTGTTGTTGTTGTTGTTGTCATGATCGTAATGAAGAATATTAAATTCATAAATGAGAATGTCAATAATTTATGTATTTTTATGTTATTCAATTATGTTTTTCTTGTATTTTTTCTCCTTTTATCACATCTTCTTTTATTTATTCTCCTCCATCACATCTATTAGCGAGTTGGGGCACCTGCACTAGTAACACTAAAGGCTGCTATATTTAAATAAATCCCAATAATATGTAAACATTTTGGTGAAAGAATTCATGAAATAATTAATGTGTAATCTGTTAAATAACGTGACAATATATTATTATTATGTTTTAAATTTTTGAAATGATCATATTAATTTTTTATATAATTTTAAATAATTTTATATACCAGCCTTTAGTACACACTAGTGTGTATAATATCGCAGGTGACTAAATTTTCCATCATTTAAGCGACATAGTACCTTGCATGCAACTCTCATGCCTTCAATTTCCTCATCGTCGAGAATTTTGATTTGACCAGAACCTCTGACAGCTTGTTCGCTAAGTGGTACTCCAGTCGGATGCAAGGCATAATCTGGTCGATTGATGCAATCTGGAACTTCTCTACGTTGTTCCTTTTTGTATGGCCGTAATTTTCCCGTATAATTGTAGGTTGGCCAAGGATTATAAGAGTCGGAAACTTTATTTCCATTTTCTCCTTCTGTGATTATATATAAAGATATAAGAGAATTGTAAGAAACATTCATAAAAATTAATAATACATACACACACACACACACACACACAATATTTACTTGCTAACTGATGAATAACTTTATGTGCTTTCCAACTTCCTTTGAAACAATCCTGGAAGATTAGAACGCTGCGTTAATCGGCCAATCTCTTAAATATCTTTTTTCTCTCATTTAAAAAGATGCAAAACTGTGACATAAAAATGATTAAAAAAAAGGCAGTAAATTTAAACGATCAAAGAGCACATTAAAGCATGTGTCCAGGATACATCTAATACAACAAATTAAACAAGATAAAAAAATGACTAAACTGTTAAGAAACGTTAAAATCTCTCTAATTATAACTGTTTAATAATATACGTTACATCTTCTACACGTTTTATAGAGACACAAAAATATACAACGAAATAAATACTTAATATATATATATATATATATATATATATATATATATATATATATACTTAAATTAATATAGAAATACAAAGTAAAAACTAACTTAACCTAACGTATAGATAACATATCTCACTTGACTGCAAAAATATGAACCCTGGATACCGATTTTCAAGCAAGTTGGACATTGAAGACTTGCGACAGCGTTACAACCAGGCGTTTCGCACATTCCAAGCGCTAACGACATTATTAGTTCAATTTTACGATCGGTCGTATAACATGCGTAAAGTAAGGATAGGACGATGTAATTTGAGATGATCATGTACTGTTTTACCGATAGAGGAAGAAAAAAATTTGTCCTCTCTTTCTTTTCCTTCTTCCTCTCTCTCTCTTTTTCTTTATGTGCTCTGGAGATAATATGTGTAGTATATTTTTCTCTTTTGATTATATATATATATATATATATATATATATATATATATATATATATATATAATGGGGAGATATATCTCTACATTTTTATATAAAAAATAAGAGACTATATTTCACAATAAAATTAATAAGCTATGACAAAATTTATTAGAGTTTAAAATCATATATATATATATATATATATATATATATATATATATATATATGTATATATGAAGTGAAATGCCATTTTTTTCAATATTTCAGTCTAAATCTAAAAACTTGATAACTTACAGTTCATAATTAACAATCGCGTAGCAATTTAAATTGGGACGACAATCTAAAAAAATATTGATGAGTAATTCTCTTTACAATTCGCGCGATAACTATATATACGACTATATAAGAGTAATTTAAACACATATCTTTTTATAAAATTTTACGAAAACGGTTTATAATTTTTTTGAATTTTTTTGTGAATTGTGAAATCATAGTTGTCGCACGAATTATGAACAGAATTTTACTCATCGATATTTTTTAAATTAAGTATGATTTAGAATGAAATATTGATATGATTGAAAAAAAATTCGCATTTCATTTCATTTACATATATGTATTTTCAACGATTACTCTTGCGAAGGGTTTCCGGACATGCATTTACTTTCGCAACAGGATTCACAAGCAGAGTTCCTAACGGGTGATCCGATAACAGTAATCCGATACTTGACCGATACGGATCGTGTCGCGTGGGATACAAAACACGTGTTCCAAGAGCGCAGGGCAAAATATATATGAGCTCTAAAAGTTTTGGGATATATTTATCTGCGCGCAATAAATAGCTACAAATTTATTATTCTTTTTGCGCAAAATCTTAAAGAAAAATGAATACTTTAAAGCTTGTCCTACAAAAATGAGATACATTATTATCACGTAATCGATAGTTTAAAAGTAATTTATTTCACTTAAATAGTTTTATGTTGGAAAAGAAATATTATTCCAAATTTTTGTTTAATACAAGAACTGTTCGTTTTCATTCAAGCACCATTCTTTCATTAAAAAAGAGCATGGGAAAGGCACGTTATTTACACGTCTGCACTTATATTTATATTTGTGCATGTGCGTGCGCATATGTGTACACGTGTGTTTTTTATTGTACAATGAGATGAAAATAGAGATAAAATTATTCCGTCATCGTAGAATTGTAGAATATTATTTTATTTATTCGAGGGACAAGATGTGTTTTTATTGTGACTCATTTCGACACAAACAAATATCCGTACATCTTATTATGCGATGAGAAATCCCCTAGGTCCGTTCATCTGTCAAGGCACGGAAGCTCGGTCAGTGTCTCGGCAACCCTCGTGCCGTACAGTTTGCGAGGGAGGAGACCGGTTGTTTCTGGCATCCCCTCTGAATACATACATATATACATACACGTACACGTATGATGTATACGTTTCGCATACATGTGTGCGTGCGTGTGCTATGTATCCCTCTCCTTCTCCTTCTCCTTCTCCATCTCTCTCTCTCTCTCTCTCTCTCTCTCTCGATTTGATGCCAGTAGCACGAGCGCGCGCTTTCGAACACGACGCGTCGTGTTTGCTGTGAGGGACGATCAGTCTGTTCTCCACGTTCTCCACGCAAGGACAATCGTCCGTCGACCGTACTGTTCGATTCTAAATCGCGACGTGAACTTTAATCGGGAAGCAAATGTGTTTAATAACTCGTAAATGACATGCATTTATTTGGTTTACATGAGAATCTGCGCTTATTCTCATGTATCGTCGCGAGATGAAAGTGTGCGGGATGCCAATGTGACTGATGACTCGCGCTTGAAAATTAAAAAGTTATCTCTATATTTAAACGGTTCAACCCTCTTTTATTAACGCAAAAGAGTGCGCGAGTAATAATACGTTTGGTTTGTTATGACTCAGTTAGCATATTCAAGATCATTTTTGTCGTCGCCGCCGCCGCCGCCGCCGTCGCCGTCGTCGTCGTCGTCGTCGTCGTCGTCGTCGTCGTCGTCGTCGTCGTCGTCGTCGTCATCGTCGTCGTCGTCGTCGTCGTCGTCGTCGTCGTATCGATATTCTGTTCGATAACCTCGAGATGAGGCCTCTTTTGGTACTCGCGATCATTTGCTTGCTAGCGAAGATCGTCGATTGCCGGGCCATAGAAAATGATGAAAATCGGCGCGGTAAACGACGACATAGGTTCTCTATCGAAGAATTACTCACCATCAAATTTTCACATGTTATTACCGGAGATTTGGACATCGATATTTGTAAAGCTGGTAAGGGAAAAACAGACAACAGTTACACCGTCGCTATAACATAAATCGGATTATCGCGCGCATTTATAGAAACAAACATGTACGAAATGTGGCTATAAAGTATCCCGACTGAAGCTAAACCAAACAAAAATCAAACAACAATTATATACAATAAAATTATTTTATTCTAAAATATGTTCCTTCGTAATTGATATTGCGTTGGGTACAATCGAGCAGCGAGTGGATTAATTTCTATGGAGATCCTCTTTCATCTTCCGTATCGAGCATCCTCGCCGCAAGCTGCTTGGATCGTCGAAATGCTTTCCAATTTCAATCAGTTCTTTTCTTTGGAATTTTAAATTTTGGAAATAGACAATAATCGCAAGCTGTAAATACGAATATGACAGATGGTCAAGCACTATGTGTTCCAAGCGAGCTATTATATTATATTTTTTCGCTGTCCGTTTGTGCATATGACGTATGTGATACAAATCGAGAGCAGATGTTTCTGTTTATGTTAAATCCTCGTGCGTAAAATGTTGCAAATCGAGTCTTTAGAAATGTTAAATTCTTCCGATAATTTTCATAGTCATAATTATTTGTGTCGATTTTCAATAATATATACATTTGCGTACTTTTGACGAAATCCTGTGTCGAGGCTGCTTTCGGCTGCTTTTGTCTTTCTAATCTTCGCGAGGTCTTCCAAACCACTTAGAAACTTGTATGCATGATAGTGTACATATAATGTCATGTATAAATCATTCTCTTGATAAATCTCCTTTACACGACATTTTGTACGTTCGCATCGCATAGTTTTCAAGTTTCACATAAAAGTTCACAAATTTTCATTTTAGATATTTATATTTTGCTTAATTCTGTTTTTGCCGCGGCCTCAAGTTTTTACTCCTTTCGTCCTTTCGAGCGACACATTTCATGACGCGTATGTATGTCCGATGAAATTTTTACAATTGCTATCAACTGTAAACATGATAATTTCACCCGATTTGAAACGTTAAAATGATGCCATTCATTGACTGGCATTCGCACAAAAGAGTTGAAAAAAATTAGTACTATTACTTTATAGCCACACACCTCACACCTAATTATTAGTACTGTCTAGAATAAATCTTTCTCAAGGGAAAAAAATATCATTTTATAACTACAAATTTGATTTTTTCTTTAAGTTTTAAGCAATATATTTTATTATTCAACTATCAAAATTGTATTTTATTAAAGCAAATTAAAATGACATTAAATACTATACATTTTATATTAGACTTTTTCAATACATCTTCTCTCTTTAATACTACTTGAATTAAACAGTTTTTAGATATTTATGCGCAAAATACCAATTAGTTAAAATACTAATACTAAAATAAATATTCAAACAATTAATCGATTTAACGATCAACTAAAATAGTTAACAACAAATATAACAGATAGCAAATAGATAAATATACATGTTGTCCATCTCTCTCTCTCTGTCTCTCTCTCAAAGATAAATGGTATTTGGAAAGAGCCAGAGAGAGAGAGAGAGAGAGGGGGGGAGAGAGAGAGAACTTGTCGAATAAATTGTTTTTGTATTATCTGTATATTAGAATAATTTCTTTTCTTTTACATGTTTTAGAAAAGAAATATTTCAGACTCATTTAACACGAATTAAACATTAAGGATTATAAAAAAAAAGATATAGAAATATCTTTTCATCTTCTTGAAATGATCATCTTGAAAGTATTACGAAAACTGTAGAAAAACTAGCAACAGAGCAAATAAAAGGAAACAGTATATCCTTTAAAAGTGTTATGTTAGCCCTTGAGGAGTCTCGAAATGTTGAGACAAAAATATATCCCATGCACCATCAACATTTCTCAAGTTTTTCTTGTTAATAAAGTCTCATTCTAATATTTTATTATTATTTTCATTATATACTAATAAGAAGTATTTGATAATTAAAAATAGATTTATCATTCAATCTTAAACTTTGTCCCTAAACTGTTTTAGAAAATCAATTTTCGCGTTACGAATAAAAATGTGTGATGATTGCCGAAATAATTAAATTATCGGATTTATTAAAACTTTTAGAAATTATTGTAACAAAGAAAGAGAAAAAATTCGAAGTGATAGTATCGCTACAAAGTACTTGTCAAGATTTTTATCGGCTTGCTAATTGCATCGGCTTATCGCGGAAGAAATGATAAGTCTTGTGTCCACTGTTGCAGATTTAATGAACACGATATAAATTGTTAGCGGAATTGTTCTTTGAATTATTCATTCTTTGTGAAGAATTTCAGCAACTTGGCTGGAGATCAAAGCCAGTGATGTTTTTTATATAATCGACAGATTGGCGAGATTATTTCTGATACAAACGCTGCTAATTTTACAGAGTTATATTTTTAAATTCGCATGTTGCACACACTTGTTCTTAAAATTATGGAAACTCTTCTTCACTTAAGTTTTACCAAGAGATTATTATAACAAAGTTATCTGTATACGTATATAGTATACTGTTATGAATGAAGAAAGAATTGTACATAATGAATTTAAATGATTTATTACATATGGTCTGTGTTAGTCTGCAATTGTTTTATGTATAAGAAATTACGATTAAAAAGTTTTATTTGGTTTATAGAATTTTTAGCTTTAATTATTTTGAGATATAATTATTGAGATATATTTGAGATATAATTGTATCGAGTTCTTAAAAAGAACAGTGCAGTGTGTCACACCTCAAAATATACTTTATTGATGAGAAAAAAACATGCCGCGCTGCTCTATGTTGCTCCAGAAGGTTGAAGAAAAAGTTATCTATTCGAATATACCGCCGTAATCACATGTATTTCATAATATTATAATGCAGCGTTTCTCAAACATTTTAAACTCCATGACCTTTCAAAGCAATAAAATTGATACTTTGCTTTCTGCAAAAATTTAATATGAAAAATAAAAACACACTTATATAACTCAAATTGATTTAAAGAATTTGACTTTGTGTGTGAACTATATACATATATATATATATATATATATATATATATATATATATAATTTTTTAATAAATAAATTCTTAATAAATGTGTTTGTTTTTTCCAGAAAATATCTTATTTTTTTTATACGTTAGGTTAGATTTTTTTTCGCAGCCCCCTTATCACCGCTCTTGGAGGGATTTCTTAGTTTGAGAAACTCTGCTATAATACATTCTGATGCATTCTCGTGTTTTTAGCGCATACTCTTTTATCTTGTTTCGATTGTAGATAGATTAATACAAATAGAAATCGATCACAAGCATTGCAACTTCTCGTCCAAAAGTTTGATGAAGTTGAGATTTATCATATTTTATTATTGAAAAATTCTGTCCGTTTATTTAATGCTTCACATAGAGAGATGTATTCTGTCTCTTCAATACAAAGTTTCTCGCTTGCTCTCTCTCTCTCTCTCTCTCTCTCTCTCTCTCTCTCTCTCTCTCTCTCACTTTGTAATCAATTTTAAAAATGTTTGAAACATCCTTAAAATGAAAAAGACTAACAATAAAATTACTTTGACATTTCTATTTTATTTATTTAAAAAAGTTCAAAAATTCTATAACAAATAAAAATGCACATTCTTTTTCAAAATTTAAAATTTTACTGAATCTGGTCTACGTGTGCGAATGAACATGTACATATGTATACATATACATGTGTGCGCGCGCGTATAGTATACATATGTGTGTGTATGTGTGCGCGCGTGCGTTTGTATATGTAGTTTTATATTAAATTTTTATCTTCACGAAATGTACGTTTGTGATTGATTCTTTCTTTCTTTTTTTTTCTCTTTCTTTCATTTATTTTCCTTCTCTCTCTCTCTCTCTCTCTCTCTCTCTCTCTCTCTCTCTCTTATTCCTTTGCTATTTATTTTTTATTTCTGTCTTTCATTTATTGCCTGGTACTTGCTTTCATCCTAACATTGTTTCTTCTAAATTGAGTAACTTTAATAAAGCGCATAGCAATACACGTGCTATTCAAGTAGTTCGTAAAAAGTATGTTTTCAACTGTTACAACTTTAAACGAGTGCAAAAAACATTTGCAATCTCGGAAAAATTAAATAGTAATAATAATCATAACTAATAACAATAATAATAATGAGTAGTAATAATATATTCCAGTAAATAATAATTCAGTCCGTACATTTCGGTAGACAAATTTTGTAGTTATTACACACATTTCAGATTATTTTTCTAAAATTAAATTTTCCAAAATCACATAGTTAAATATGAAAAATATAAAAATTGTCATACAGATAACTTGTTGTACATATCTTATGTAGCATATATGATATCTATCCTTATAGTTGCACTTTTCAACACTTTTGTTTTAATATGTAATTGATATTAGATTTCAAAATACGTTTTACGATTCAAGTTTCACAGACCACGAAGTGTAAAATTATACATGTCTCCAATGATATCATCCGATGCACATACGACGATTTCGTGAAAGATCTCGAAATTTAATTATATTGTATATGTGTATCCATTCATACAACTATTTTATAAAAAAAAAAAAAAATTAGCAAGATTATATTTTTTGGAGATAACATCTCTCTAAACGACAAGATACTTATAATTAATAACTATCAAATGAGGTAAATATGAGGATGCTATCATTGCATACTATATTATATTGTACGAAAATATGTGCTTAATATATATAATATTGCAGAAATCTGATTCGTATATATAATTAATTTATACGATTAACATTTATATTATACGAGAAATATAGAAACTAATGGAAAATGAAGAATAAATAGAATTATAATTTACTAATTTAATCAAGATGGAAGAAGTTTGCTTAGGGAAATTAATTTTCATAATTATTAATAAATAAAACAATAGACGCGTACAAATTGCATTTTGTCGACGATTTATTCGCGCGTGTGCGCGCGTACACACACACACACATATTCACGCACAATTTCTTTTTTTACACATTTATATAAATGATAATATTTGTATTATATATTGTATTATATATTGTGAAATT